AGGGACCAACCCCATTACCCAACGTGCTTCATACGCGTCGTCGAACGGAAACATGGCCCACCAGAAGCAGACGGGTTCCCCTCGACCGGGTCAGAAGGAGTCGAACACTCCGGACAGCCATGCTCATGACCGTCTTATCTTCCTCTTTGCTAGCTTCATCGTATGCTTGTCACATTCTGATGACCGTACTCCACGATCAAAGCTGATTCCCTCTTAGGGTCTGAATACCACCATTACCACCAAGACAGGAGATAAATTTACCGGCATCTTCTCCTCTTCGACCCTCGAAGCCAGCGATTCGTCGTTCCTGCTGAAGATGGTTCAGCGCGCCTCCCAGGAGAACCAACCAAAAGCTAACGGTGTGAGCGATGTCACAAGTCCATACCTGGGAACCGGGCCCGACCACAGCATGGCTTTTGATATCAAGGATATTGCGGATATCGCTGTGCCCAATGTGGTGCCGGCGGAGGTTTCGGCAAAGGAACCAAACGGTAAGACTAGTCCACGTCCGCTAATACCACATATGTGCTGACCGTTCTCTTCCTGCAGGTGCGTCGGCTGGCTTCAAGACCGATGCTGATATCTCTGGGAACCTGGCCATGCGCGAGAGAACTCTGAAGCGCTGGGAGCCTGCTGAGCACGAGGTCGATATGTCACTCGAGAGCACCACAACGTCAGGCTGGGACCAGTTCGAGACAAACGAGAGACTGTTTGGTGCCAAGACAAACTATGACGAGCACCTGTACACGACTCGCATTGACCGCTCGGATCCGGCCTTCAAGCAGAGGCAGGCTGAGGCGGCTCGCATTGCTCGCGAGATCGAAGGTACTGATGTGGACAATGTCCATATGCGCGAGGAGCGAGGTCTGGTCGCGCCGGACACTGGCGACCAAGATGAAGAAGACAAATACAGCGGTGTTCGTCGGGAAGACAAGATTTTCCCGCCTCTTCTCTCCGGCCAACCCAACAAATACACCCCTCCTGGGCGCCGAGGGGCTGGTGGGCCAACTGTAGCAGCCGCGAGGCAGCCTACACCTTCCAAGGAGGCCGTGCCGCAACCGAAGCAACCCCAGGCGGCACAAGGTGTCAAGGCCCCTGCTGATGCCGACCAGAAGTCCGCCAAGCGGGCGGTGCCTGAGAATGCTACCGCCAATGTCGAGACTGAGGTGTTGGACCACTTCCGTCAGTTTGCGAACAGTGAGAAATTGAAGATGCAGGAGCGACGCCGCAACCAAGCATCGTATGATCGGACGATCAAGCTGAATGAGTTGATGAAGTTCTCGAAGAACTTCAAGCTTTCTACTCCGGTGCCGAAGGACTTGGTGCCGATCCTGGCGAAGGACCCCCACAAGCAAGAGGTGATCATTCAACGCGCTCAACAGTCAATTGATGACAAACCCACACCGAAGGCTAATGCTGCTGTTCCTGAACAAAAGCCACAGACTCGCGGACCCACTGGCGCAATGCCTCCTGCGGCACCTTCTGATCGTCAGAACTTCTCGCGCGGCCGTCAAGGCCCCCTCCCCACTGGTCCTCTCGCTGGCCCGGGAGGCCGATTCCCTCAGCAAGCGATGCAGTCTGGCCGCCCCGGCACGGGTATGCTTGGCCACCGCCTGCAGGACAATCTCCAGCAACGAAAGGGGGCCGGTATGGGCCCCGTTCCCACTCCTCTGCCTATTCAGGATGCTCGTGGCCCTCCCACTGGCCCAGCCAGCGATCAACCCAGAGTGACCAGCCCGGTGAAGGCTCAGACCCCAACTACTGCTGCGGCGTCCAAGTTCAACGTCCGCGCCATGGAATTCAAACCTAATCCCGCTGCTAGTACTTTCACACCGGGTGGCGCCCCCTCTGCGAGCGCTGTCGGATCTGCGGCTAGCCCACGACCATTCTCTCGCAACCAGTCTGTGTCTCGTGCTACCACCCCATCTGCATTCTTTGGTGTGAGGAAGCCGCAGCCTATTTCGGAGCGACCATCCATTGATGATCAGTTCAATCCCATCAAGCGCATGAAGAAAGAGAGCGCTGAGCATCCTGAAAAGCCTTATACCTTCAATGGCGGAATCCCACCGCCCTATAAAACCCTTCCCACCTGGGATGTTTCCGAGGGCAAGGAGGAGACAACCTATGATCAGATGTTCAAGCAGCCAGTCGGCGCTTCCTCGGTCTCGCCACAGGGTCGATCCGCATCCAACAACCCTCATTTGCCGCAGCAACACCAGATGCCATTCCAGTACCAGCAGCAAACCCCGGGAATGCCTCCTTCTTCCGGCCCTCCCAATGGCCCGCATCATCTTCATCCACAAGGTCCTCACGGCTCTGGTCCTTCTCACATGGATGATCATCACCGCATGCAATTGTCTGCATCGTCTTCGCAGGTCTTCCCTTCTCCACGGATGCAACAGGGCTATCCTTCTCCCATGGCCCCTCACGCTCAGCTGGCATTCGGGCAGCCGATGCCGCAATTCTATGGTGGACCTCAGCCCAACCATATGAGGCAATATCAAGGTGTGCCCCAATTCATGAACCCGCAAGCCCCTATGGGGTCACCCATGATGGTCCAGCAACCATCCAATGGCCCGTATATGGGCGTCCCACAGAACATGTCTCCATACAACCCCCAGATGCAAATGTACTCGCCTTCGCCGGGCCATGCCTACCCACAGCATGGCCCCCCTCCTCAGCCGCCTAGCGGATATCCAAGTCCCAACCGCGGGGCCCCCATGATGATGCATCAGAACTCGCAATCGGGTCAACCCCCGCAGCCCATGATGTTCATGCCACCTGGTCAGCAGCAAGGACACAGTGAGTTACTCCAGCTACGTTTCAAAAAGGACCTCTTGCTAACCTGTCCCAGTGCCACCCGGGCGCGGTGGATATCCACAGCAGCAGCCTCATTACTCCTCGAGCCAGCACCAGCCTCATCATTACCCTCCCAACCAGCATCGGACGCCAAGCAACAGTTTCAACCAGATGCCCCAAATGCCTCCGCAGATGTCCGGTACGCCTGCACCGTCGGGGACGGGCTCTCATTCCGCCGAAGCTGGAGATGAAGGGAAATGAAATCCACGACTGTCAATACCATCGCAGGGCGGCTGTGTCAATTACTTGTGAATGCTTGCTTTGCCTCCTTATCTTGCCTTCGCAGGCGCTTGGCATCAAGCTTCTACGCTCTTCATGCATTCTTCCTTCTCTTGAATCGCTGTTGAATGTGTGCTCGGCTTGACTCCTCTCCCTCATTAGGGTGCAGTTACCACATTTATTACATGCACAGTGAATGGTATGTGACGAATCCGCTTTGTCGATAGCCCCGGTTCTGATGATCGTGCTGTCAGGTTGGACAGGCGAACCCGGTTGTCATGTTAATCACAGGCCAACTAGGTGATTCGAAGCCAGAGCCATCATCTCATGTGTTTTACAGCATGTCATCCACTGTGCAGCAATGACTTGCAGCAACTCGGGGAATTTATTCAACGGCGGATATTTTTTCTTTTTCTTTCCGGTCTTTACTTTTTTTTTTTCGCTCCTCCCTTTTCGATGGTTGATGCTGAGGGGCTGTGTTGTACCCGCTAGGTTCACACGTATTGCCAGTGGTACGGATTGAAAGTTTTCGTGAGGGTGGATTACGCATGGAGCAGGATGTGGGAAGTGGTCATGGTGATGGCAACTGGATGTGGTTTGTGATGGCTCGAGGAAGTTGACGGTGTGGCCAAGCGAGAGTTGGGTGTGGATCAATGGATGCGGTTGCTAGCATTCTAAGGAGTGCCAATAACACGATTATACTGTAATCGAAGATATTCCTTATAACTACCTCGTATGACACCTGTCCAACCTATACAAAATATCTTCCAACAATCAAAAGAAAAAAACACCATCCACCGGCGGAAGTGCTCAGCTTGAAAGTACCTATTCTGAACATCAGTTAGCTACCACTTCATCAACTCATGAATCAAGTCTCGGACAAAGGGGGAAAGCATCTCCTCAGGTCTTTTCAGTCTACAGTTGGTCGTCATCCAAAGCCCCCGACACCACAAACCCATTCTCATCCACCGCGGTGCTTTACAACCCTCGTCCCAACCGAGTCCCACCCCCCAACTCAACAAGCTGAACCCAGAGCAAGGAACAACACCACCGATTCCTCAAATCCACCCAACAAGCAAACGAACAGTGTCACAAACCCGACTCTCCCCCATCTCCCCATCTCCGCTCCCCTTTCCTCTCACTCCTCCTCGACCACTCTTCGCGCAGTTGGATGTAGAGCAATGCCCACACGCTGTGCGCCGCAGCCATTGGTTCCTACGCGTCCTCATGGAAGCAAAGCGGACTCAGGAACCCCAGATCGCGGCGCTTGCCAACATTCACGAATGAGTGTTGGGTTTCATGTGCACACGATACTTGCTCCCAAGGTCGAGAGCGGCGCTGCGAGCAGTGCTGCCCTCCCTGTAGAACAGGATGCCGTAGATAAAGCGGCATGGACCTTCGATTGCCTTTTCAGAGCCGTGTACCTGCGTCTGCGAAGAGTGGGGAGAGGAGGAGCGAGATGACAGGGAAGTAAGAGTCGGAAATCTGGGGGAGAGCTTGGTCGGCTGTAAGAGCTGTGGGGGATTTGTTGGACTCGGTTTGTGGTGTGGTGGTGTTCCCAAACGCTAGTGACAGTTCTTGAGAGTATTGCAGAAAATGGGTGCTCGGTGGTCGGAGGGCCAGTACCTTCGGCTTGTGAGGGTGAGAGGAGGTTGCGCGGGTCGTTGACTCGCGCGGTCTGACCTTTTACCAGGATTCACATCATTGGAGAGCTGCGAGGGTATCGCGAGAGCAGTGGAGGGTGGGAAAGAGAGAAGGGGACGTACCTTTAAATCGGTGGTTGTTTGTTGCGTTGTTGGAAGAAGACAAGAAGAGAGAGAGTCTAGATAACTGGCCTCAGGCACTTATCAGGCGCAAACCCGATAAGGCGGGGCAAAAGGAGAGCAACACCGACACTTGTTTTGTTCGTTTTTGCCACGACAATGGATTTCCTCAAGTCGGCCGTCGCCTCGGCCATAGCCAAGGGCAGCTCGCTTCCCTTCTCGATTGGCGACCGAGTCGACATTGGCGATTCCATCTGGACCCTGCACAATGCCACCAAGCGGGTACTTTCTTTCCCAAACCACGGACTCTGGCCCGCAAACAAACCGAGCTGACCGGTCTGTCCCTCTAGGATGATAGCTCTGCATGCAGCGTCTTCACCTTCGATATCGCGACCAACAAGTCGCGTCTCCCCCTGGCCAAGAACGCAGTCCGCAAGTCGCGAACTTTGCGCCATCCTGGTGTGATCAAGGTTCTGGATACGATCGAGGTAAATATGAAGCGAGGATACTGAAAAGGCAGGGTGCTTACGCTGCCATAGACCGAAACAAACCTCTACATTGTGACCGAGCGTGTGGTGCCCCTGTCCTGGTCCGTCAAACGGAGGAGTATCAGCGAGGAGACGGCGAAATGGGGGTTGTACACCGTGGCCGTGAGTGATCCCCAGACGCATTGCTAGGCACTGTCTAATCTCAGAACAGTCTACTCTCAAGTTTATCAATGACGATGCCTCCTCCGTCCACGGTGCCGTGCGCGCTTCGTCAGTCTTCGCAAGCGAAAGTGGCGAATGGAAGCTTGGTGGATTTGACATCTTGAGTTCCATGAAGGAAGACGACGCCATTATATATGTCAGTTGCGCTTCATCTGTGTCCTAAAGAAAGGACTGGCCGTTAGGGTACTCCCCATGCTGACCCTTTTAGACTTACGGAAGCATTGTCCCCGATGCAGCACGGTACACGCCCCCAGAGGTCGTCAAAGGGGGCTGGGATGTTATCAAACGCAACCCATTAGCAGCGGTCGATGCCTACGGGCTGGGCGTACTGATCTTTGAAGTCTTTAATGGCCACTTCGCGGGTGCAGAGCAGGTGGGCAAGACGACCAACATCCCTCCTAGCATGCAGCAAAGCTACAAGCGTCTCTGTACTGCCAACCCGAAGCTGCGGCTTAGTCCTGCACACTTCGTGGAACAGGGGAAGAAGCATGGCGGGTTCTTCCAGACGCCCTTGATCCGGCTGACGGAGGACATGGAGAGCCTCGGTTTGAAGAGTGACGCTGAACGGGAGGAATTCATCAAGTATGCTTTATTTGCCTCGTTCTACTTGACTCTGTTGCTAAATCTTACATCTGCAGCGAACTCGATAACCTTTCGGAAGACTTCCCTGAAGACTTCTTCAAAATGAAGGTGCTTCCCGAACTGCTCAAGTCCGTTGAATTCGGCGGCGGCGGGCCCAAGGTTCTTGGAGCTACTCTGAAGATCGGGTCCAAACTCTCACCGGACGAGTTCAATGTCAAGTTGACGCCTGTCGTGGTGCGCCTATTTGGCAACCCTGATCGAGCTCTACGTGTTTGTCTGTTGGATAACTTGCCCCTAATGATTGATAATCTCCCTCAGAAAATTGTCAATGACAAGATCTTTCCGCAAATGGTGAGTCCTCTTCGGTTAATGAGCATTCTGGCGTTTCTGACCCGGTCTAGACTTCCGGTTTCACTGACGTTGCGCCCGTCGTTCGAGAGCAAACCGTCAAGGCTGTCCTGACCATCATCAACAAGCTCAGTGATAGGATTGTTAATGGCGAACTGCTCAAATTCCTGGCACGCACCGCCAATGACGAGCAACCTGGTATCCGTACCAATACAACTATTTGCCTTGGCCGGATTGCCAAGAATCTGAGCGAGGGTGTAAGCACATACCTTTCTAGCATGGACATCGGTTACTAACTCTGGTGTGTAGACTCGGTCGAAGGTGCTTATTGCGGCATTCACGAGATCTCTCAGAGATCCCTTTGTGCATGCTCGAAACGCCGGACTGCTCGCTTTGTCCGCCACGATCGACGTGTTCTCTGAAGATGATTGCGCGGGCAAGGTTCTGCCAGCTCTTTGCCCGACACTAGTGGATAAGGAGAAGTAAGTGGTTCATGCTTGCATTACACTTCCACGGCTGCTTATAACTGGATAGGATGATTCGCGACCAGGGCAATAAGACACTGGATCTGTATCTTCAACGGATACGGAAATTTGGCAACACCATGGCGGACACCGCGCTGCCAGCTTCTGCTCCAGCGGGAGCCAATAAGACGGAAGCACGCATCGGCACATCGAACGACAAATCGTGGGCTGGATGGGCCATTTCATCCTTCACTAATAAGATCACAACGGCCAATGGAGAGATTCAGCCAACAGAGAGCAGCAAGAAGCCTGCGGCGGCAGAGGCGGCGCGCTCCGCATCTGTTCCCCCGACCATATCTTCACCCTCGGCTTCATTGGAACTTCCAAGGCAGACGCTCCGGCCTGCAGCACAACCACTTGGCCGATCAATGTCAGATCGACCTGTTCCGGTAGTGCAAGAAGAGGAAGCAGAGGAGGAGGAAGCAGATGATGTTTTCGACGCCTGGGGCGCGATGGATGACGACGACGACGAGAAGGACGAAGACACTTTTACTGCTGCGGTGTCCACTCCGAAACCTACTTCTCCCGAACCCTCCGCAACAACCAAACCAGCCGCAGTCCCGTACGATGATGGCGGCGAACCCGATTTTGCTGGCTGGCTGGCGGCCAAGTCCCAGTCTAAAGCGAAGCCATTGCCTCCCAAGGGGCTCAACAAGGCTTCTTCCACTAATACCGTGACTCGGACTACGACTGGAAGCACCGCCAAGTCCCGCGTGGCTGCGCCGGCTAAAAAGATCGATACTACTCCCAAGGACGATGCGATGGATGATGATTGGGGCGATGCCTGGGACTGAGGGTGTAATTCTTTCATGTTTATAGACATTGTTCCATGCCTTCTCGGCCCGTGGAAAAATATACCCAGTGGTTTTAGATTGTGCGCAAAAGAAATCTACAATAATAGTTCTTTCATTTATATACTTCGGTTGGTCTGGGTAGGCTGCTTATCTTATCGACCTGTACCAACAGCCCATTTTCTTCCTCTACTGACTGAACAGGCTTTCTCTCCACCGCGGTCCCCGACAATTTGCAACGAGCCTAGCCTCGAAGACAGACTTCTCTCAGTCAGACATTCGCGGGTTGGCCCGTGAGATATCTCCGACAGCGTTATTCACTCCAGGCCACCGTGCGCTCACGGGCTTGCGGAATCTTGCTGCCTTCCGAGCGGCGCATCTTATCACCGCAGCATGCGCCGATACTGAGACCGGCATCTTCCCACCAGGCCGCTACGTTCTCTCCTGCCACACACCCGGTTGCTGTCTTTCGAAATGGACCAAGAGGAGGCCCCGCCGCCTTACTCGGCGGTCGACCCATTATTAACACAGGCCAACAATAATCGTCGCAATGCCAACTCTCCGCAAGGCCCGATCGCCGGCAGCGTGCCTGGGACGGAGTATGCCAGTAGCAGCTCCCGGATTCTTGCGCAGCCCACCAACAACCTCGGTGCTTCGCCAGTCCCACCCGCACAATTCACCTCCGCCGTCGCCTACTTCGAGGGACGACCTCCAACGGTCTTGGACGACAGCCGAGGCATTCTCCACCACCACATGACCATCTATCCACGGAGCCAAGCCAAGGATTTTCCCAGACGGCCTCGCTGCTGGGCTGCGCGAGTGAACGAGGTCACCCAGCAGGACTGGGATACCTTTCTCCGCCACCTGTTCCCGCCACACCTAGGACTGGCAGCTTCGTCGCAACATCTGCCGCGCCAGTTGAGGGCCGAAATTCAGCGAGACCGCAAGGACCGGCCGCAGGAGACCGACGATGAACGGCGGGCTAGAATTACGGCTGTGGTTGCGGAGTGGAACCAATGCTTTTTTGAACCTCGCGCGACTCGCATCTTCTTTGTGTACGTCGCCGAACCGGACGCTGCGCCTGCGTCGGCTCTTTGCCCGAAATGCTATCCCGCTACAACGAAGGTGAATCAGTCGGCCCAGCCTCAAGGTGCCGCTGGATCTCCGGTGGTTTCTTCGCCTGGACAATCAAATACTGTGTCGCCGGTGCCAGGGCAATATACGCCATCACCGACGACAAACCCATGGCCTGGCCAACCCGTTCCTCCTTTTGCACACCCTGGAGGTCCTGGTATGCCTTTTGGTCCACCATTTGTTGCGCCGCCATGTGCTGGCTCTGGTGGTCCGCCGAATAATCAGCCACCCGGATACTTCCCGCAGCAGCCACCATATGGGGGGTGCCCCCGTGGGGATGGAATCACTGGGGCTACCAACAGCCTCAGTATCAGATTCCAGGAGCTTCAAAAGGTGGTGCATTCGGATGGATCTCCTCACTTGCATCGCAAGCACAAAAGTACGGTGAACGATTCTCAGAGCAGGCGCAGCAATATGGCGATCAAATCTCCGCGCAAGCACAGCATTATTCACGGCAAGTTGAGGAACAAGCCTTGGCACATGCCCGATGGCTCGAGGAGCAGGCAAGACTTCGAGAACAAAAGCGGGCTTTCCCGTTCGGTGGCAACAGTGGAAGACCTCCGTGGGGACAGTATCCCCTGGAAGGATATGGCATTCCGATGACGCCTATCAGCAACCCAAGCCCCCAAAACGAAGTGAGTTCTGAAAACAGAAACTCAAACGATCAGCCTCCATTAGAACGCGAAGCCCCTGCAGCCGAACGCCCACGTCGAGGGTCCGTCAGCTCCACTTCGTCCGAATCCTCTCTCAGCTCAATCGACTCTCTCTCAACTACATCAGACCTCAACGCCTCAGACCTTGCCACGGTCCGAGCACAACTCCAAGCACTAGACGACCGACATGACCGCACCCTATACGACGCAGCCGTGGACCTCCGGCGGCAGCTTTCCGTCCTCCAGGAATCCCGCCACGAAGCCCGGGTTTCACCCCGAAGAGGCTGGCTGCATGGACGGCGCCATCATCCCCACCACAATCATCACCACCAACAAAACCCGCACGACTGGGGACGCTGGGAATCACCCGAGCAGCAACAGCGGAATTCCACCGAACGCCGCGCGATGAAAGAGGAAATGCGCGCTACCAGGAAAGCATTCAAAGAGGTATTCCGTCGCGCGCGCGACGAGCAGCGCGAGCAGAAACGCGCTCGACGGAGACAGCATGGACGACATCGCTCTGATAATGGTGATCAGCCGAAACCGGAAGATCAGCCATTGGACCGGCGGTTGGAGAGTCTCGCTCTGGATGGGTCTACTGAGTCTGGCACGGTGTCGACTCCGTCGGAGTCTGCACTCCATACTCAGAAACCGTTGCCCACTGCTCCGCCTGCGCAGTCTGTTCCTGGGATTGAGTCAAGCGGCCCTTCTTCTCCTTCTGGTTCTCAAATCCGTTCCCAGGATTCTCAGTCTGACAGTGTGGCTGGTAAGAAAGGGAAGTCGAATGAGGCACCGGCCCGGCTGAAGGAGATACTGAAGCCGCGCAAGAAGCAGAGGCAACAACAACAAAGTACTGCGGCCCCTTCCGCTTCTTCGGATGTCGATGATGCAGATGCAAATAAGACCGTCAAAAAGGATCCGAGCCCTCAATGAGATACCCGGGTCGTGATATCTCGATTTTAATATTTGGAAGCTGGCTTTCCTACCGTTCACAAGCTGCTGGCTCCCCGATGGACCCTGTTGGATCCGGAATGGTGTTTTCTTCTTGTCAATTTATGTCTAGGTTCATATGTTTGGGTTGAATGATATGGCAATCTCCATTGTGTAAGCACCGCTGTCCCATGGCCTAGACCACGAATATGCAAGGTAGAGACGTGTGTATGTATCCAACTTTTGTAGAGATTTCTCGTGTTTATAGAAGCAGGATTGTAAATCTACACCATACCTCCCACCACCCCATTTGCTGCACACCGGATCCAAGAAAGAATCACGACTGCGCCTGTGCCTCATTCTTCTCCACCAAATCCCCAACCCCAAGCCCGCGGCCAACCTTGACCCGAATCATCTTCTCAGCATCCTTTTTCCCCAGCTCCCCAACCTCGTCGCCTTCATCCTGATCATCCTCCTCGTCCTCCTCAGCATTCTCGCCCTTCTTCTTCTTCTCCGCCTTCTCGCGCTCCCGGTCCTTCTTCTCAATCGCCTTCCAGTCCAGCCACTGGTCCTGGAGATTCAGATGCATTGCATACGCATCCTCCCCGTCTGCGTAGTACTTGCTCTCGATCTTCTCGACTTCGAAGCCCAGCGTGTCTCGGTACAGGCGTAGTGCGGCGGTGTTGGACATGCGGACGTGCAGGGAGACGTAGTGCGCGCGGTGGGATTCGGACATTGCCCGTTCTGTGGGGGGTTGTCAGTCAGTCAGGTTGTGTTTCAATGCACATACCAACCCCCTCCTGTGTTCCACTGGTGGAAACGCGGGGCAGGATATAACACCACAGGAAAGAAAGCAAGCAAAGAGAGGAAGAACATACGACTCATCCGCATCAGCCGCTCCGCAATTCCCAATCTCCGATGTGTCCGCATAACACTAAGACTCGTAATATGCCCATGCTGCACGCCATCCGAGGGCTCCTCCTCCATTTTGGCAAGAACATACCCCACGACCTTGGGGTACTGGCCCGACACATCGCCCGCGGCGCCCGGGCCGCCAGCGGTAGCGGTCTTGTAGCCGCCGCGCGGGCGCACGACAGCGACGAAGCTCAGCTGCGGCCAGGTGAGCGCATGGTAGAGGTAGTATTTCAGGAAGTAGTTCTCGGGCAGGTTGGTGATGTTGCAGGTTTGGATGGCGGGGAGGAGGTCGATGTACGAGGGGTAGGAGGATAGGGGGACGATGTCGACCATTTTTTCTTCTCTCTCCCTGTTCGGAGTAGGGGGATTGGAATTGAGGAATTGAGTGGTGCGGATTGAAGAAGCGCAGTTGCGATGTGCTTGACTCCGGCGGATCATTGTGTCCGGCGCTAGCCGCTTTGGGAAATGCTCTCAATCTGCAGGAGTGTACAACAATAACGACAGAAGGGAAGGTTAAGTGGTGTTGTTTATTGGATACGATAGATCAAAATCACTCATCTCAAGCGCCGTCATGCCAAAAATAAATCACAATATTATAGTTCATCTAGATCGTCTCATTTAAAACACATTCATCACAAGCTGTACAGTTGCAGCCACTACCAGCATGGACGTAACGCTGGCGACAGACACTCCATGCGCAGCAGCGGAGTTCATGCCGCAGCACTTGCCGTTATAGGTGACGTTATTCATGTCGGCCGCGACTTCAAACACGGAGCCGTTGGTGTTTCCATAATTGTAGTAATCCACCAGAAGGAAATTGGGCGGGCGGTTCCAATCCTCTGTTAAATGGGTTAGATGGAGTCACACCGAAAAGAAATGAGGGAAAGCTTACTGGTACAGTTCTCGGCCATCCAGCCCAGACTGCCGAATCCCGAGACGGCATTGGTCTCAGCCATGTCGGCGAGATTGGGGATGAGCATGCTCAGACCGCCAAAGTTCAGCTCGAGGTTGAGGTTGTGATTCGCAATATACATGCGCTTCTCTGCATCCTCACGCGAAAGGCCCGGCGGTCGCTGCTCCGTGCAGGGGAAGTTGCGGTTCGTCGGCGAAAAGGGCGTCTCCCAGATCTGCGAGAACTCATCCATGAGCCACGGATACTCCTTCGGCTTGGCTCCGTAGTCCATGAAAAACACTGCGCGTTTCCCCGTGATGATCATCTCCCCCAACGTTGGCCAGTCATCCAGACCCATGGGGATCTTGGGTGGAGTATAAATATAGTCTTTCAGAGGCGAGGCCTCGATCACGTCGGTGATGTTGCCGGGAAGCACATAATCGAAATTGCCCATGAGGAACGTGACCACGTCATAGGTGTTCTGGCTCAGCCATTTGGCGACTGTGTCGAGATAATCTGAGAGCGGGCCGACATTGAGCAGGTCACAGTTGGTGTGGCAGAGATACATCGTGCCATTCTGCAGGTGGACTTGGAATTGCACTAGGGGGGATTAGCAAATAATCAATGTTGGATCTAGATCAGACTTACACATGCGGACGCCATCGTCCAACTGCGATGTCACATCGAACATCTGGTTAGAAGCCGCGTTGCCCGGACGCACGAACGGACTGTTATGCGCAGCCACCATGGTGATGTTGGAATACTGGCGATTACAGAACTCCGGGTAGTCGTTGCAGGGCTGAGTATTTTGCACTGGCGACGCCGACGGCGAGGACGAGGCCGTCGCAGTGGCATTGGCCGTACCATTGCCGAGGGTAGTTGTGCCGTGGCCGCCTACCAGCACGGTCACCCCGTCGGAGGTCTGAGTGACTAGAGTGGCATTGCCCGTGGTGGTGGCGGTAGCATCTGCAGATAGCGCAATAGAAGTGTCATTGCTGACAATGATGGTCGACCCGAAGGTGAGATATTCCCCCGAGGGAGCAGGAACCGAGGTCGGGGTCACCGTCACAACGCTGCCGTCCATGGTAAACACCGACTCGGAGGAAGTGGTGGTGTCGTCGGCAGCCACGGCGACCCCCGCGAGGAGGGTCAGCACTAGTGATGGCAGTCGCATGGTCTGGGAGGAAGCGAGGGAGGGAATTAGTCGCACGGGGAGGAATCACCGTCTGGTCTGCTGCTGCTTTTTCTTGTTCGGCGCATGTTGCGGTTAGGTAAGCGGGTTCAGTGAGTTTGCCACTGTGGAGAGCGATTGGCCAATGAGGGAAGTGTCCAGGCACCAGAACCCCTGAAGTATAGCCAAATGTAGGCCTGTAGAGATCCCGAATCGAGAGTCGATAGGACCTATCTCGACAAACAGGTACTTGGTCCATCGGTCTCTCCTACTAGCAGTGTCCTACAAGGAGGACGACGACACTCTTAACCCTCCGACTACTCCCTATCACCATCAGGATCCTCCAGTGGGTCTCTCCTGCGTGGCTGCCGCCGCCACTGACGATCCTCAGCTCTAGACGCCGATCCTTAAATTCTCTCATTAACGTGTCCCGGTCCGACCGCCGCCGATTTCAGTGACAACAGAACTAACGCAAGTTAACAGGGTATCTATCCCTGCCCATCCATCCATCCAACCATCCAGCCACGAGAACCACACCAGTCCCGCGGCTCCAGTCTCAACTTTCCGTGGGTGCCTAACGTCATCCCGCTCGCGACCCTGGGCGGCCCCGGCTATTGTGCTTTTTTCCTTTCATTTCTCTTCAACCCATCCTCCACGCCCGTCGCTCATCACCACCATCATGGCCAATGCCAATGGGACCGATACTCCCGTGGCCAATGGCTTCAAACGATCTCTCCCCTTCTTCCGCAGGTCATCCCCGGACCGGCCTATTGCTCGCCGGCGCGAGTCCACTGTCCACTGGCACCGAGGCGTCCGGTCCTTTTTGTACCTAATAGCCTGGATCTTCCTGGTGCTGGTCGTGATAGGAAGCGTCGCCGACAAGCCCGTCCTCCGCAACACCTACTTCCTCTACCTGGACCTTTCCAACATCATCCCCGTCTCCGTGCCCAATGCCGTCCTGATCAATTCCATCGCCCGTACGATCGGGTTGCACGATTTCTACCAGGTCGGCCTGTGGAACTTCTGTGAGGGTTACAATAATGAGGGCATCACGCATTGCTCGAAGCCGCAGACGCTGTACTCGTTCAACCCGGTCACCATCTTGCTCAATGAGCTGTTGGCCGGCGCCACTAGTATGTTTATTCACCAAGAAAGCTACCAGCAAAGAGACTAACGCAGTGATCTAGTCGCCCTGCCATCGGACATCTCCAAACCATTGCATCTGGCCAAGATCGCCTCCCAGTGGATGTTCGGCCTATTCCTCGCAGCGGCCGTGTTCACCTTCGTCATGATCTTCGTCAGCCCACTGGCCGTCTCGTCGCGGCCTCCGCAAACCGTCAAACTTTGGGCCAAGGCCATGGACGGCAACGGTGCGCCCATGGGTCCCCCGCCTCATCGCCGCCGCAGCTTCATCCTACTCCGCTCGCTGCCTATGCTCATCCTGAGCTTCTTAACCGCGCTCTTCACGGTTGTCGCCTCCGCCGTTGCGACCGTCATGTGGATCATCTTCGCCAACGTCTTTGCAAACGCAGACCCCAGTCTCAACATCAAGGCGCACGTCGGCACCCAGATGTTCGTGTTCATGTGGATTGCTTCGGCGTTCAACTTCACTGCCTTTATCGTGCAGTTCGGTTCCTGCTGTGCATCCTGTTGCGGCGGCCATAAGGCCAGGAAGCAGCTCAAGGCGCAGGGCGTGGATCTGCGCGAGAAGGGAGAGCACTCCCACTCCCACACTCCGGACCGCTCTGAAACCGAAGAGTCAACTCGTGCCCCAGCCGACGGGGAACGTCATGCCCTCACCCCTTGATTGGATCACAGGGTTGACCCTGTGCTCTATCATCTTTCAGTTTTGGACATTTATATTCTAGCAGATACAAATGATGTGTGACGACCTCTTAACTTGCGCGTGCAGAGCTTTGTGGTTTCACCTCTGGTTCTTTGGTGACATAACTAGTAGATTGGAGGACGGCGTTTTTTGTTTTTCGTTCGTTTTGTTTCTCGTCGTGGTTGAGGATTACCCGGTCGAGAAACTGATGCAGATGTCGACGGCGTTGATGCATGCCGTCCTCTGTACATATACTCTTATTCAATGTACCTACAACAAGCTTGTCCCTACCAGTTGTACCTCGTATCTAGCTGGTCAACTACAAATTATACAGCAGTATTACGGGGACAGATCTATTTCAAGCGAAGACTGAGAGGCGAAACCCCTGTTGGTCTTAAATGGGTAGAAGAGATAGTCTGAAAGAACATACGAGCCTGACTATGGAGAGGACCTGAAAGAACATACGTACCTGACTAGGGAGAGGACAAGACAAATATTACTAGCTGGTAGCTGCGAATATCAAAGGAAGAGACTCTTATTCACCCCTCCCATTGCAGCTAGTCACCACAAAAAAGACAGATTAACATCACCTTTTTTTGCAGCGATCCTTGATCCACAAACACTTCGCATCAAAACATCGTCATTCGGTGGTACAGGATGTTCGTCTCAGTCTTCGCGCCTCATCTCCTCCTCGAGCAGACGGCAAATCTCCTCATCGGACAGATGGACCTTAGCACCGCAATCAACATCGTTCGTAGCAACATAGGTATCCTTGGGGTAAGTATTAGCCTGGATGGAAATGGGGGAAGCCTCCGTGGCATTGGGACCAGGCTGGGAAGAAGTGTTGACAAACCGGGAGTGCACAGTGGGATTGGCGACGGTGGCATTGGGAGCCGCGGGGGAACTGGCTGTCTTGGAAGAAGGGCTCTTGGAGGAAGTAGTACGGGTGGCAATGGCCTCATCTTCGGACGACCAGAACGGGCTGCCGAGTTCCTTGCGAATCACCTTCTGTGTATGATTAAGGGTGTACTGGGTGCCGATGTCCATGTCGTCGTCGTTAAGCGCGGCGATGGCGTTCTTCGGCTCAGCCGTCTTGTTCTTCTTGTTCGTATCGCGGATAATCGTCTCCGAGGTGGACTCCTGCTGGTGCAACCACTTGAAGTCCTTGTTTCTGAACGACCGGCGGAATTCAGCAATCTTGTTAACAGGGGCCGGGGCTGGGGCTAGGGCCGAGGCTGGGGACTGGGTCATCAAAGCACTCACGGGACTCTCGTCAGAGTCGCTGGTCAAGTCAACGAGGGCAGTGGCCTGGGGGGTAACGGGAGTAGCGGGTGTGTGAGCCGGGGTCTGCTGGGCGCGGCCTGTCTGATGATTGCCGGACAATGACGGAAAAATGCCGGCTCCATTCGAAACGGGGGCGGCGGACATCTGCACACAGATCGAGGGAGGGGGGCTCTCAGCAGTCGGGGAAGCTTGAGTCGAGGACACCGAAATCGTGGCGGGAAGCTGCGCGTTGCCCATTCCGCGCATGGGTTGATGGTCACCCGGCTGAGACTCGGGGGTGATCTGGCGGACATGGTTGAGCAGACGGTGGAAGTCGGTAAGCAGTTCGTTGAATTTCAGCCCCAGCGCCTCGTACTGCTTCTTGGATTGCTCAAGTTCTTCATTCTTCTCCCTGAGCTTGCGCTGAGTGGTCGAAAGAGTGCGGCGAGCGGTAGCAAGGTGTCCCTCAAGGACCTTGTGCGCGGGCTGCCCAGTGCCTTCGTCGAGGGCCATGAACTTCTGCAAAGTCTTCTTGTACATGTCACGCTCCGATGTGATTTCGCCCAGTCGGCGATTGAGGTTCAGGAGGTGACCGTGCAGGTTTCCCGGGTTGACTGCAATGACCCTGGGGTGTTGAGCGGGAGCCGAAGGAAAGTAGCCAGTGCTTGTGTACGGCGTAGCATGGTTGGCCTTCAGGCCTGCGCGGCGGATCACCTCGCCGGCGTGGTTGTTCATGATGTCCTGCTGGCCAACGGCAAACTTGTTTTTGGCCTTGCAGCTCGCAGGGGCAGTAGGGTAGGAAAACGTCTGCAGCGCATGGGATGAAACGTTGCTGTCAGGAGGACCAAACGTATTGTTGGGCATGGTCGCAAGCTGCGAAGTCTGGCTCCCGAGAGGAGTGGTCGGGAGGCTGTTGTTGCGAGCGATGGGATTGGCGGTCGCGTCATGAACAGAAGCAGCAGAGTGGGCGGAGTCACCACCAAGGGCCGTAGGCTCGCAGAAAAGAGCATCGATGTTGTTGAGATCACAAGAAGTGTTCGTAGTCTGCTGCTGGTCGATTTCGACGTGCTGCTTCTTCAGGGCAGAAGGGGCCGAGTTGGCAGGAAAGGCGACGTCGCTGCCGCGCTTCTTGGGGCCCTGAAAGCCATCGAAGGCCCAGTCGGTGTTCCCAAGAGCCGCAAGGTCAATGGCAACGTCGAAATCGAAGTTGGGATCAAAGGCATTGACCTGCTGGCTAGCTTGAAAGTTTGACAGCTGAGGCGATCCGGGGGAGAGTGTAAGCCCCAGATCAGTAGCGGAGTTGCCAGAAAGCTGAAACTGAGAAAACTCACGAGCATCCATATTTCCATCCATGAGAAAGAAAGGGAAGCAGGGAAAGGAGGATCAGGGAGTGTGGAAGGGTGAGAGGAAGAGGAAGGAGAGAAGACTCGAACGAGGTATGGACCTCAACGTAGAGCCAGCGGCGTGGAGGAGGGCATGGCAGTGAATACCAGTGCTATTGTTGTTATTGTCGGTATTCAAAAGCACCAGGCCATTCACCGTTTCCCCTATTGACCCAGCCCTATTGAGGGCGTGCAGTGAATGACCATTGTTACGACGAGTCACCGTGTTTATCTTTTTTGTTTTTCTGCCGGCACTTTTGCTTTTCTCCGCCTTACGCGTTCCCTCTTTCATCCCACCGCCTTTTCTTCCATCTCACGTGCCACTCCACCGCCTTTATCGCCATGGCAGAAAGCGCGCCCGTTTCCTTCCTCTTTCTCCAGGACTCGAAGACTGACAGCTCCTCTCCCGAGTCTGACTGTGCTGTTGCTTCCTCCAGCGCTAACAGTGACGAGCTTCGCCCGAATATCTCTCGTCCTGTGCCTCTTCTCAGCACTCGGTCCAAGATGAGCGTTATCCTCTGCACTGGTAAGACACCGTGATAGCCATACTGTTCCCCCACATTCCTTGGAGGCCAAGGCTAATGGATGTTGCGCGCTGCAGCGGGGTATGATCATACCATTCGGTAAGCAGACTCCCCAAATGTTCTCGCATTGCAGCAGAAGCTCCTCTGTCTCTTGGAGAGATCGGAACTGGCCCTGACCTTGTTTCCCGTTCGATCAGCTTCTGGGAGGCCCTGTCCGGCATCTGCTCGCGTACTATCCAGCACCCGGACTCCCAGGTCAACCGTCTTTGCATCACTCCTGACAAGCGATACCTGGCCGCCGCCGGCCACAACAATGTCAAGCTTTATGACATCAAGTCCACCAACCCCAACCCTGTGATGACCTTTGACGGTCACACCAACAACATCACCGGAGTTGCCTTCCACTGTGAGGGCAAGTGGATGGTCACCAGCTCCGAGGATGGCACTGTCAAAGTCTGGGATACTCGCACCGGCAGTCTCCAGCGCAACTACGTCCACCGGGCTGCCGTCAATGACGTGGTCATTCATCCCAACCAGGGCGAGCTCATCAGTGGTGATCGTGCCGGTATGGTTCGCGTCTGGGACCTTGGCGAAAGTGTCTGCACCCACCAGCTGATCCCGGAGGACGACACGTCTGTGCACTCTGTGAGCGTGGCCAGCGATGGATCGCTGCTCTGCGCGGGAAACAAGAAGGTATGATTCCTCTTATGTTATAATCCAGATGGGCTGACATCGTCTATAGGGCAATGTCTACATCTGGCGCATGGTTCAGACCGAGGAGGCAACTCGCATTATTCCCATCTGCACTTTCCAAGCCCACAAGGACTACCTGACACGCGTCCTTCTGTCTCCGGATGTCAAGCACCTGGCGACCTGCTCCGCTGACCACACCGCCAAGGTTTGGAACCTCGACCCCGAGTATGGCCCTGCCAAGATTGCCATCGCGGATTGGGAGACGAAGAAGGCCCAGGGTGCCACAGCAGAGAACAACGGGTCTGATGCTGCGTCGACCGCGTCCAAGCCCGAGAACCAGCCTCGCGACCTTCTGCGCATCTTCGACACCCCGATCCAGGACCGTGACCTGCTCCGCATCAGCAATGATAATCTTCCTCGCGAGGAGTCGCCGCAGGCGACCTTCACGGCTCAGCCGGACGGCCCGCCCATGGATCCCGCCAACGGTACTCTTTTCCTCGAGACCACTCTGGCGAACCACCAGCGCTGGGTCTGGGACTGCGCTTTCTCGGCGGACTCTGCGTACTTGGTCACCGTGTCGAGCGATCACTACGCCCGTTTGTGGGAGCTCAGCTCCGGCCAGATCATCCGCCAGTACAGCGGTCACCACCGTGGTGCGGTCTGCGTCGCGCTGAATGACTACTCCGAGCCTCGCTAAGGGCCCATTTAGTCCTCCCTTTTTTCGGCGTTTTGTGTCATCCATATCTCTAGCCCAGCGTTCTGTTGTTACTTTCTTCGATTCCCTGCACATATCATTCAAGCATGGCGTTTGGAGAGGTTGCTGGATCTTTCAGAGGGATTTCGGGTTTTATGTCATGGAGTCTTTTCTACGGGCTTTCAAATAGCGCTTCTAGATAGAAGCAGCGAGATACCTATCATGCTGAATGATGATTTTACTCTGATCATGACTTCACTCTGTATTCAACTAGTGTAGACTGTAGACCTTGAAAACTACTAGGTAGCATCGCCTTCTCCCCGCCAACCTTGATCCTTGTATTTATTTCATGGTACTCTTCTTCTCTATGCCGCAGATCTACCAACTATTTAGCCCTGATCAAAGCCAATAGGAGCTCACTTATCAAACCAATATGAAATCATATGACATCGAATGAAAATTAGATCTCAACGTACATCAGAAATTAGCTGTGCCCACAGCTCAAACAGGTACAAGAAATAGAGAGAAAGAGAAAATGCGCAGTATTTCCAAGTCTCGCTTTTAGAACACAAAGAAAGAAACGAGCCCTCCAAATTGTTTAGCTCACAGCGAACCAGGTCACGCTAACCACGACATCCAGCCCCCGCTCCTCTGCGCCGGGGTACTTGAACGTCCACATGCCGTCACGGTTGACATCCCAGAATGCGCCGGAGGCAGAGTGCATGCCGCGCTTGCCGGCGTTGCTGAGCGCGCCGTCAGCCGCGGCGGTCTTGTCAATCACACCTTGCTGCACAATGGTGCTGTTCACAGTGAAGCGGTAGGGGGCTGGAGCAGATGCGTCGGAGGGGGCGGTCGCGGAGATGAGGGCTTTGAGGACGGTGTTCTATGGATAGTGGCTTTTGTGTTAGGTGGCTTTAGAATAGCTGGTTTGTGGGATGGGCTGCATACGATTATCTGTGAGTTCCAATCGGCGACGTTGGCGTGGTCGTATCCCTCGGCAGCACTCAGCGCAGCATCGCAGGCCTAGGGTAGAGAATTGTGGTTTAGTGGAGTTGTTCGCAGAGGGGAATACCAGGTCCGGTTGGGGCGAAATGGGAAGACTACCTGGGTGGTGATTTTGGTAAGGTCCGCGAGCGGGACGGGCTGGAGCAGAGGGAACATGGATGTTAGTGGACAATATCTCCTTTATTATTTGCATCTTGAATTCACAGGCCAGAAAACGGAGCGATCGGAGGGGCAGTCATACCGAGGACGCGGGAGAGGTGCCCTCAACAGCCATTGTGGAGGTATCTGGGATCAGAAACTAGCTGGAAGCAGGATGGCAAGGTCAGCACCAGACATGGAGAAATTAAGACAGTCACGCCCGGAAGTATCCTGGTGATAGGCCAGGATACAAGCGGCAGGGTACGCGCGGATTGCGGGGAGAATGTGTTTGTTGGAAAATGAGGTACAAGGTGCCAATTGGAGTTTAAGGCAGGGGAGAGTCTCTTACCGCTGATGGGTTCTGCAGGTGAATCAGAGGAGGTAGTGGAAAGAGTGGGAGGCGTGGCTTGTTGTGGTTGAAACCCGCATCATCACAACGGGCGCTGCGGGCCTCGAATGGGGTTAGCGTGGGCATTACTAATGCGCTCTATACCACGGGCAATAAAGTGGGCAATCAACTGACTATGATCTTCTTAATAATTAATCCTTTCAATTGTGGCTCTGGCTGTGAGCATAATGACTGGTTCTGTATGTGAATTGGTCGATTACTTCACAATATATAACTAACTCGCAGATCTAGATCAGATTGAATCTAAATCACTGAATCTAATTCCTGCGCATCTACACGACCCACATGTGAATATTACCCATCAAACGGCATTAGGCTCCTTCAATGTCAACGTTCCTGGCTGCTCCAGCATAATCAATGGTCCTGCTACCACACTGTGTTCGGTCGGGGCACCAGGCTGATCCGCAATAACTGCAATAATGATGCTCGTCGGGTCAAACTGCTTCGGAATAGTCGAGGTATTGTCGACTGGGTTGAACGGCACACTAATGGTATCCACACCATGAAAGAACACCGCATAGTAGTCACGCGACCGTCCAAACGAGGGCTGATTATTTGGATCAGAAAACACAAACTGGATCCTCGACCCGGGACGTCCAGTGGTTGATTTCTTGCTGAATGCCAGCTGCGGCAGGTTCTGACGCGGACTTGGATATACCGGATTTTGAGCCGGACAGCTGCCAGGCAGAACGAAGGCATTGGTGGAGTCCAAGATCTGGTTGGAGTAGGGGTAGATGGTGTCGGCGGGACCGGAGAACGGACTGACGTTCCATACATCGATCAGCGACCAGACATTGTGGCGGGTTTCCACCTCGGCAATTGCCATCAGGGCAGATTTGGACATGTTGGTTTTGGCTTCGCGGACCAGGCCAGTCAGGAATGCCATGCTAGAGACTTCGATATACACCTGCAGTGTCAAGAAGGTGTCGGTGCTGTTGCCTAAGCCGAAGGCATACCGGCAGGGTCCCGGTTTCAGGGAGTAGTCCGAGATTTGGTCTTGAAAGATGCGAACATGGCCAGCCTCGTTGTCGCGCAGTTCGGTGACGCGCTGATAAGTGGTGTTTGGAAGCCCCAGTTTAACAAAGTCGGCAGTAGAGAAGTTCTCCACGGCTTCTTGGTAGAAGGAATAGATGATCCATTCTGCGCTCAGCAGGTTCTGAAAAAGGAGATCATCCGGCTGTGGCGCACCATGCTTGGTTGCTGGGATGACTCTGGTGTACTCGGGATCTAGAGGTGTCTTCTTCCCACTATAGCTGACGAAGAGAGACGACTCGCCGGGGACCGAGTCCTTGGCTTGGCTTGGGGATGGAAGAGCAAGTGATGGAAGAACAAGCGCCAAACTGGCAATGATGGATGAAGAAAGATGCATGGTTGATATCGAAGTAATAAAAAAGAGTTGTTAAACTGAGTGGTAGGGAGAGAACTTGTGGTTCCTTTTGAACTCTTATATAGTTTTCAATATAGGCAGCACTTTTCAACCAAACTGCGGGGGAAAAATGCACCGCGGGCCCTTTGAGGCTATACAATTCAACTATCTGTACTGTGGGGCAATATGTTAAGCCTTGTTGCACTAAACTTCTTTTGGCTGATTCTGCGAGGCAATCCCTATACGCTAGCCATATCTAACCTAGTGCAATTTCAAGCTGAAGGGCCTGAAAACCGAAGAGTTCGCGGCTCGCGCAATGCTCTAAAAGGGGGAATTGCACTGGAAAATCATGGACTGACGGTTGTAAGACCTGGAAATTTCAACAGCCATAAGAAAATTTCGTGCATTTGGATTTGGGTCTGGGGATAGGAATACAGCGATGCAAAAATATATATTAGGAAATAATGGAATAAGCAGAAACCAGACTGGTTTAAGGCCTGGGCATATTCTCCCTCCGACCCATCTCGAACCCATGCGTGTCTGCAATAAAAGCCATGATTTTCTCCAACCACAGAGCCTCAGCCGAGTTAGGAACAAGATTCCGATACGCTACATTGAGCGGAAACAGGAGCATAAACGCCCCGGAGCTGCGCCGAAGGCCATGGAGTTGGTAATCTGCCATCCTGCAAATCTCAAGAGTGGTATCCATTCTAGTTCCCTGCATCGGAAGAAGAGGGTCGCTCATGAGTGGCGCAAAAGAGGGTTCCATGCTTATACCAAACCACTCACACATACTTTGCAGAATCAACAGCAATGAATCGTAAAAGACCAGCTCGGTGGCACGGAGAGGGTCTCGAAACCAAATGACTGTCTGGAATGGACTGGGAGGTAATTGCATCGAACGTGGTGAGTCGGCATTGTTTGGAACAGTGAGATATGTTGCATCTGGAAATTCCTCCTGCCAGGCCCAGCGCCAGTTATAGAGGGCATTCATCGTGGATAGTATTTTTGTGCAGAGCTCCGCTCTGACTTGTGCCTGACTGGGTGTCATTGGGTCTAAGGTCCGATCATAATCCTCCAGAATACCGGGGATATCACATAGAATGTCGTGCAGACGATCTGTTGGTGTCTTTGCCTCTTGTCCTTTCTCGGCCCAGGGGATTGTTTTCCATGCTGGATCTTCCAGAAAACAACGTTTGCGATCAACAATATGCCCAATAGACTATGAAGCAATCAGAAAACCAATTCTCAGAGTCGCATGAGTGAATCCTACTATGCTTGCTCGGACAGTGGGAAGCAACGAAAACGCAACGCCAGATTGGTGACGATGCGGGCCTCTCAATGCTATCTGTCCAAAATATCAGAATCTGCTGGGAACCGGAAGTGTATGAGTAACACCTACAAGTCGTGACAAGCCCTTGTAATGTTGCAGCCAACCCCAGGGTTGTGTAAAGGTAACCAATTCATAAATCCCAAGACAGACGACCGCGATGACAACGTCCGACTCTAAGACTTGATCGGAATGCTGTAACTGTCCGCGCAGACTTCGCAGAGCCTGGGAGTACGAGCTTGCGCCCTTGCGCATGAGATCTGGATGACCATGGACCTTCCCAAAGTAGGAAGTCGCCAAAGCACGCACTGAAGACATGGACAGACCTCTTGGATCATCGGCATGGCGGAAAAGTACTGAAATCCAGGACGCCGAGTACGACGACAAGTCATCCTCATGCCAGCTAAACAGTCTGTGGATGAGATAAGATGTAAAAATACTGTCCTCATCCCAGGGAGGATTGATCATCAACGAGACTTGGATTTCGCGACCCTGCTCCCCGGGGCTGTCACCATCTGCGTTGGCAGCCAACGCAGTTTCCGTCACAGGCTCCTTCGTCGGGGGGTCATTGCGAGTCAAGCGAGCTGTTAAATTCACGAACTCGTGGTACTTGACATAGCCCTCACACTCGAGGCCAGACTTGCTGCAGCGTTCGCAACCCGGCTTCCCTTCATCTGCAACGGGTCAATAGTTGCGCCAAGCCGAAGAGCGTTGAATATTGACGTACCGCATTTGACTTTGCGCCGCCGACAGGTTCGACAGCCCTTGCTCCGACCGCCGATGCCCACCATTATTGGTACATCTCAAGCGGATATGACAGTGAGTGACGAGCGAATTTGGGGCCGAAATCTAGGTCGTTCGTAGGCGGCAGAGTGGGTCCGGCTGCCTAGAATGGTTGGCGGAGTTGGACAGCAGCCTGTAGAGTGAGTTACGCATATTTGACGAGGCTTGTTGTACAACAATGCCAGTGCATTACATTCTCCATATTTTGGTTCGTACTCAATGGATTTATGAAATGGGGTTTAAAGAGGGGCCACCGCGCTAGCATCTCCGACTCGGTCCCCCGCTCAGCCTGTCCGGCATGCCGAGACCGACCTCTCCATGAAATGCTTTCCGGAAAATCACCGGGGCAGAGTCCCGTCAAAAGGTTTCCATACTATGTTTTAACACCGCTATGGAAGTAAAATGATGATCGCGACCCATTAGTTCAATCTTAGGTAGAGACAATTGGCTCCGATATTGAAGAAGTATAATTTTTGTGAAAGGGAGTTGCTCCAGTGAAAAGCGAATCTCCTACATCCCGCGAAGACTGCGCATGGAACGGGAAATACACCGATCTGGTCTGAGAACATAATAATAGATGTAAACCGAGCAAAGTCTGGACAATTGCTTATAATTTCCTATTCTAGCTGTTGAGCGTATCCGCCGATCTTAGAAACGGTTACGCCCAGAAAGTTTGAGCCGCCTCCACCTAGATGAATTATATCTCTCTTCCAAAAGTACTCAGCCAATAGTAATGAATGTGGGACACTGCTATGTTGCACACTGTGGCGGCAAATAACTGAAAGAGATAGTGATGCGCGGTGGGTCCACTCCACCCTCAGGTCGGAAAGACTTCGGCTATTGAACCACGATGACTTCAATCGCCGATGTGAAGGGAAAAGATAGAGAGCTCTAGCAAGTCATGCTTTTGAACCCCTTGTCGGCAACCATTTGCCCCAAAGCGGCACTGAACAGCCCAAACCTAAGGCCGACAGGGGAGGGGAATGATGCAATGCCGCTCTCTGGTCGATTAGGATCGTCAGGGCTCGGACAGAGTCCGACTATATTCCTACTGGGAGGTAATGGGTATTTAACAGGCGTGGTTGTAGGTTGTCGTTGGTGAAGAACCCATCGGTCACTCGGAAGACAACTGCCAACACGAACGATCTTTCCATTCATCCATCATGATTCTATGGCCTCTCGTGACCTTGGCCAGTGTGGTCACCGGGCACGTCGTCCATGAAGGTACCACCTGCACTCTGTATCCTGAGGCCCTCAGACACAATGGCAAGGCCATCGACGATTCACCATCCATCCACAGAGCATTTGAGTTGTGCGGCAAGGACGGGAATGTCATCTTTACCGATAACACCTTCCACATCAATTCGGTTCTGAATACCACCAATTTGGTCAACTGCGACGTCTCTGTTCGTGGAGAGCTTCGCTTCTCGGATGACATTGCCTACTGGCGTAACAACTCCTACTCGGTCGTCTTTCAGGACCAAGTGACCGCCTGGCTATTCGGAGGCAAAGACGTCAACGTGCATTTTGATGGTGGCTGGTACAATGGCCAGGGACAGACTTGGTACACAGAAAACCGCAACACTAGCAACCAGCCCGGCAGACCTATCAGCATGACCTTCTATGATTCTACCAACCTCCTTGTCGATGGTCTGACCATTATCCAGCCGCAGTTCTGGGCAACATTTGTCTGGAAAAGCCAGAATGTTTCTCTTACAAACCTCGTCGTCAACGCTACTAGCAACGACCAATGGGGCACTATGAACACGGACGGTTATGACTCGTGGAATAGTGATACGCTGCTCGTTGAAAATGCAGTTATCACTAATGGCGATGATTGCGTGGCAGCCAAGGGAAATACAACGAATCTCGTCGTCCGAAACGTCACCTGCAACGGTAGCACTGGCATGACCATTGGTTCTGTTGGACAATATCCCAAGATGCCAGACTATGTTCAGAACGTCACGTTCCAAGATGTTCGATGCTTGGGCTGTACCGACGGAGCCTACATCAAGACCTGGCAGGGAACCTATACTTCGAGCTCTTCTAATTTGAACGGCGACACTGGCGGTGGCGGCCACGGCCTCATCAAGAATATCACCTTCCGTGACTTCGAGATGTCCAATGTGGGACTGCCAATCCAGATTTCTCAGTGCATCTACACCGAGTCTACCAGCAAGTCCTGCAATACATCCAAGATGCAGATCGAAGATGTGACATGGGCTAATATCAAGGGCACATCGCGATACAATATTGCTGCCTCCATCTACTGCTCAGATCTGCACCCTTGCCCCAACATCAACTTCGAAAACATTGATATCCGCTCCGTCAACAGCACCTTGGGTCTTCCGATGTATAACACGACACTGCAGCATGAGGTGTATCAGTGCAAGAACGTTATTGGCCAAAAGAATTCTGGAATCCCCTGCAATCATGTCGCTCCAGACAACTACCCCCAGAGCCCCCCTGGCAATGTTCACTGAGTGGAGGAATGAAGAACTCTGATCTCTCATCATGAATCATCTTCTTAACTGTTTAGACTTGATTGTTTTTGGTGATAGAAAATGGCTATATCAAGAGGGTATTTGTGAAAGTATATAGAATAGATCGTGGTTTCTCTATGTATTCTGGGTCTATAGACAGAATTGATATAATCTCAAGGGGCCGAATGACAACGTGTTCTTCGCCTTTGCGACAAAGCATGCGGTATTCTTTTGGACTTCATGTACGCGATACGATCAAACCAAGGACCTTTCATGATGCGGGACAACGCCACTGAAACAGGTAAGTTCCGCACCACGAGAGCTGAGCATGCAAATGCATGGATTCAGTGTGAATGGGGGTGAGTCGGAGGGAATGATCCAAACAAATCGCTCCGGGTGAGCGTTGCTCTCCACAAGCGTGTTTCCAATCTCATGGTGGGCCTGGATGGAGCCCACGATATCACATTTACCGTACACGAGCTGCATGTCGCCTTCGAAGTGTCCACAAACTTGACATGGATGTTATGCAGCGAGTCTGCCATAACATCTGCGGGTGGAAGCGCAGAATTTCAGCGTCGTGTACAATGCCAGCCAGGCTGGTACCCGATAGGCACAGCCTTAAAAGAATGTCGCAACGCAAATCACATCTTTGACGGGCCGATGTCGACTTGGAAAGCGGTATTGTCTATCTGAGGAAACTTTGTTATTGTCCACTTCCATGCGTGCTTTATACATCCTTCATTCTTGATTCTGGCCGACACCACTCCAGAAATGCTAGCTATCTTTATCAGTCGAGTTCAATTTCCAGTTAAACACCCCATTACCGCGGCCATCGAATCGTCGGCTGACATCGCCAGTGAACGGAGACTAGCAACATCATCGCAGGCCTATTCCGAAAAAGCTTCTTTTTACGTAAAAAGCCAAAAACGACGTCGCGAGGAGAACATTTCGAAGTGTTCGCCTGGCCGAGCTTCTTAGAAATGATTAAACGGGTTCATTGAGCCTGTGAAATCCAGCTGGCCATCAAATGTTGTCCGGTTTTGCGGATGCGGCCTCAGATCCACCTAATCGTGGCGGATACGAGCAAGTGAACATCCGAGGTATTGAGGCTTGGTTTGGTCTGGGGCATGGCATCTACCACCTGCCTAAAGGAGTGTAGGCTTCGGACGCGGTGTATCCGAGATGTGCTGCATTACTTCTTAACTCTATACCGGATGTAGTGCGCTGCGGATGCCGAGCTACACGGGTCGGCTACGGGCAAAAGGGGGTCCTTGGCGTACATCGCCAGCTTGTGCACAACTTTATCGCAGACAACATTGGAAGCAAGCGATTGGAGAGGTCCTGGGATGATGCCGGTGCATGGATTTATAAGATTTATAAATCGAACCTACCTTTCTCCGGGCCAAGTTAGTAGTCCAAGGAGACGGACAGACCGGCGTGGATTTGCACCATTCAAGGACCGTGCCCCCACAGAGAACGCGGGGTTATTCCGTGCCTTGAAACCATCCTCCACCAAAGCCAACAAGTGAAACGGACTGGCGGCCGACGTCACTAGACAATAATGCCCCTCATCGGTTCACTAATTTCTCATATAACCAATAACACGACGATTGTGGCTTAGGCATCATGCAATAGTGGGTGGAATTCCAAATCTGCTGTCCCACTTGGAGAGAGCCAGATGCCGGACGCGGAAACAACTTGGAGACGGGGAAAAAACTGGGGGAAGCTTTTCAATTATACTTTTCGGGACGCCACGCAACGCAATGGCGCCGTCTGGGCGTGGCAGATCGCAGTATTCTTATATGCCGTGCGACTTGTGTGCAGAGGACCGCGCAGCCAAACCCGGGGGCATACAGCCGACTCGGGCTAAGTCCCCGGCTGGGCAGCCTCCCCACACTATTCGCCGCAGTGGACCCGCCGAACTGGGCACAGGGCCTATCGTCCGCGAATGGAAGGACCCAACTGCGATGGAAGGTCCCTTCTGTGTCTGGACCTTGGTAAATCTTGACCTATTCAGGAATGGCCTATGGAGGAACTCCGGGGTAGCAGGGGGCAGGGATGCCTCCCCAGACCGCAGACCAAAAAATATAAATCCCCCTGGGGAGCCGGATGATCTCACTACTCCCCAGATCTCATCTCTACACAGACAGGCAGTCTAGCTGACCTCATTCCTCACCATGTCGGACGAAAACATCAGCGAGAAGCAAGACCCCTCCACGGCGGAGATGCTCCGTCGCATCCAGACGGGCGAGAGTGTGCTGCTTCCCATCCCGCGCGATGCGTTTGAGAAGCTCTACCTGAGTCCCAAGACACCTACGGCGGGCAATCTGGCCCGCACCTTCGGTAACCCGACTCCCATTTGCCTGATGGGTTTCTTGCTGGCCGCGACCCCGGCCTCGATGGCTGTGATGGGCTGGCGAGGCTCGGGCGGCAATGGTGGTGCCATCTTGTAAGCTATATGTATGGGTTGAGAAATTGGAGGGTCGACGCTAACACCAGATGGTAGGCCTGTATATATTTTCTTCGGAGGAATGGTGCAGGTCATTGGCGCCGTCGGAGAATGGATTCTCGGCAATACTTTCTCCTGCGCTCTGTTCTTTACATATGGCACCTTCTGGATTGTCCAAGGAACCACACTCATACCGGATTTTGGCACCGGCACCCAGTACTCACCCACCGGCAATGGGCTGGAGGGTATGAAGACAGCCGAATATAGCGCCACAATCGGTTCGTGACATGCCTCCCCTTTTTGTGTTCTTGACTGATTTCGCTAGGCCTCTACTACGTTATACTTTCCGTTGTCACCTTTGTCTACCTCATCTGCTCAATTCGCACCAACGCTGCTCTTTTCCTTGCCCTTTTCCTACTTGTCATCGCATTCGCTCTGTATGCGGGCATGTACTTTCAGATTGCGGCCGGAAATGCTGCCCATGCCGCGACATTGCAGAAGGTATGTTATTGCTCTCCACTTCCTTTGACATTCTCAGTATTACGTGCTAAGATATTTCACCAATAGTGTGCCGGAGCATTCAATTTTGCTCTTTGTCTACCAATCTGGCATATTTTCGTTGCCCAAATTCTCGAGGCGGTCGACTTCCCTATTTCACTGCCGGTCGGTGACCTGAGTACCTGGGTACTGGGCAAGTCTCAAAAGGCAAAGAGAAGGGAGGTTGAGGGTGGGAGGTGATTCAACTCTGCTTATCGACAATGCCTTGAATGAGCTATATGAAAGAAATAGTTAACAGCTCAGAATATACGTTATGCTAGTTGTTATTTCATATTCCAATCAACTGCTCTTCTGATGCTCGGAAACCTGCCCCCACGTCGGCGGTACAGATGTTGTGAACTTGCATTGCAAAACTTCGGATTAGTCTTGTTCTTATTCTCAGTCTGGTCGTTTGGCTACTAGATAGACTGCAGCACGAAGTCTTTCTTCATTCAAGTTCGCATGTAGCGATCATCCTAAGCATGCTCTATAAGCTGTTAAGCGAAGCGAGGTTACAGGCCTGTCTACACTAATAATCTCTTGAGAATTTCCCCCAGGTCTAAGCAATCCACGGCTCGGACAGGATGTACATAACCATTTGAACTGTCTAGAAATTGGCGCTCATGCAAAGGATCCTCCCGTAATCCAGCGTATCATCATATCCTGTGCAACATCAGGCCGATTTTGAGGAAGCTGTGAAATATTAGTTACCATCAGCCATATCTTTCATTTCATCATAAGCAACTGGAGGGTACTCACGAAATGACCTGCTCCATCAACTGTCACAATCGCGAACCGTGACGGAATTTCAGCACCGTCCGTGGTAAAAATGCTGACCTCTTTCATTGTCCCAACAGTCTCATTCCTCCCCGTGGTCGCAAGGGCCGCAGACCAGGGCCGCAGGGCCTTGGAGGCAAACTCGACCTGGCCTTTCCAGCGCAGCGAATCCGCCCAGCGTATATTTCCGGCCGTGTTACAGGCAAGGTCGAGATTACCTTGGTAGGCCATGTAGTGCACCTGGTTCTCGAGTAAATAGGCGACATGTGCGGACGAGGAGGTCATCAGGTCTGAGGAGGTCTCAAATGCGCGAGCAACGGTGTCAGATTCGACCACGTATTTCTTCACTTGTTTCGGTGGAGACAATGCTTTCCAGATGGTTGGGCTGTTGAGGTACTGCTCGATGCGCGCAGCTTCGATATAGCATATATCATCGATTTCACAAGGCGCCGTGACTGTTGCCTTCTTGTAAGCCAATCGCGACACCACCCATAGAACTAGGGTTCTTGACTCACTATCGAATCGGTTCCGTCCGCCACCATATGACTCCTCGTCATACCACCGGATTACACCATCCCAGCAGACAGAAACTGCAGCATTGCATATAGCGGGATCGGGATTGCGCTCACAGATCTCGGCAACCTCCTGGCACCGAGGCATATTGGCAGCCATGATATCACATCTCGTGCTGTTGAAGACGGGCTCGGCAACGCCCGGGTTGGTCGTGCAAAGCGTTTCCCAGTACCCGAAAGCCGAGTACTTCGGTGACATGTAGCCATTTCCTACCAGGCACGACTGCAGGGGTACCTGGGGCTGGTTGGGATAGCGCTTGTTCTGGCGCACGATCTGGCTGCCGAGATACGGGACATATTTTCCCTGAGATAGATTAGTATCGTACGATGTGGATAGACTACAGGGGAAAGCGAGTTCATACTGCAAACGATTCGCCAGAAAGGTGGAAAGGGACCTTCTGCTTGTCAGGAAAAACCTCCGTGATGAAAATCTGCAGGAACCTGTGCATGTCCACGGCAGCTTCCTGCGAGTTATGCGGGATATCGTATCCTTCATCGGTATACGAAAACCCAACATTGACAGGCTGGTCCACAAAGAGCAGCGACGTATTCTGTGACCAGCCGTAGGGATTGTAGTAGGTGCCATTACCATGCTCATTAATCAAACACGGACCGACCTCCTCAAACAGACCGATCATACTCGAACCGCCTGGCCCACCTGTCATCCAGAGAGTCAATGGGTCGTTGGCAGGATCATTCCGGCTCTCGAAGTACCAGAAAAAGAGATGATGAGGGCCGACATCGAGCCACCCAGTGTACTGAGCCGAGCCGGCAGCGCAGATGGATTCATCCTGCTGCCTGATACGGATGGAGTGGTCTGGCGAGTGACTGCTCCTGTACACGCGGAAGTCGGAAGAGGACTGAGGCTCGGCGCGCAGCACCTCCTGCGAGAAGGCGGTGCTGAGGCCAAAAAGTGCGGCGTAATAAAGGAGCAGCATTTTTGTTGTTGTCGTCGTTGTGAAAGGGTGAGAATTCACATCAGCTGAAGCTGTTACCTCGTCAAGTAGTATGGCGCTAACAATCCCCCCCCCCTAGTCCGTCGGAGTCCGGAGTTCGGATTGGTCTTGACTGCACTGGGAAGTGATAGATCTTCTCCACCGCAGATATAGATCCAGGTAATTGATGTATAGTGATTTAATTACATTGCAAGTTGTCGCCCATTTACAGTAATCGTTGGATTGTTGTTATGCGGCTACGGCTTGTTGCCAAGTTCGCTTTCGTCTGGACAGATAGCATTGACACCATCATTTTCGTAGCAAGATATATGACATTTAAAAAGTATCCCCCTCCCTGAGGTCAGTTTGACTGTGGTGATGAATGGAGATGCCTAAATTCCCAAGAAATAATACACATGCAGCCTAGTTGTACACCGGCACACTCGCGTCATGTTCCCGGAAAAAGAATATCATCATTTCCCTCCTTTCCAAAGGCTCTTCACGTCCTTTTTGACTCCTTTAAACAGACCCTTGACCTCCGCCTTAAGTGCTTTTCTCTCTTCCTTAGACCATTCTCTGTTCCGCTTCGCGGCCCTGATATCCTGGGCGTGGCTTGTGAGTAGAGTCGAGATGCTCTCCACCGTGCACTTGGTGCATTGCCTCTCATCGGCGAGGTCATTCAATGCACTTGACAACGCACGTATGATCTCTTTTGCCTGTGGTTTTTGTAATTCGCGATCGAGAAGCGGAGACTGGCTGGGTCCGTGGGCCGAGCAAGGCGCGTTGGGGCTTGTACTGATCGGTCATTTATTAGCTGATACGGATGAGGCAGAAAGATCAGAGGCTCACTGCTCTCGCTCTTGTTTTTCAACCTTATCGCACTCGACAGAGTCGATGGAGATGTAGGAAGGCGCCTTGGAGCCGTTGGTCTTGAGTTGGGTCATTATCTCGATTTGGGGACAGCCGGAGAGTGACTAGGTAGGATATTTTGTGAATGACAATAAAATGCTTGTGAAGTGCTGCCCACAATATTTGGTTGTGCTGGCTGGAATTTATATTGCACAGCATGTGTACATACTGCGAAATTAAGACAAGTCCGATATGCCCGAGCACTACTCGCCGTTAGGCCCGAACCGAGCGCCGCGGGAGCCTTGTAGGCGGCGACCATTGCTAAGTTGGGTGGCTCCGAGAGAAATGTCCGACCGGCCTCGGGGTTTCTTCTACTCTCCATACTCACCACCGGGTCGGACAGCAAGTCTGTAACTTGATCGGGCGAGTGAGTAATAATCGTATGTTGGATGTTGATTTCCCTACACTTAGCAGTTGTTAGCTAATCTCAATGGCTCAACAACTGTAGCTAGATGATCCCTTTATTTCGATTACAAAGGAATGTGAATCCTTTCTCTCTTTCTATCCTCTCATCATGGTTTCTTACGGTTTCCCAAAAGATCCCAACATATGGTGTTTGTAACTCTGAGCACCCCCGGGCATACAGCCAGTAGAGTCGACCGGCTGACGAGGTAAGGATACTACTAGTATTGATCCTACTATATTCCGAGTCCTATCAGATTCGAATGGGCCATATGTTTGTCCCTATTTTTATAACTAATGCCAGTACAATGATTATTAAATGCTGCGCATTGTGCTATACTTAGACCCTGATCCGCACCTTCCAAATCGGGTAGCGATCCACGCGACTAGGTGGCGCGTTAAGCTTTCGTCACCCGAGTCAATAACATGACTGCCTGCGATCCGCCTTCCTCCTTTCTCTTCCCTTCCTGCGTGACCTCTGGTGGTGATACCATAACCTCATATATACCAGGATCTCTTAACCCAGGCCTCCCTCCCCAGAATTGACCAAAACAATCAATCAATCATCCCTCCGCAACCATCAGGGGACCGACCACCATGGCGCCTAGGGATACCGTGGTCCGCATCTCGAAGCTGCTGGTACTGTCTTACGTGGTCGACTGGGTGTTTATTGTGTACGTTGATACTTGATACATACTATGTAGGCCAAAAGAAGAAGAAAACTAATCTCCATGGATAACCAGAGGCACCGCGCTCATCGGCTACGGCTTCTCCAAACTCACCCCTAACCACCACCCTTTCTCCCTCACCGACCCGAGTATATCCTACCCTTACACCAAACATGAAACCGTCACCATGCGCACCCTGGTCCTCGCCGCCGTCGTCGCGCCGGCGGTCATAATCCTGATCGTGTCGCTAGTCTTCACACCCGGTTCCGCGACGGCACATGCGCGGCCCTCCAAGTCGCAGATCCTGCGGCGCAAGTTGTGGGAGTGGAACGTCGGGTGGATGGGTCTGGGGGTTGCGCTGGCAGGCGTCTTCCTAGCCACAGAGGGACTGAAAGATCTGATCGGAAAGCCGCGCCCGGACTTCCTGGCGCGCTGTAACCCGGACCTGGCGAAGGTGGCGGAATTTGCGGTCGGTGGGCTTGGCCAGCGTCTGCAGGGCGCTCCGAATATTGTCTCGTGGGAGATCTGTCGGACGAAGACTTCCTTGGTCCGCGTGGATGGGTTCTCCAGCTTCCCGAGCGGACATTCATCATGTATGTGACATGAGCCCGTACGAACGGAAAGCGGCTAGCTAACTTCGGATGGTAGTTTCGTTCGCAGGATTGACGTATCTGACCCTGTGGTTTTGCGCGAAATTCTCCATCGGGTTCCCCTATTTGACGCCCTTTCCCGTGGAAGAGGAGGAAACCGATGAGCTCTCCTCGGTGCGCAGACGTGGCGCCGCGCCTCCGGTCGTCTTCATGCTTGTCGCGTTTGTGCCGTTCGCCACGGCCTGCTTCATTGCTTCCTCGCGGTGGTTCAACTATCGACACCATGGATTCGACATCCTATTTGGCTCAGCTATGGGCCTCGTGTTCGCCTGGATCGGCTTCCGGATGTACCACATGCCGATTCGTCGCGGAGCCGGCTGGGCCTGGGCTGCGCGCAGTCGTGGACGGGCTTTCTTCCGGGGCTTTGGTGTCCCGAGCTCCTTGGGCAGTGACAGCTGGTCCAGTATGCGCGCTACCAGGAGAGAAGAACCGGGAGAAGACATTGATTTGGAGAGTGGACCCGTCCCGCCGAATGACCACCATTCCAAGGCCAACGGGAGCTCCGCTCATGGAGGGATTGGTGAGGCGCTGTAAAACTTGACGTGAGCCACGAGCATGGTATGGTGTATGGCCGTTGAGGCTGTGCTGTTATAATCGCATAATTTTATTGTTTAGTGTATAATAGTATAATACATTCGTGTACTTCATCATCTAGACGGCATATCATCGTAAGGGGTGCTCATCGGCGCACGAATGTCTATCCATCAGCGCCATCCGCCGACTCTCCCCTCATCCCACCGCGCCTTGGCTTCTTTGCGAGCTGCCAATTTCGCAGCCTCCGCACGTACGCGCCGCACCCAATCCGCAATCTCCTTCTCCGACGCCCGACCCTGATGGTCCTCGTCAAGGAAACTCTCCTCCACAGCCCGACATACGGCCTCCTGTTCTGCAATCGCAGCGCTGAGGCGCTGGTACAATGCCTTGGGCGACCACGGCGCCAAGGCAGCATCCATCTCGGTCTGCTTCTTACGCCAGGAGACCTCGAGCGACTGGTGTGTGAGGAGCATGGCCTCGGTGGAGGCGCGTAGGTCGGCCAGATGGTTCTCCATTTCTAGGACGCGGGTTGCGAGATCTTTGTTGACTGCGATGAGGGATTCGAGGTTTTGTTGGCGGGAGGTGGACGAGGGGTGTTGGCTTGATAGTGCAGAGATCAGGTTGGGGTCTTTCAGGATTGTTTGTAGGTCGAGTGTTCTGTTTGGGAGTTAGAGAGATCCAATCCAAGTCGCGAGGGAGTGCTGCGGGCGTACGATTTGTCCTTTACGATCTCGGGAAGCCAGCCCTCCTCGATTGTTGGTGGTTCGGGCAGTGTAGGCTCTGCGTATGATGCTGGCGGTGCTCCACCAGGCTGGCTTTCCGTGTAATAGCTTGGTTGACTCTGCGGTGCGGCTGCCAGGGACGACTGGTTCTGGGGGGTCCCTCCTCGGCTGGCTTCATGGCTGCTGGGTTTGGGCGGTGGCGGAGGAGGCGTGTCAGGATTGATGGCGGTGTTCATTATCTGTGGATTGGAGTAGTACGGGGATGGTGATTGCGACATGGTGGAATAAGGGTGGGGGATGTGGAAGAAGAGAAGCGGGAGTTGAGCTAAAGGCGGGGACAAGCCCGAGCTTGGCATCTACGGCAAGTATAGCAAATATTGAGAATGGCTTGAATGTATTCTTCTGGGGTATTTGGCTGTGGAAAATAATTCTCTTAGATGCAGCATAGGGGTATTCTCATCCCAACTCATGCCGCAGAAGGTGTATAGCTGGGGCATCTCATCCCCGGCACGATGACCGGCAAGATGAGCTAAAGGTTTGCTACCACGGAGCTGTGATAGTCCAAGCTGACAGCGCGAACACAATGCCGCTGGAGCGTTCTTGATGATTTGTGGGGGGTCTCGCAGAGAGTCAAGACATGACATGGGATATCCCTCCGTTTCACTCCATCCTCCTCCGCAGATCCCGTTCCTGCGTCTCGATATTGGTCCCCGCAATTGCATCCATCACCAGCTCACGCAGTTGATTCTGTGTCGCCTCACTGTGGAAATCTTCTCGAGCCGCCAGCTCATCGATCCTCCGCTTGAACTCCGGATCCACCTCTGTCTCACCCGCGCTGGCCTCCTGCTCCGACATTGTCCCGATATTCACTCGCATATTGTCCGGTACTGGCGGCGGCCGGTTCAAGGGATCCAGGGGCGGGACTGCAGTCGCCTCTGCGGGAGGCACGCCGGCAGCCTGTCGAAGGTAGATGGCGACCTGAGGGAACTCGTCCTCGGCCTCCATTTTCTCGTATGCGGTCAGGCCCTCGTCGTTCTTCTTGTTATAGTCCACCCCAAGCTCCTCCACTAGACACTTGGCGATTTTGGGTTTCTCGGTCACGAAGAGACAGGTCTCGCCATCTTCATCGAGGAGATTGACGTCGACATGTAATTCATTCACCAGGGCGCGGAGGAGATCGATGTGGCCGTAGGACGCGGCGGCGTGGAGTAGGGAATAGCCGTGCTCGTCCTGACACGATGCAATGGAAGGATTGGAGCGCAGGTGCTCGAGAAGCACCGAGGGCTGGTCGCAGGCCAGGAGGTATGGATTGGGTTGGGCCATAGTGGTTTGTCAGAAGAAAAGAAGAAGAAAAGAAAAAGAAGGCGGGGAGCGATAACCACCGATAAGGCTGGGCTGGGCGCACCTTTCCTTTTTTGCTCCCCGCCGAGTGACACATTCTTGCTGGTGAAGCTATTGACTCACGCCGACACATAAATACCGAAGCTTTCGTGTGCTGTGGTCGTCCGGTCCCTCTCCCTTCTGCACTTCCATCCCACCGTGTCAGCCCTCGGGGAGCCGCAATCATGGCGAAACAGGACCCCTCGCAGATTGCACGTCTGGTCCAGGCCCTGGAGGATTGCCGGAGTATGAACAAGGGCGACAAGAAGAAGACCTTTAACTGCAAGAAAACGACCTTCGCCGTCGCGGGTACCAACGCCACGGTCGATTCCTGGAAATTCATGGATTGGGACTACAAGCGCTCCGATTTGCCAATCTATGCCCGCGGCCTCTTCACCACCAAAAGGAAAGACGGGGCTCGCGAGATTGCAGTGCGCGGATACGACAAGTTCTTCAACATTGACGAGACGAACAGCACACGCTGGCGAAATATCGAGAAGAACACCCGTGGGCCCTATGAGCTCAGCGTGAAGGAGAACGGGTGCATTATTTTCATATCCGGGTTGGAGGACGACAAGCTGCTGGTGTGCAGCAAGCATTCGACCGGTGTCCGTGAGGACGTCAATCTCAGCCACGCCCAGGCCGGTGAGCGCTGGGTGGAGCGGCATGTGGCCTCGGTGGGCCGCACCGTCAAGGATCTGGCAAGAACGCTGCGCGAATCGAACATGACAGCAGTTGGCGAGCTCTGTGACGACACATTCGAGGAACACGTTCTGGCCTACAACGAGGAAGCATCCGGCATCTACTTGCACGGTCTCAACTACAATCTCCCCGAGTTCGCAACAATGTCAGGCGAGAAGGTACACCAGTTTGCCGATGCGTGGGGCTTCAAGAAAGCCAAATTCGAGGTCTTTGATGATATCGCTCGCGTGCAGAGCTTCCTTGAAGGCTGTGCAGAAACAGGAACGTGGGACGGACGGGAGACGGAAGGCTTCGTGATCCGATGCCAGCTGAGCGAAGACGGCACAGGTCCCTATCGGGACTGGTTCTTCAAGTACAAGTTTGAGGAGCCCTATCTCATGTACCGGCAGTGGCGCGAATGCACCAAGGCCGTCATCGCGGGTCGACTTCCCAAAATCAAGAAGCACGAGGCTATCACCGAAGAATACCTGCAGTACGCGCGGAGGCGGTTTGTCAAAGAGCCTCAGCTTGCCAAGGCCTATGTCAAAAACCACGGCATCATTTCCTTGCGAGAGGGTTTCCTCCAGGAGCGAGGACTGAAAGGATCTGAGATCATTGCCATGGAAATCCAACGAGAGAAGAAAGGCAAGGAAAACAATCGCAACGTTATTCTTGTTCCCATTGCATCGCTGGGATGCGGCAAGACGACCGTGGCTCTCGCCCTGGTGCGGCTTTTTGGATGGGGCCATGTCCAAAACGACAACATCCCCAAGGGAAAGGGCAAGCCGAAGAAGTTTGCCTTCGAAGTCAGCAATAGTCTGTCGGAACACGCGGCCGTCATTGCAGACCGAAACAACCACCAGAAGCGCGAGCGCATGCAACTCATGCAGGATATCTACCCGGTTCTCCCGGACGCACAGTTCATTGCCCTGCATTACGTCCATGAACCCAAGAACGAGCTGCTTCCGCGTATCAAAGAAGTCACCCGCTCTCGCATTCTCGAGCGCGGCGACAACCACCAGACCATCCGAGCTGCAACCGTCTCTCGAGGCGAGATCATCGGGATCATGGACGGATTCCTGAGCCGTTTCGAAGCCGTCGATCCCTACACCCAACCCGACGAAAGCTTCGACCAAATCATCGATCTGGACGTATGTGCCTCCTCGCGCGAGAACCTCGAGACGGTGGTAACTGCTTTGCACGCCAAGTACCCAGGTGTTGTCCCCAACATGCCCACGGGCGCCGAAATGGACGCTGCCATCGACGCGGCCCTGCGCGACTACCACGTCGAGGAGGATCTAAGCTACAGCTACAAGCAGGGGAAAGACAAGACCAAGAAGAACAATAACAACCAGCCCGAAGCCACCGTTCCTACCGACCCCGCCACCAAAGCACAACTGATCAAAAAGCAGCTGGCCAAAGAAACCGAATACTTCTCCGTCAATGTACCCTCCCGCGAAATCACCTCTGTCCTCGAATCTCTTTTTCCCCCATCCACCCCTCCGCATACAGCACGTCTATACAACCAACTGCTGAATTCGCGCCGCATCCAGCCAGCCTTCCATGTCACGCTCATCCACCGCAGCGCGAAGAAAGAGCACCCGCAGACGTGGGACGCCTACGTCGATAGAGCCCAGCTTGCACAGCAGGCTACAGAGACAGAGACAGAGACAGACTCTCAACAGGGACAGACTGCGCCCTCTGCACCTTCTGCGCGCGTTCGTCTCGAGCGTCTCATCTGGGACGACCGCATCATGGCCTTCATTGTGCGTTTGATCCCGGCGTCGGATGCCGAGGATGCGCAGTGGCCCTGCGTCAATGTCGTGCCGCATATCACGGTCGGTACCGCTGGGCCGAATATCAAGCCGAAGGAGAGCAATGATTTGCTGCAGAGGTGGCTGGAGGTTGGGTCTGGGGGTGAGACGGGGATTTTTGAGGCTGAGGTGCAGGGGGTCAGGGTGGTCGAGGGGATTTTTGGGGCTGTTATGAGTCGGAGATGATGTCTTTTCTTTTTGCTTCTTGTCTGGCGAGAGAGAGAGAGGTGAGGGAGGGCACGGGGAAGGTAGGATGTCATATCTGGTTACTCGAAGATGTTTATGACTTGATGATCGCTAGCCCGGATGTTATTCAAAAAGCAAATCGAAAAATGATAGCTACTGCATGCCATGAATGTTCTAGACTGTATGCAATTACATATACAAGGGAAATAAGGGTAGCTAGAGTATTAGGGGATCTTGCAAGTCTGTTCGAGGACAGTAGGGGAAGAGAGAGGAGACATCCAAACACACACAGCAAACTCAACCAGTCACCCAAGCCGAGACGCGCGACGCACCAAAGCGGCCCACGTACTGCAGCCCGGTGCTGCCCATGGGGAAATAGCTGACAGCATACCAGACGAGGGCGACAAGCTGGAAGATGCACGAGATGAGGGTGAGGAAGAGATTTTGCAACTGGACAGACACAGACAAGTCAGCATGGGTATTCATTCTTCTGGGTTCTCGGAGGAATGATAAAGCAAGTAAGCACGCCAGGGACGGTGCGACGAGCGACGACGATTTGGAAGAGATAACGACAAAACTTTGTCATCATCTCCTTGAATCGGCAGCCACACAGAGACAGAGAGGGCCGAGAGGAGAGGACAGGGTGATATTCGGGCGGAGAGAGGGTCCCGTATGTTACGTCGCACGACACGGCAAGAGTAAGGATGCAAGACCCCATCTCCCGCCCCTAGCACGACCAAACATCGCCGTGCAACGTCCAGATACACAGCATAGAAGGGGAGGACCGGGAAGGGAATAGTGACAAAGAACGTCATCGAAAGAAAGGCTTACCCCGACGGCGAAATAGAGCGTTAGCGCAATAGATCCGAAATAAGCGGCCGTGAAAGGCAGCCGTGGTCCCGAGACCAGATGTTTAGCGTAAGTCCAGGGTCCCATGAGGACGGCCCATGATATCAAGAACAGGAGTGAGCCGACAGACCACCTAGCAAAAGGACGCGTGTATTAGCCATAGAGAACGGAGGAGAGTTTTAGGGCTTCTTGGCAACTGAGGCGCAAGTATGGGTTGGAGGCAGAGGGCGACGAATCAAGAGGCCCGGATGAAGACACGATCTTCGCACATGGCCCTAGCCACGGCCCGCTCATGACCAGGATGATCCCGATATGGAATCTGACTGGCTGCTCAGGCAGACGCGATGGCTGAGACTGAGGCGTAGAGGGGGGGGGAAGAGAGCAGCTGAAAGACGCAAAATGACGACGACGAGCAACTTACAGGATCGCAAATTTGCGGGGCTTGATCGCCAAAGCAGGGAATAGGAAGAAGCAGATCAGGAAGCAGACGGCAGCACCTAGATTGCATGCCGCAAAGATGAGCATCCGGTCCCACCGGCTCACTGGAGTGGGGGGATTCTGTTAGTCGGAACTTGATATCAGGTTTCCCCTTGCCCGGTCATGTCCACGTATCTACACGCAAGAGGATGGATCCTCCCGGCGCAGGAACTGGAGAGTCGTCACCTGGAACCCGGCAGGCAGACATGAACAGACAGGGTGACCGGGGTCATGAGCCACACATGGGAGACGACTTACAAGCAAAGAATCCCTCTTCTTCCTCTCGACGACTGGCCGCGGGAAGAGGTGCCCCGGGACCTTCATTGTGAGTGGGCAGTTGGACGTAGCCTTCTTGGCCAAAAGGGTTCCAAGACTGGAGGCGCGAGAGGAACGGGGTGGTCGATGAAGCGTTGGTATTGACGGGGAGATCCGGGTCTCTCCGTGACCAGCCCAGGGCGTTGACGGAGTCCCGAAAGGAGTTAGTTGCCATGATCGAGATGAAGGTGTCGATCAAGGACTCGTCATATCCCAATGGAAAGGGCGTGCACGGCTGCAGGCAAGATGGGAAGCGGAGGCCCGTGGTGTCCCAAAACGTCTGCAGGGACTATGTATATGGAGTGCAGATGATCTTCGCCGGGTGGTGGCTGATCGGAGGAGGGTGGGGTCCAGTGAAGGTGCAGATGACGCCGAACGCGGATTCGGCTTCCGGATGGGCCTTGACTGCGCCGGTGACTCGTCTCGAGTTTCTATTGATTTGCTGCACACCCTACGGCCACTGTAAGACACTGGTTGGAGCTGTCGAGGCAAAGACGGATGGAATGATCCACCCGAGGAAGATCGAATCTGGAGTCCGGGAGCAAAAGCCGGACGGGGAGAAGAACACCGGGCTGTACGACTGTCGCAAGGGCCGATGTTCCGGCTGGACGTTGAACCTTGAGCGCACCGCACGATCCGAAAGGGTGCTCAGCGGGGGGGACTGATTGGACGTGGAAGCGCTGCACTAGTCAGAGAGAATGAGGAATGACGAGTTGGCGTGGAGCTACCGATGCGGGCCAACCGATCGGCGTGGAAAGCTGTTGCAGGTCCGATCAACTGTCAGATGATGCAGATGTCTTGGAACGGATGGGGTCAGTTAGGGGAGAGGGAGGGGGGAAAGGGAGATCGGTCGGACCGAGCCTAGGCCGGGGGGTGGATTTGTGTTGGGTAGAGGGGAGTCGGAGGGATGGTGGCAGTGCTCAGACCAAACATACCAGGCAGAACAAGGCAATGCAGTGCGAAGAGGGTAAGTGTTGAGTTGGGCCAGTGTCAACTCCGGCAATCACGCTAACCCCGACAGAGCGGGTAACGTGACCCTCAGTGCCCTTGGTTTCTTGCTTTGGTCGCGCCGTTTCCGCTGATATTATTATTATTCTTCTCTGGGAATGCGCTATCCACACTCCGGACGGGACTAGTTCTCGATAGTATACAGTAGTCTCCCCCCTCCCCCCTCCCCCATCGTGTCGATCTCCCTCGTCCATGGCCGGTGCAGACCCTGTGGCGATCCCGATGGTGGTGGATGTATGGATGTATGCAAATAAATCTCATCCCGCTGCAGAAGCTGGGATCTACCCCCGGGGCGTGCTTCAGCACGTATCGGAAGAACTCCAGCCTGCCTCTACCCGGACCCTGTACGACGCCAAATTGTCCGATGGGCCGCGGGAGGGGTGCAGACTTGGGGTAGCATCGCTTGGCTGTGATCGAGGACCATGTTTCCTCTGGCGGATCTCTCAGTGTATGTATAACTCACCAAGACTCCTTGCGTCAACCGTGGATACGTACACGCCGCACCTAAACGGACCGGCACGATCGATCGAGGATGACATTACATGGGAAAAGACATTCCGCCAGTCTCCGCCACATACCAGCGCCTCTATCATGGCAGCCTAGCACGGACCGCCTTGGGAGGGTGAGATCCCCGAGTCCAAGCTCCTGACGGTCGATCACGGCCCCGATGGATGATCGCCACTCGCTGCACGACATGTTATCGCAGAGAATAAAAATAATTATGATTCGAATATGGTGCTCGACCAAAGAGCGTCACCCTCCCGCGAGAGACATCTGATACATTCCTCCCACGAGTCACAGGGGACAAAACAAGGTCATGGACTCCATCCGGCTGTATCACCCTTCCCTCCTTGGTTATTGGGGTTATCGGGGTTATTTAGTTGCGAGGCACTTGCCACCCTCCTTCATCCCACCCCCCCCCTCCATGATAGTTAATAGAACTGGTAAGCCTCGTCGATTCCCGCCGATCGACGGGCTGCATGACCCGATGCTGTAATAATCAAATGAGAGGTGCAGGAGAACGAGTTCATAAAGTTCTCCCTCCCCTCGTTGCGGTGGTGAAAATAGTAAACTCTTTGTTGCGTTGGCACTGCATATACACTACACCGTTGTCCATGCTTCGCAAAGGATTCCGAGTCGTCGATCGTCCAGACGATATCCCGTGAACAAGCAGACTCAGTCAGGTACGGTACATTGTTCGTGGACCTGCATCGATAGCCCCTGCCACGTGTAGACTTGTTGGCTGCGACTCCTGAGGCTGATGGAATGGACAGAAACAGCTGCGAAACATCTACAATCCAAGGAGACCAACCCAAAAAGGTCTCACCGCCCACCCGCTCCCCACCGCTGCTTTCCCACTTTCCCTTCCCCCACGTTTCTCCCTCTTCTCCCTCTCTTTCTCTCTCCACGCTCTTTCTCTCTATTCCCCCCATCCAATCTTGTCCGGGCCGATAAGGGAACCCGAGTGAGAGCGAGCCTGAGGCTGAGTCCTGTCCTCTGCCGCCGACTCTTCCTCTCATCCTCGCTCAGTCCTCTTGACACTTCTGACTCCCCCAAACAATCTTACCCGCCACGTTTCCCGCCCCTTTATCTTTTCCCCTCCTCTTCTTTTCCCTGCAGCGCTCAGTTCCCCGGCGCTTCCGCAGACTTTCTATCACTATTGGCCTTGTTGATTCGATCTGCGGATTAACCCCGGAGACTTGTCCTCCGGCACTTCCCAACTCATCCATCTCACTTGGTTTCCCCAACCAGGTATTTTTTTTCTCTCCCCCACCTATTGGCGACGAGAACGGCTTCGCCGTCATCACTCCATCTTTCACTGCATAGAAGGTATTTCATCCCATTTCCCTTTCCGGTCGGCGCAGTTGCCTAGCATTGCCTTCTGCAAGGCCGGGGGGTCGGTGCGCTCGGCACGGCCGACATACCTCGTATCGCCCAATTCTTGGTGACGGAGTCAACTAACATTCCCCGAAATGAACTCAGGTCGTGATATCTTCTTCCTCTACTCTTTCCTTGCTACAGAGCGACAGTCGACCACTACACCTCGACTGTTCCGCCAACCTCTCTACATCAACCCACTTTCCGTTTAACCGGGCGATGGCAGAAGCGAGTCTATTTATCAAACACGAAACCTCCGATCACACCAGACCTTTCATGATGTCGCACTCCGGTTATAGCAACCAATTCGGGACCCCCAACGATGGGGTGGACCCCTCCGATTTGACGATGCAGCAGGGTGGCTTCATGTCCTACCCCTTTGGCTCCCAGCAGAACATGTCATCCAGCTTCAACTTTGGAAACTCCGGCATCGATACCGACGAACTGCTAGATTTGGAGATTAGTGGACAGAACGGTGTCCAGCGCGGAGATAACATAAACTATCTCCAGGATCAATCTGGCGGGGGCATTGCCATGAGCCACCAAAGTCAAATGTCGCACATGTACTCCAACACCCCCGAAAATGCGCCGCTGGCCAGCCCATTTGTTCACAACAGCTTCAACTACGAGCAGTTCCGGCAGATGAACGTGCCCAACCTGCAACACGCCAGTTCCTTTGACCAGAATTACTTGAACGCCAAGTCGCGCCCGGGCCTGCAGCCGATGGACCGTGCCTCCTCGGATACCCGTAGCCCCATGACGCCGAAGACACCTGCCATGGGATCGCTGACCTTGGGCACGCCAGAATCTGGCAGCTATCCTTCCCAGCCAATCCGGACCGGCCTGTCGCACCGTCACCAGAAGAGCCTGTCCAACCAATGGGATGGGACACCCGGCAGCGCCCATTCGTATGTCGATTCGCCTATCTCCTCGCCAGGTCACCAGTCACACCCAGGCATTTCAGAGATTCTCAAGTCTGGCAAGCATGCCTCCTTGCCGGCCAAGGTCGACCTTCCTGGATCTACCCAGGATCTCGAGTCACAAGAGGCCAAGCGCCGACGTCGCCGTGCCTCTCACAATCTGGTCGAGCGACGACGCCGTGACAACATCAATGAGCGCATCCAAGATCTCTCCCACCTGGTGCCGCAACATCGATTGGAAGATGACAAGGTCCGCAAGCAGCTTGTGAACAACAATGCTCTTTCCGTCGCCGGTGCCGGTGGAAACGCCGCCACCTCCCTTCTTGCAGGAGGCAATGGCCGCCGGGCCACCCCAGGAAATATTACCATGGGTCTGCCGATTGAAGAGAAGGAGAAGGGCCCTAACAAGGGTGACATCCTGAACGGTGCGGTTAGCTGGATGCGCGATCTGATGTGGGTGCTACATGTCAAATTTCAGCAAGAAGCCGAACTCGCCGAGTTGATCGGCAGCCTTGGCGGGTCATGGCCGTTTGAGCAGACAGAAGAGGAGAAGCGCATGCGTAGCGAGATTCTGGATGCATTGGAGAATAACGACCCCAGCTCCTTCAGCTACACCCGCGGCCCCGGCAGTGGTCTGCGTGTGCCGAAGCACACGAATATGGCCGGCGAGCCGTTGAGCGGCGGCAGCGACGGGCTGACGCCGCCGAGTCTGAGCCCATCCTTCCACAGCGGCGCCAGCAGCGCCAACGGTGTTCCCGGTCAGCCGCAGTATTGGAATAGCGCTGGCCACGCGGCGATGAGCTTCAAGGAAGAGGATGAGTATGCGATGGAGATGAACTGAACCTAAGTCGTTGGTCATTTGATTCTCAAATCTACGACGATCTACGATTGCATTGCGAGATGACTTGTTGCATACATGGCGTCACAACGGAAGGACTCGAACTGTCGGCGCACAGGGAGGGAGAGCTCCCAGACCCCATGGGGTGTATCTTCTGGTTCCTTTTTTTTTCTCTTGTGTTTTTGGTTGCATTTGTATTCTGTTTGTGCTCCTGTCATATTTCTGTCTATCATCTCTGGCGGCTGTTCTCGGCCCCTTCTGGTTTTTTCTGGGTTCCTTGTTTTCAGTACTTTCGGATCGACTTTTTCTATGGATCATATCGATACCCTGATTTTCTTTCTCGTGGTTTGTGCATGCTCTTTTCTCTCCATTATGATTTCACAAGATCTTTTTGATATTTCTCTTCTGTTAGTCTCGTTGCGACTTTTCAAGTTGAGACTTTCCCCTTAATACACTTCCTGCTTTTTACTTGATCTCCATTCCTTTTCCATTTTTTTCATTTCCCTTCTGGGCAGTTCTGCGGTGTGTTTCTTGTCCATCGGTAGTGCAAGTAGCAACGAATAGGTACTGCCATTTTTTTTTCCATATCGACCTAGGGAATCTACCTATTATCCCCAAGTAGAAATCAAGGCGCAACCTCCACCCCTTTCCAATCCCAGCACCTCCCCCTCCCACCATCCAAATCAGCCGATAACCCAATCAAAACATTCAACAACCGTTCCGCCGCATCCTCCGGCTCAAGCATCTCCCTCGTCCCCCAATAATCTCTCGTGAAATCCGTGCGCACCGTACCTGGATGCAGCGCAACCGCCAAAGCCCGATCCCGACTCTGCGCTTGCAAGTACAAATCGAACGTCTTCGTCAGCTGAAATACAGCCGTTTTGCTAGCGCGGTAGGAGTACCACCCGCCGCTAGCGTTGTCGGTTATAGAACCCACGCGCGCGGCGAGAGTGGCGTATATAGAATGCGCGGGGAGAGATAGAGGTCTGTTGTTGTTATCAGATTGAGGTAAAGTAGGGAATGGTCGAGTAGATTTCGTTGGTAAGAATGGCGCAAGGTGTTTCATGAGCAGCATTGGGCCCACAGCATTAACCTGGAAACTGTGCATGGCGCTCGCGGCGTCGATCTGGGATGGAGATTTCTCGACGTGAAGAATACCGGGTAGGGTTAGGGCGATGCGGAGGGGTGTGTTGGGGTATGTTCCGTGCAGGTGGGAGGCCATTGATGAGATGGTGGATTCATCTGTAAGTACGATCGAGTGAGACTATGCGTTGAATTGCTTCTGTGCATGGATATAGATATATGACATGGCACGGCAAGGTTGGGGAATGTAGTTAGTGGGTGGGTGTTGATGGGCATGGTATACCTGTAACATCCACCTCCAGCACAGACAATCTCTCCTCCGCGCTGCGCGGCATATTCTTTCCAGACAAGAGCTTGTCGTGCACTCCATCTTTTTTCCGGCGCACCGTCGCGACGACGGGGAGTGGAGTCTTTGAGAGGAGGTGTTGCGCAAAGGCGAATCCTAACCCCCGTGAGGCGGGTGTGACTATGGCGAAGCCATGGGACGAATTGATCATTGAAAAGGCTGGGAGGCGAGGCTTTATTGAAGCTAGAAATAATTATGTTGAATGTTTCTCGTCCCTGGTGTGGATGTTGTCGTTGCTATCAGATATCACTGACGTCATCGTATTGGCTATAGTATCGGCAATGGGGTTTCCCTCTAGTTAACTAACAAGGTTGCTCCTACTTCCTAATTACGTATTATAGGCTGAACATTCTCCATTAGAGCACATAGGCCATCATACTTCATTATACAGTTACAATCGTGCTAATCATGCAGAAATCAAGTGAAAAGAAAGTTGCGCTTCAACGGCCTACCGTCCTAATGAACTCTGACTCAAGAGAACAAAGAGCGTGGGTCTCTTCAGTTGCCAACCGGCCCTTCTAGGCGCTTCTTAGCAAGGGTACCTCGACTAAGGAGTGTCTCATATGCTGGCAACACAATTCTGTCAGACTGGAGCTCTGAATACAGTGCACGGTGCATATACCTTCTGGAGGTGGAGCCGCTGGCTCACCCACCGGAACTTTGGGATATCTAATGGCGGTGGCCGGGATCGAAATCTTCTCTATAATGAGAGGAGGTCCACAAGTTATCGAGTAACTTCAGGCTTACATTGTGAGCTTGAAGATCCGCACACACCAATGCGGCTGTCCTCTCGATATTGTCCAACTGACTTCGCAAATCCGACGTGTACGACGAGGACCAGAAAGGCGGCAAGCGGTATTTTGAGAGAAATTGCTTCCAGCTGTACCATTGTATCGACGATGACGGAATGGTATAGTTGTTTTTTCCCAGCCAAGTTACCAGCTCCATGTGGGCGTATGCTAAAAACAGCCCACGGTTGGCACAGTCAGGGTCTTCCCTTGCAGCATTCATCAGTCTCCCATCCGACTCCGCGCGAGCAGAGTACTCGCGCAGAAGTCTGCGGATGGTTTTTCTGTCGAGCCGATTATGGTGCAGATTGGTTTCGATGGTTAGTACAATGGTTCCGATCTTGGTCAGGAGTTCAACCGCCGTGGTATCTTCCTTAGACATTTTGCACCAGGTCTTGCTTTATGTGTGTAGGTTTAAACAGTATGTAACACTGATGAGGTGCTGAAGGAAGACGAAGGCTAGGATGAAATTAATTTTTTAGGGAGCGTGGCGGACAAAGCATTTATAGGACTACCAAGGTATATTGATTGTACTATCACAAGCAGGTGACCTGCCATCAGAGTTCATGAGGAACCAAGGATCCTGTGCAACATAACCAATAATATTCCTTTTGTCAAGGGTTAACTGAGAAGCTATCTTCCGGAAATACTTGGCAATAATGAGTAGCAGCTAAGTAGTTGGATTAAGTTGATGCCTGACTTTTCGGGACGGGAACCACAAGTCGTGACGTGACCAATAGTTACGCGACTAGACACATCGCTCATCGCGAAACCTGCCATAGGCAAGCTATCTTCTCCTCATTTTATTGCAATTCAAGTGCACATCCGCTGTCTTGTGTTGCGTAGGAGGTCTTCTAGCAAATGCTCGGGGTCCGGAGTATGCACCCCACACTCACACTATCGCCAGACTATTCCCCGGGGGTTCAGGGTCTGGAGAGCATTAATTGATAAACAAGACATAATCCAATAAAGAAGGCAGAAACAAATCGCGGGTGCAGCCCCCGGTCTTGGATTCTCTCTAATAAATCAATCCCGAACTCTTCGATTGAATCCCGTTACTGGGCAGCTGCTACCGTGGTTGAGACCCTGATTGATTGGTTTGCGGGGTTGCCTAGACCAGCCTCTAAATCATTATCGTTCAGCACGCGGTCTGTTAACGTCATGTTCATTATTTGTTCGGTGTTCATAAGTTGCCGCCTGCTACGGTAACGTTGTGTTGAGGAAGTATTCGACACGGAGTCCCTGACAATATGTCAAAATATGGTGGTGATGAAGCCTACCTAGATCACTCTGGGAAAAAAGGAAATCGAAGGCAAGACATCAAAAGCCAAATCCTTCAATTCTCTAACACGACTCTAGTCGCTGGTGGTTGGCATCAGTGGGCTTTCCCGTCATTGCGGTATGATAAATTGTATTTTCCTTCCACGCAAATTTCCAACAGGAAATCTAGGGAACTTTAGGTGCCATGGCAATCATGTTCAACATTTGCGCGATAGCACATGGATGGCAGCAGTTTCTTGACGCTGACAACCGAATTATCAAGTCACCCTCACCACCATGGTAGGCCTCTTTTGCTTCATGCTTTTTTTTTCCTTCCTTTGTTTAAGCAGGGGCTAAATCATTTTCAGGCACGTTGCACTCAAAGCAGTGTCGTTGGCTCTGGCTTCCATCGCATATGTTTTCTACTTACTCTCGATGACTTTCCACTACAATCCACAAAAAGGATTTGCTATGCCAGTATTAGGCTGGCTCGTCTCAGCAACGATTCTGTTCAGCCTTATAGGAGTTGAGGTTCAGCGTTACAAAAAAGCCCAAACAGAGCGGTCGACAGAGTACACACAAAACTTTTTCGCTGGTATTCTGGCTGCAGGCCTCTACTGCTTTATTGCACTTCTATTAGCAAGTTATGTGGCCTGCGCAAGTTCGCTCAAGTTAAGTCTCACAGACAGGCGAATGATCGAATGTACAAGCATCATCTATCGGGTCATCGCTTTTGCCATTATTCTTCTTGGAGGTGCTGGGATGTACAGCACTGTTGAAGGCTGGTCTTTGGTGGATGCTCTATACTTCACAGACACCACCGTTCTTACTATTGGCATCGGAAATTTCTCCCCTCAAACTCATCTGGGGCGCTCATTGCTGTTTCCATATGCCACCACCGGAATAATCAACCTGGGATTTGTCATCTCAAGCGTTGCATCATTCACCGACAAAATGAGAGATCTAAAACTGAGGTATCAAGTCAACGAGGCACGGCACATTTTGCGCGGCCAGGGCGATTCAGAGCGAAAACCGAGTCGGATTTCTACAAACGGAGAGCAATCACAAAGCTCATTTCCCATCCCTTCGAGATATCCAAAAAGGAATGAAATGTTGAAGCTGCACAAAGTCAAGGCAGACTTTTATCGGAAAAGTCGCTGGAAAGAATTGATATTCTTTGCAGTGTCGTGGTTCATATTGTGGCTAATCAGCGCTGAAGTCTTCCGTCGATCCGAGGAGCGTCAACACTGGACTTACTTCATAGCTCTTTACTTCACGTTCACCTCCCTCACGACTATCGGATATGGTGACTATTCTCCGAAAAGCAGCTTTGGAACCGTCTTTTTCGTTTTCTGGTCCTTACTTGCTCTTCCCATCTTAACAAACCTTGTCACGGCCATGGGCGGTGTTCTCAGTAGGTTGCTGTTAGTCTGCTCTGGCTATTTATGGAAAAACGTGCTTCATAAAGGGCACAAGCAGCACCACCATTCGCACCACCATCCGTACTATCCTTCACGAGAAGATGGCTCTCAGGCGTTGGAACAATTGCACAGGAATGTACCTGACGGCCCTCCTTTGCATCTGGAAGGACAAGTCCGTGCAGCCACCATGAAAGACCACACTCGAGATCTACCTTCAGTTGGATCTAGGTGGAAATCAGTGCAGCCAACCAGCACTGGAGCGAGGGCAACCACGCAATACAGGTTACGCCTGGCCGAAGAGATGGGTACACTCCTGTCTACGCTAAGGGGTGAATACTTTGAGAACTGGGAGGAGCTTTGCTGTACCTGGTCCAGAGTCATACCCTTGCTCCATGCCGGTGAGAACGTTGCTAGTGCTCCAAATGAGCCCATACCCTATTCTATGTCCGCAAAATCCGACCATGTGGCGTTGATGAAGTTCATGGACCCCAAGAAAGCCTTGTCAGAGAGAAATGCTGAAATTTCATGGTTACTGGAATTGTTGGTGGAAAGGCTTTGTTCGGATTTAAGGGAGGAGTTATCTGAGGCCACATGAACAAAGACTATTCTCCGTCGTTTGAGCGTGATCGAGGGCAATACACACTTGGCCTCGCTATGTGTATGCTATACACCAACTATTTTAGATACATAGCACTAGGGATTGTCTATCTCGCCATAATTGATGGCAATTCTAGTACGTTTGACCGCAGAATTTGGAGGACAGTGCTTCCTCTCCGCCCAGACGTACTTGGCCATTTCAGATGCACGCTTGACCGTGAGCCTTCTGTATAATAGCGGATCAAAAATTGCACCAGAAGGCAAAAACTCCAGTCCAATGTTATCCACCGGGAAATACCTCAGATTCATTTCAATTTCAAGGCTTGAGGAGTTGGATTTTTAACTTGATTATTTACACCACCTCCTCCCGAGGTTGACCCCATATCTTCTCCACAACCCGTATTAATGTTACTCTTTGCCAAAACGATCCGGTCGCCGTTGATGGCCAACCCTTGATGGATGAGTGTCTAATTGCCAAGTCTCATCCCATCGGAGTCATTTGGAGCCTCCATCAGTCTTCTAATCTCAAAAGTGACCGAGCAGAATCCACAACTGTCTCCTCCAAATCACGGAATTGAATCCCCAGGATTGTTACTGCTTTTGAAGAGTCCGGAATATACAGTTCGACCTTCCCAAATCCAGATCCCGGATTTCCTGTTGGCAGACGATTCCTGACTTCGGGGACTTTTTTGCGTAGAATATCTGCCATTTGTTGAAAACTGAAGTTGCCACCACAAACTAGGAATCGATGACCACCAGCATCTGGAATTTGGAAGGCCCGTAGGTGAGCAAATGCGACGTCTCGAACGTCAACCCAAGACCACGAGGAGTTTGGAGGTATCGGATCACTTGGGTGACCTTTGGGGCTTATCAAGCCGTATATTTGTTGTGACGATGTGTTGAGTCTTGTGAGGTCAGCCGTAGCATTTTTATTCGGCCCAAATACCATCGGCGGACAGATTGTAACTAGGTCGAAAGGAGGACTTTCTGTCTCGATAAAATCCCATGCTTTCCGCTCAGCCAATGTTTTGGCCGCCGCATAAGCAAAGCTAGCTGAAGCGTCTTTCTTAGCGGCTTCTTCATATGTGGTTGGATTCCAGTCTGCCTCGCTATATGTATAACCCGGACGAGTGCCTTTGTTAGGGTCTCGGATAGCCATAAAAGATGAGGTGATAACAACTCTCTTTACTAGAGGAGAAAACTTCTGGATAGACTGAAGGATACTAATTGTGCCGTGGATTGCTGGTTGTAGCAGATCACGCTCATTATCCTCCACGGAGAGCTTGAACGGAGTTGCTGTGTGAATCACACCGATAACACCTTGAACTGCCTCGTCAAAAGAATTTGGAGCAGTCATATCCGGCACAATGGCAAAGCTGAGCCTCTCATTGAAGGCAGGGAATGTTTTACGCACTTTATCAGCAGTCGCTTGTGATCGAACTGTACCTCGTACGGCGTAGCCGGCCTTTAAGAAAACATCGACAATGTGGGTTGCTACAAACCCAGAAGCTCCTGTCACGAGAATAGCGCCTTGATCCTTCATGATAAACTGTGACTCAATTTTGGAAAGTGAGACAGGGCGTGGTTATAATAAAAGAGATCATAGGACTTGGACTTTGAATGGTTGTGAATCACTATGTTCGTCTTGTGGTGATGCTCTTTGCGTAAAATCCCTTCCTCCAGACAATAACTCATACTTTACACTCATACTACTTTTATATAGCTAATACATAAAAATCACACTTGCATGGCAGACCTGAATAAATGACCGCTATATTCAAGCTGAATAACGGAAGTGAGGGCGAGATACGTCATGATAATGAAAAGAACGGTTCAAAAATTGAAAACGCTCCACCTAGACCTGTATCGGCCAGCAATGAAGTTAATTAATTGATGCCTGAATTATTTACGTCGTTAATTCATGCCGAATTGGAGGGAATTAGGTGAAATAATACCTACGGTAGCTTCGGAGAGGAGGAATCTTTATGTGAAAGCGGCCAATTTATTGACCATTAGCGGAGGAACCCGTGACGTCCGTCCTATGAACCATGGATCACATATCTTCATTAAGTGATAAGAATGTTCTCGCTGAAGCCATCTACGCACACCATCGTACAAAGATATTCTTTGGTGCTGTAATAATGCTAGCTGGTTTGTTCTGTTGTTGAGCATAGTATGGTACTCATATCAGAATGACGCGCAAGTCTGAGGGTACCATGTGAGTAAACAGCCGGACAATGCCCTCGCATGCAACTGGAGCCATATATGAATGATCATGTTCACTTGGGAGTGAAAATCCAATTTAGTCCTATTCAGTTGACGAGTTCTGAGATTTATCCGCGATATTTACGATCCGTTTGTCGGAAAAGACACAACCAACTAGGCCTGGAAGTTAGTTGAGGCCAATATTCTCACCATGAAGCCTCATCTCGTCGTTGTCGTCGGTGCCACAGGCACTCAAGGTGGTTCTGTTGTTAATTCCATCCTTAAAGATCCCAATTTTGCAGTCAGGGGACTTTCACGTAATCCGGAAAGCGATGCAGCAAAGTCCCTCAAAGCGCAAGGTGCTGAAATTGTTAAAGCCGACCTGAATGATGGATCGAGCTTATTGAAGGCTTTTGAAGGAGCATATGCCATTTTTGCAGTCACGAATTTCTTCGAGCCGGCCGGTAATTTTGGAGTCGAGGAGGCAAGGACGATTGAGTACCAGCAGGCCATTAATATGGTCAAAGCGGCGAAGAAAACCCCTACTCTCCAGCGTTATATTTGGAGTACTTTACCCAACAGCAGTTATCTGTCAAAGGGCAAGTATAATGTCCATTTCTTCGATATCAAGTCATCTGTCGACGACTACATACGGCAAGATGAAGAGTTCCTTGCCAAAACCACTTTCGTCTATTTCGCCAACTTTGCGTCTAATATGTTCTACCCCAACTTCTTGCCAATCTACGTAGTAAGTGCAATTGACTCTTATTGCTTTCATTCAATCCTTTCGTATTTCCATCCTATGAGGTCCGTATTGACCGTTATGACTTATCCAGAAATCGGCGAGCAAGTACATCCAGATGCTTCCCGCGGATCCAGAGATGCCTATTTGGTCTATGGGTGACGCAAAAGTTAATATTGGCGTCTTTGTACGTTCAGTTTTGCGGGATACCCCCAAGACGGGGGGTACTTATGTCCTTTGTGCTGTGGATAAATTTACCCTGCAGTCATACCTGGCCAAATGGGGTGAAGCAACCGGTTTCGCTAAGGAAGAGAGATCAACTGCAGTTATCCAAATCTCTTTAGATAACTACCGCTCTCTTTGGCCTGGTAACGGAGATTTGATGGGTGAGATGCTTGGTTTTTGGGACCTACTTCGCGAAAATAGCTGGGTAACGCCCCTGGGAACCAAACCAATGAGAGCCCAGGCATTGATGACTGAGGACGAGCAAAATGAGCTTCAGTCAACCGCAGAAGGCTTTAGGATTGCTGCGGCGAAGTTTCAAAAGTTAGTTTAAGTAGGTAAAGTGTCATATCGCTTGAGTTTACGGCTTGAATAATGAATGTATTCGCGGACTGTTGATCCGATGTTCGTTCACGCTCGGCACGCGACAATTTTATATCGCAGATAATATCTCAGTGGCCCTGATTTCTGATGTTTGAACCCACCCATTCTATCCGTCCTTGGCGTCTTCCCTTCACCTTGCTATAGTCTACGAATATGCCAGGGCCGCGCTTCAAAGCCATTCACCCACATATGACATCTACCAAAGAACTGGTAGTTGACCAATCAGAAAAATGAAGCCTTACAACGAGGTGCCTCAACAGTTATATAATTGCCATTTGTGCACAGACTTATAGACACGTTGGTATTACAATTGCGTAGCTCCAACTACAGCACCCGACTTCCGAATCTCTGGCTTTCCAGCCTGTTTCTCTTTCATGAAGCCAGCAAAAAAGCGAGCCATCTGCTCGTAGGCATCTACCTCTCCGACCCAACTGACATACTGGTCAGGACGAAGAATCACGCTGGCACCGCGGCTTGGATCAATTCCATAATTGAAATAAGCTTGTCCATGGCCCTCGTGGTAAGACTCCTCATCGCTGTAGATCTTCCAATAATCCCATCCCATGTCGCCGTGATGAGGGTGGAACGGCTCTGGAAGATCCAAAAGCTCGATTCCCGTGCGTGACCCCGAATGAACTGTCAAAACCTCGACCACGCTATCGATCGGCTTTCCAGGCGGTGTAAAGCGACGGAGGAAAGAGTCCGGAGCTCCCAGCGATTTACCCAGACTTTCGTAGCGTTGCATGTTTTCGGGCTCGGTAAGTCGTCCAGGGAAAACGATCACTCGCCAGCGACCGTTGCTCTTCAGCAATTCTTGGAGGTGCCACGGTCGTGCATCGGCGTGATTCAACACTTTGAAGCTAGGCATGCGCTTGCCGATATCGATCTTGGTGGCCAGTCCCGGTTTGCTAATTGCCCGGCGCTCTTGGGTGTCCAATACGTCGGGGTTGTTGCTTTGGGCTGCGGTGTTGTCCTCTTTTGCAACGAGGATACTGGCGTCATAGTTGACAGCTGTAGAGATAAAGATCAGTATTTGATTTGCCCTGAGTCGCATGGAGAACTCACCGATACCACTGGCAAACTCATTTCCTTTTTCAAAAGCCTTTTTGAATTCTTCCACGTTGACACCCTCTTCGTCCAAAATATCCTTGGTCGGACGCCCAGAGAAAAGTCGCGAAAAGCGATGGTCGAAAGCGATCAGCTGCTGGGCAATCCCCCTTCTCTCAGCCTCGTACGTTGAGAGAACGGATGGGTCGCTGAGGCCCTTGATCACATGCGCTAGCTTCCATCCCAAGTTATACGCTATTGCAACTGTCAGCGTTCATCTACTAGTCTCAGGGATGGAAGATTTACTATCTTGCATGCTAACGTTCATACCCTGACCAGCCTTCGGAGAGTGCGTATGGACAGCATCGCCGGCCAGGAAGACACGGTCACGCAGCGAAAAGTGGTTGCCTACACGCTGGCCAATCTGGTATGCAGTCCACCAGTCGCAATGCGTGTAATCGAGCTTATAGGGGTGCAGGATGCGCTGGGCAGACCGTAGGATAATCTCAGGAGTGATCCAGGACCGGTCTGCTTTGGCGCCCTTCTTTTGATATTCAGTCGCCTGGAGCTGGATGTAGAGCCGGACTAGTTTGTTCTCACGCGGAATAACCATCACGCTACCTGCGTCTGCTGAGTGAATGGCGCATCGGTGGCGGATGTCGGGAAAATCGGTGATCGGGACAATATCGAGCACTCCCCAGATGTAGTCGGTCGAGTCACCTTCCAAGCGGAAACCGGATTGCTGACGCACCCAGGAGTGGGCTCCGTCACAGCCCACCATGAATTTGGCCTTGATATGCTCTTCTTGGTTGGCGTTCAGGCTGGACTTGACCTCTGTCGCCTTGATGAGGTCCTCGGTGTCATCCGCAACCAAGTTGCTTCGGAACAGGCCATCCGCGATAGCAGTCTGCTGGCCATCAGCAGACTTCTGATGCTGCTGCCGTTGTTGAGGTGTGGATTCTTCACCGGACAGGGTTCGAAGCGTCACACTGATAGGGTAATCTTCGAAATCGCCTGCTTTTGCCTCATCGAAGTCAAAAGCGGTAGGTAACACGCCACGTTCCACGGCGATATCGCTATGCTCCTTGATTGAATCAAGGAAGAAGCGCTCGATGCGGCCCTGGTGGAGCACAACCTGTTGGAAGCGACTAATTCCAGGAATGGTGTCTGGAATGCGATCGTAACGTGAGAGGCGGCCGTTGTCGTCGGGATTCCAAAGGCAAATCTCAAGCATATGGTTCACTTCACGCCAAGCGCGATGAGCAAAATCAAACGAGTCGAAAATCTCCAGAGTGCGGCATTGTAGACCATCTGCCTGACCATTGAAGACCTGGGCTCGAGTCAGCACGCAGCTTGAAGGAGCATGGGGAAGGAAGTACCTTTGAACCTCGCTTGTCCACGATGCGAGTTTTGACGTCAAAACGACTTAGCCAGTTTGCTAGCATCAGCCCAGCGGGCCCGGCACCAACAATGAGAACATCCACATGGTCCTCTTTAGCTGCGATAGTGCCGGTCATGATGTTTTCAGGTCAAGGTTGTCGGGTAAGAAGCCCAAATGTGATGTCTCCAGAGACCTCCCGAGGGCATTTATATGCTCATAAGTTCTCCTTCAGCTTCATCTGGCATTGTTATCGGAGATTGCGGGGAAGTTTTGCTTTCCCCAGATCCCGGGAATTGCGATACCGTGATAGGTCGGCTTTTCTCTTCGGAGTCCGAAAATTTAAGGTTGTTCGGAAGCCAAAAGTCTAATTCACTTCCGATCCGATCATATTCTCCGATTTGGAAGTCCAGGGAAATATGCTCGAAAGCCCAGGTTCATAGATAAAACCCCAGGAAATAGATAATGCTTTGGAAACTTATCAAGGCCATTCTAGTGTCTCAAGTTCAAATCTAGTCCAGACATTCCAATCAGTCACCATGGCGTCGCACCGCTTCGATCCCAAATTTACGGACCATGTCATTAATTCGATGGGTCCCAAAACTCCACCTCGCTTACGCCAGCTCATGACCGGCTTGATTCGGCATGTCCACGATTTTGCACGCGAGAATGAGCTTACGATCGACGAATGGATGGCTGGCGTCCAATTACTGAATTGGGCCGGCAAGATGAGCGACCACAAGCGCAACGAAGGACAGCTCGTCTGCGACGTCATAGGCCTTGAATCGTAGGTATATCCCTACCATCTATACGGATGCACCACTCACTCCAATAGTCTTGTCGATGAAATCACCTTCACACTAGCCAACGAAGCTAAAGATGCGCCAACAGCCACCGCTATCCTGGGCCCATTTTTCCGCCCGGATACTCCATATCGCGAGAATGGAGATAATATCGTCCTCAATAAGCCTGGCGATGGGGAAATGTCTCTCATGCACGGTCGCGTAACGGACTTTTCAACGCAAAAGCCCCTGGCAGGTGCAACCGTCGAAGTTTGGCAGGCGTCAACGAACGGATTATACGAACAACAGGACTCGAAACAAACCGAGTTTAACTTGCGGGGCAAGTTTCAGACGGAACAGGACGGCACTTATTCTTTCTACTGCTTGCGACCGACGCCTTATCCCGTCCCGGACGATGGTTTGTGCCCTTCTCTGGATTGAATCTCCGTATATTGAGGGCTAACGGAGACTCCGATGTACAGGACCTGCGGGCAAGCTTCTTCAATTGATGGACCGTCACCCATTCCGCCCCGCCCATATCCATATCCTCGTATGTCTTGATCTTCGGACTGAAATTATCTTCTAACAGAAACCAGGTAACACACCAAGGCTATCGTCCTTTGACTACACAGATCTTCGATCGAAAGGATAAATATCTCGAGAATGATTCTGTCTTTGCGGTCAAAGATTCTTTGATCGTGGACTTTGTGGAGCGTCAAGGGGACGAACGCGCAAGGCTTGAACTTAAATACGACATAAAATTAGTGAAATCTGATTGAGCGGGATAGAGAGATCAACGTAGTTCGTTGGCTTTTTCTGCGGGAACCAATTGAGGATCTGCAAGTGTTAAATATCTTTGAACTACATCCAGAATTAGTTAATATAGGTCAATCTGAGGCTCATTGGGAGTTCTTTAAGGACTATATGTGCGAGGCACGGGATACTTTAGATCGGGGACGACCGATAACCTAATTCGGTCAGTGCTTAGGCGAATTGTAAATGGGTGGAATTTACATAATCAGGGAGCGTCCCCAGACTTATCAGCTATTGGTGTAGTTGGAGTTTGTATCCGCTTTGTCAACCCCGCAAACCCGGGCACTCTCTCGCCCAAGGCCTACGCTTCTCAGGTGCATCTGCTGAATGTGCAGTGATGGGACTACCAAATAGGGCCTGCCATCCACCAGGCGCGTTCCGTCGCCGAAAAGCCTGCGAGAACTGCAGGCGACGGAAGGAAAAGTGCGATGGGCTCCAGCCGTGTGGTCGATGCCGCAGTCGGAGAGTCGAGAGCCAGTGTGGACGTCGTGCGTTGTCCCGCGCGTCTCAGTCGCTACAAGGCCAGAACAATCTGTCCTCCTCATGTCCACAATCAGGTGGCAATTACAGTCATGATGCACCTCCTGCATATCCCCCTGTTTTTCTAGATTCGATGCAAGGGCTGGATACCCGGAATTCGCCATCCAGCACAAGCATCTCCAGAAACCTCTCGATCTCGTCGCAGTTTGGCTCCGTGGTGTCTCACATGTCACGGTTAGTCCGCGATCATCAAGGGACATACATATTTTTTGGGCCTTCCGCCAATCTATCCATGCTGCAAACCATTCGGAAAATCGTGCACCGTGCGCTGGGGCCAAGCAACTTCCGGGAAGTGCCTGCAGAAGACGATCTGGTTGATGAAGAGGCAGTGTCCATTGAGGGGAACGATACCGTCGCCGAGCCTTCCCGACCTTCGGTCGCTGATGCCCGTTATTATCTTCAGTGGTATACAAGCACCACAAGTTGTGTCTTCGATCTCTTTGGACATCAAGAGCTCGCGGAGGAAATTATTCCCTGGCTTGAGAAACCCGCGTCCACGGACCCCCAGACGTGCATTAATTTCCTAGTCCTCGCTATTGGAGCTCAGTGTGGACCTAGAAACTGCGACGACCAGGCGAATGAGTATTTCACCTATGCGCGATCACTGTCATCGAAAAAATGCCTCGACGCTGTCAGCATTGCCACTGTTCAAATATATTGCCTAGTCGCCACGTATCTGCTTAACGCAGCGCGCCCACATGCAGCCAGCATGCATCTCGGACTGGCGGTTCGCGCCGCGCACTCGCTGGGCATCCAGCGAGCGGACATTAATGCTCTCTTTGCGGGGGTAGAAGGAGCCAAACGCGAGCGCATATGGAAGGTTTTGCGAGTACAAGATCTTTTCTTGAGCACATCGCTTGGGCAGCAGCCATCCACCAAAGAGACCCGTGAAACAATGTGGCCACAAGGGTATTCGGCGTCCACCGATCTCTGTCATATTTTTGAGAAAATCCTCTCTGAAGTCTACTCAAAACAAGAGGTTTCTCCTGCCGTGCTTGAGAATGTCAGTAAACATCATCGGGAATGGGCTTCTCGTTTTCGAGAAGGTCTTCTGACCGATCATATTCCTGCCGAGGGAGATGTCGGTGCTCGAGAGGGACAAAATCAACCCAACATTGGGCTCTGCCATCTCAAAGAAGCTTACTACTGGACTATCATGTTGGTCACTCGCCCGTATCTGATCGACCTGGTCCAAAGGCACATGGCTTACGAGACGGACCGCCCACGTCAAGCGAGTACCAATGATGACGTGCTCTCGCCACAGACACAGCAGTCTGATACTCTACTGGCTCATGCCTCAGTGAACTCCGCCGTACTTACAATTGATCTTCTGCAGTGCTTTCTACTCGCGGGCGAAATACCGAAGCGGCTGCCTTATGTTGTCAATTCCATCTTAAACTCTGCCCTTGTCCTAGGAATCGGCTATTTTGCTGGCCTCGATCGTTTGTTCCCTTTGGGTCATGCCTTGGATTTGGCTGAAAGATTGTTGGGCCGTTTTCAGTCAAGTGACCCATTGGCGCAATGGAGCCTTCGAATAGTACGAGATCTTCGCTGCTCTTGCAATGAATTTGTCCGACGGCGATGTGACCGTCATCTGAAGCGCCAAAGAGCTCTGGTCGAAGGTCTCTTCGGCGATGTGAAGCCTTTGGACAGCCAGGCCCGGGCTTCTCCCATTTCCCCGTCTTCTCCATGCAGTCTTCCACAGGGCTGGAATATTGGCTCGGAGAACGGAGACTCCCAGGACATGACACAGACACAGTTTTTGGAACTCCCCAGTGATTTACAAATTGAGGAGAACAGTACTATCTGGAGCCAACTGTTCCGAGACTCCATTCCGGGCTCGCTCTGGGAATCGGATCTGGAATCCGGAGGCGGCCTCCCATTTGAATGGCCTTAGCATTGTTATATTATTTCATTCAATGTATTCTAGCATATGTGGACATAATGGTGGTCAGGTGGCGAACTGAAATCACGCTCGCCAGCATTGCAACAAGGGAAATCGCTGAACAGAAGATGATCATCATCAATAGTACATGCCTATCTACGAACCCCGAAACTCTAAATATCCTCATCTAGAAGTGGAGTCTGAAAGCTCCGAAAGACGTGGGGCCTTGCAGTTCCCCAGATTTCGGGACCCAACTTCGAAGGTTCCAAATCCGAGTCCGAAGAATATCTTCCTGTCGGATTAAGCCCATCTGAGCATACAGAGGCGGGGAATTACCCCGATTGCCATCGTTGAGCTCCCGTCGGAACAGCTAGCATACCCCAGAGTTTGATTTCCTGGGGTTAGAGGCGTTTATATTCCCCCCAGTTTCCTCTGTCAATGAATCAAATTCCATTTCTTCATACTCTCTTCTTTCCTATATCTTGAACATCGAACATTGTCGAAATTATAATGGGGTCCATCTCTGACAACGGCATCCTGGACGCGCTCATTGTAGGCGCAGGCTTCGGAGGTGTCTACCAACTCAAGCAACTTCGTGACAATGGCTTCAACGTGAAACTTGTCGACTCTGCATCAGACTTTGGTGGTGTCTGGTACTGGAACCGATACCCCGGTGCCCGTGTGGATAGTACAGTGCCACACTACGAGTTTTCTGATCCTGGATTGTGGAAAGACTGGTCATGGAAGCAGCGTTTCCCTGGCAGCCAGGAATTACGGGATTACTTCTCCTATACGGCCGACAGATGGGACTTGAGAAAAGACACGGAATTCAACGTGTTCATCTCATCAGCCGTCTTCGATGAAGAGAAGAATCTCTGGAACATCACGAGCTCATCTGGAAAAGATTTCGTGGCTCGGTATCTCCTGCTCAACACCGGTTTTTCGGCCAAGAGACACACTCCTAACTGGAAGGGCATCGACACGTTCAAAGGCACATGGATACATCCTTCATATTGGCCAAAGCAAGAGCCTGATCTTCGCGGTAAAAAGGTCGCCGTTATTGGGACTGGCTCTACGGGTGTGCAGCTCGCTCAGGAACTCAGTCAAGTGGCTGGCGAATTCGTTCTCTTCCAGAGAACTCCCAATCTGGCGTTGCCTATGAAGCAAATCAACTTCAAGGAAGGGGAGCAAGAACTCCCTAGGAAGGATTATCCATACCTGTTCGAAAACCGCCGGAATAGCTTCGGCGGCTTCAACTTCAACTTCATTCCGCGCTCCACTTTCGACGATCCCCCCGAGAAACGGAAGGAGGTGTATGAAGAGCTCTGGAAGCACGGTGACTTTCACTTTTGGCTTGCCACCTATCAGGATATGCTTTTCACCAAGGATGCAAACAAGGAGGCCTATAATTTCTGGAAATCGAAAGTGAGAGCGCGACTCACGGATCCCCGTCTTCGAGAAATCCTGGCTCCCGAGATCCAACCCCATGGCTTCGGCTGCAAACGCATTTCCCTAGAAAACGGCTTCTACGAGATTTTCAACCAGCCAAACGTGTCGCTTGTGGACGTCAACTCCACGCCGATCGTTGAGATCACTGAGCGAGGAATCAGGACAACCGAGAAGGAATGGGAACTTGATTACGTCGTCTGTGCGACTGGCTTCGACGCCGTAACCGGTGGTCTGCTGCAGATGGGAATTCAAGGCAAGGAGGGCCAGCTTCTGACTGATAAGTGGAAGCATGGCACGAAGACATACCTGGGTATGGCGGTGTCGGGCTTTCCGAACATGTTCTTCACCTACGGACCTCAGGCACCCACTGCGCTCTGCAATGGTCCAACGTGCGCGGAGTACCAAGGGAACTTCATCGTCAGCATGATGAATCATATGAGGGAGCAGGGCCTCAAGCGCGTCGAACCTGGCGCTCAAGCCGAGCAGGCGTGGGGTGAAGACGTCCGCAAGTTTGCGTATTCTTCATTGCTACCCGAGACAAACTCGGTAAGTTGCTCCTGCTAAAGAATTTTGTGAAATCTTATTTCTGACTCGGTTTTCTTGTAGTGGTACATGGGGACCAATATCCCTGGCAAAGTCCGGGAGCCTCTCATCTACCTGGGTGGTGTTCCAAATTACTATGGCAGTCTCGATGAATGCTTGCAGGGCGGATTCGCCGAGTTCAGAAAGACGTAGTCATTTTTTGTTGAGCTACGAGGTTTTCAATATTATGTACTCGTTATGAATGCTTGCCATTTATTGTTCTCTTTTATGGAGGCTATCAACTATGGAAAGTCAATCGATATGTATCTTGAGGTGATTGTTTGATTAAGCCCAAGAGGTCAAACCTATCTTAAATTAAAGATGCCGGCATTAATATGCACAGTAAACTCGATGATAAAGCCTCAGTTTAGAGTAACAACCTTCTTCTGCACTTATGAATGATAAGACTTTTTAGATCCGCGAAGATACGAAAGCAAATGTATTTGAAAGAATAGCCCGTCGTGAATAGACGTAGAGTTGCATTTATTCTAAATTATCGGCTCCAAGTCGGTTGAAAGTTATCAAAATCGGAAAATCATAGCTATCATTCATTTCGAAGTTGTAGGAGCTCTTCGGCAGAACGAAGAAGATTTCATCGTGACTGAATCCACTTAATAGCGGAAACAGTGTCTTGACTAAACGCAGACCACTCGGGAAGAGTGTTGAAGAACCAAAAACAATGAGGCATCCCTTTGTAGAGAACCTCATGAACGCTAACCCCTGCATCTTTCAAGGCAGCTGCCAGGACTTTACCGTCATCCCGTAAGGGATCACATTCAGCAGTCGAGACATACACTGGCGGGAAATTGCCCAATACGGTATCGTCAAGCAGTATGAAGCTGCTAGAGTCTTCAGGGGTTGCACGCACAAGTTGAAGAAACTGTGTCATCACGGACCGAGTAAGGACCGGAGCACCCTCCCCAAACTCTTTGTAAGAGTTGTGGGCTGCTTGGAATTTTTCGGGGATGTTGTCCGGGTGAACCGTGACGGGGCTGACAGCAATAACTCCAGAAAGAGCGGTTGCAGGCACCTTGGATCTGCCGCTCACAATCTTTCGCGCAGATAGAAGAGCCAGAGTCGCACCAGCCGAGGTGCCAATGGTGAAGAGACGGTTTGCATCGGCGCCAAGAGAGCTCGCATTCGCATATGCCTAGGGGATTTTAGCAAGAGATGCCAGCGGAGCCCATGTTAAGGCCTACCCATTCGATAATAGTCATCGTGTCTTGCAGCTGCACCGGATGCTCATGCTCTGGAGCGAGGCGGTAGTCGACGCTGATGAGAATTGTTCCGGCCTTTTCGGCAAACTCTCGACACAGAAAATCCTCAGCGTCAAGGTCACCGAGAATGAATCCACCGCCATGCATAAAAACCCCGAGCGGCAGAGGGCCCATCGTCTTACCAGACTGCGGTGTATAAATGCGATATCCAACACCTTGGACATTGCCATTTGTCACCGCTACCGCGTCCGAGGGAAGTGGGTAGCCGGGGGAAAGGGCTGCAAAGAGACCCGCGAATTGGGCACGGATATCAGAGACACCCCCCTGGAGGGCAGTCCTACCACCAGTCGCGGTCTCTAACTGACAACGGCAATCTAGATCAGTACAAGGAGGAACAGCCTTATTCAAGAAGTGAAACGCCCACCTGGAGCCAGGATTCCGCGTAACGGTCAGCCATGATTGAGATATGCAGATGAAGATTCGGTATTTCGATAGATTGTTGAGACACACTTCGTGGGGAGCAGGCAAATTAAAATGAGCTCAAACTATTGTATATTCCATCGCTTTGGCCCTTCGGAAATCCTTTCGGACTTGGGGAAATTAAGGTTTGCGGGTTTCGGAGTTCGATTTCGGAGAGCAAACGATTTTCGGGCGATCTGGGGAATATTGGAAAATGCGGAGGAATCTTGTTTTCAGTATCGATATTTGAGAGCTAGTTGATTTGTGGAGGTATATCTCTGGTTCAGTGTCGAAAGCTGATGATTAGACGCGCGCGTCGACGCGATCTCAAGATGGACCTGTTACAGCTACTGTCCTCGTGCAGCCATATCCTATTATACTTGCTGTCCTATTACAGCTGCTGTCTTGGGATTTGTTTTTGCTTCCAAGCAAGCTCGTAGTAAATCAAAAGTGGTTTCATTCTGACCTGAAGGTATCCCGGTGAAAGCAAGATTGGCCATACTCATTAGCGTGGAGGTGGACCTCGCCAAGCTTCTTTTTACTTCTCTCCATCACTTGCAAAAAGAGCTTCTCGGCCTCGTCCCACCAGCCCTTAACCAAGTATGCTGTTGTCAGCATCGCTATGCTTGCAACTGTTTCTACATCCTCTACACCTAATAACTTCACCTTGTTCTTCCTCGATTTTGACATCGTTTCCCGCGTATCTGCGATATTACCACTTTGCCACCCATACTACGCACCTCTGTAAAGAAGGGTAGCCCTTTTTCGTAAAGACTCAAAAGATTCTGGTCGTTGTGGTTTAGGGAAATAGTACGTAGTTTGGTTCGTCGTATAAAGTGATGAGCTATGACATATATTAACAGCGTGCTTGGAAGGCGAAGAGGCAGAAAATTCCGAAATAAATCAATGATCCAGAATCGTAGAGTGTGCAAAAACCCTGATTTTTATTATCACCTTGCTAGTAGACAAACAATAATCAAAGAAATAGAAGGCCGTATGAATCCCCAAGCCCAAGGGATCGGAAAGATGGCAGCCATATGATCTGAGCCATAAGAGCGAAATTGAGGACTTGAGCGAGAAGGAACCTGAACGGCTGCAGCAGCTGCTGGAACTATGGGGCCAGTATATCCTGGAAACGGGTATAGCCACCTTGACTCTCGACCAAGACCAGTTCATCGAGGCGATGGAGGGACAGATGCTCGAGACCGGCTGGATGGAGTATGAGTACCGTCTAACATGGATAAATTCATCACCAAGCCTCCGCACTTTGAGAGGACACTTAATGCGATGTAACTGAGGGGCAGGATATAGGTTTATACATGTGCTGTGAGGCACAGAATAGGCATATAACCTAGTCAATGAAATGTACATCTGTCATTTGAGAATGGTATCACACTTTCTTTTTCCCTTGCACGCCGTCAACTGGGCTGACGCGTCCTCGTGGGAGTAGCCCTACCCATCCCTTGATAGCTGGGCTCAATTGGCTCAGTGCGTAGAAAGATACACTAGATACTGCAGGGTAGATGGCCAAGCTTGTCAAAATAGTGCTTGTCAAAGTAGTGACCGCATTTGTAGTGGCCAACAAATGTTGTATATGATGTTCGCGATGCTGTGATCCGACCGGCCATTCAACAGAGAAGCGAACAGTTGCTGCTCGTCCCCCGAGAGCAAAATGATCTCTGCTCTGCGGGCCCGCGCACACTTTGTTTCAGAGATATCCGTCATTATGCTGTGGGAACCTGTGCTGTATGGCCTTTTTTCGAATCTATGGTAAGGATATGATTATAAGCGAGGCTTCTATCTACCCTCAGCTTATTATATGTAGGCTAGTTAAGGTATTTCAAGATAAGGTTCGGAAAGAAATGTGTGGTTGGGTGGTAGAATCTACTTCCCTACCCTTTCTTTCACCTAATTCACTAAAATCCAGGATCGATCACAATCCGTTTGTCAAAATGAGGAGGGGATTTCTTGGCCTATCGCATTTACCCAAGTGGCTGCGGAGGATGAGTGATACTGAACGCCCCGTTATTTGCTGATAGGACGGGCCTCCTCGACGCCTTTGATAGGACAAAGATCGTCATCCGCTACAGCTTAGATTGCTTAAATTACATGGTGATGGAGGGACTTCCAGGCGTGTTGCAGGGCGAAATCACGCCATTACCGCCCCAATGAAACAACAACAGGGAAAAAAGGGAGGCCCTTGCTGGTCGGTAATTGAATATTTAATGATAGGTTCATCCCTTTCACTCGATCCTTTTTATTTTTCGGCGCACTGAATTTATTCCCCACTAGTTTTCCCCTCCTGGAAAAATGGTATACGCGACAGAAGCGGAGGATGTTGACCGCAGTTCTCAGGTTGTGAAAGATGGGAACAACCCGCAATCTCAATCCGACACGGACGTTGCAAATGTCGATTCTACCGCCAAAGCAGGGCAGTTGGACTTTGAACAGTATACTCGTGGAGGACTGGGTCGGCATTTGGGTGTATTCTCGACGACCTTTCTGATGTATGTTTCTGGTTGACATTCGTCAGCTTCAACTTACTTATTTCACCATGAAAATAGCGTGGGTCGAATCATTGGCACCGGTATTTTTTCGACGCCGTCTTCTGTGACTAGCAGTGTCGGCAGCGTAGGAGCTGCAATGCTGCTATGGGTATTGGGTCTTCTCTTGGCTGGTGCTGGCCTTTGTGTCTGGCTTGAATTTGGATGTATGATACCGCGCAGCGGAGGGGAAAAAGTATACCTGGAAGCTGTCTATCGGCGGCCGAAATTATTGATTACCGTGGTCTTTGCTACTCAGGCCATTGCCCTAGGATTTACAGGTGTGTTGGGCAAACATCAACAGACATGATTTCAACTTGGCTGACTAGATGGCTAGCCTCGGGATGTGTTGTATTTGCCTCCTATGTGGTTGTGGCAGCTGGGAGAGAGGCATCAGAGTGGGAGGAGCGAGGAGTTGCCATCGCGGTGATTGTGTTCATAACACTGATGCATACGTTTCTGCCTAAATGGGGCGTCCGGGGCATGAATGTTCTGGGAGTGTTCAAAGTCGCCCTTCTACTTTTCATTGTCGTCACTGGTTGGGTGGTACTGAGCGGGCGTGTGTCAAGTGTGCCCGATCCATATGCCAGCTTCCATAATTCCTTTGCCGGATCTGCAACGTCCAGCAATCCGTATGCAATTGCGCTGTTCAAAGTCTTGAACTCATATACGGGGTAAGTGAGCTTCTCACTGTGCGAACTTGCGGTTGACTCATGGAATGTCTGCAATTATAGATGGTCAAACGCGGCCTATGTCCTCAATGAAGTCCGCAATCCTGTCCGGACCCTAAAGATTGCCGGCCCCGTTGGACTTTCCATCTGTGGAGTCCTCTGTCTACTCGCGAATGTGGCTTACTATGCTGCCGCAACCCCAGAAGAGATTGCCAACAGCGGGGTTACCGTGGCTGGCTTCTTCATGGGAAAAGTCTTTGGCTCGGCAGCCGAGCGCGCGTTAAGGTAAGAATTTCGAAACGGTGCACGCACGACTCTAATGAGGCATTATTACATACAGTGCCTTGGTTGCTATATCCAGTTTTGGAAATGTAATGACCGTCACTTTCGCCCAAGCCCGAATCAACCAGGAACTTGCGAAAGAAGGGGTAATCCCATTTCCCAAGTTCTGGGCTTCTAGCTGGCCATTTGGGTCCCCGTCTTCTGGCCTGCTGTTGCACTTTATTCCATCTTTCATTATCATCGTGGCGATTCCATTTGGTGATGCCTATGATTTCATCCTGGATCTGGAAGGGTATCCAGCCAGTGTCATCAACTTCTTAGTTGTCGTGGGCCTTTTCTATCTTCGATGGAAATCTCCGAATGTCCATCGGCCTTTTCGTGTTTGGTGGCCTGTTGCATTCTTCTTCATGGTTGGCCAATCCTTTCAGCTGGTTGCGCCGTTCATCCGACCACCGGGAGGAAAAGGAGATACGTCTCTTCCCTACTGGTTGTCATCTGTTATCGGTATCGCAATTTTGCTTCTGGGGGTGATGTACTGGTTCGTCTGGCAGAAGGTGCTTCCAAAAGTCGGAAGATATCGCCTTGCTCCAGATCACGAGGAGCTTTCAGATGGCACAACGGTTGTGATATACAAAAAGGCCAAATAGCTGGAGAATGAGTTGAGTTAAAAGAACGATGGGATGGCATTTACGGGCGACGATAGTTAGCAGTTCTGTGTTTCGGCCTAAATCTAGCGAAAAGAAAACATGCAATAAACAAATCAAACTCTACTACGTAATAGATCATGTGCAATCTTGAAAAACTAAGAGTTGTTGTGGTAATAATATATCGGATGGTAAGGCTACCGCTTCGGGGGTGTAGTAAAAGAAGAAACTGCCAGTAAATTCTTTTTATCCATTTTGCGCACAAAGCGAAAGCATATACGATTATCGGTCACTGCTTGCCCTCCAAATCAGTGAAAAAATCTCGTCCAAAGTCAGAACTACTATCATTGAATCGTAGCTTCTTGTTAATCGCCTGGATCTTCTTCATGTCCTCTGGGCTGAGCTTAAAATCCGCTTCCAGATTGGATTTAATTCGTGACGGGGTCTTGGACTTGGGCAGCACCGAGTGGCCCTGCGTGACCCCCCAGGCTAGAAGAGCTATTTAGCAAAGATCAAAAAGGAAAGCTAAAGGGAATGGTACATACCGAGAGCAACCTGTGGCGCGGTCTTGTTGTATTTCTTGCCTATCTCCGCCAGCACGGGCTCATCGATTAGCTTGGTAGCACCGCCTTTGTCGCTGTAGATGGAATTCTGGTTCCCAAATGGAGAGTACTGCGTGACATGGATCCCCTTGGCCTGGTGCCATGTTGTGAAATCATGCTGTTGCAGCCACGGATGACACTCCATCTGGTGGGCAGCTGGTACGACCGAGGTGTTCTGTATCAGCCGCTCCATTTCGGCTTTGGAGAAGTTTGACACGCCGATAGCCTTGGTCTTGCCGGTTTTCAGCAGTTTCTCCATAGCCTTGTAGGTCTGCAAGTGGTTTTTAGTGCAACGCTAAAGCAATAAAACAAACTAGACCTACATCGAGATAGTCGATATTCTCCATGATGAACTTCCCATCCTGTTTCGGAAATAGATCCTCGCCACGCTTCCAAGCGACGGGCCAATGCATCAGGTACAGATCAACGTAGTCCATGTCCAAATCATCCAGAGACTGCTGCAAGGCCCCGGCCACGTCGTCCGGATGGTGCTTGTTGTTCCAGAGTTTGGTCGTCACAAAGATCTCTTCGCGCGGCACGCCGCTTTTCTTGATGGCCTGGCCCACGGCCTTTTCGGTGCAGTAGCTATTTTAGCCATAGTTAGTACAACGCCAATGCAATTAATATTGTTGCTGCTTACACCCGCGCAGTATCTATATGCCTGTAGCCTGCCTTGATTGCCTCCGTCACAGCATCTTCCTGGGCGTGTTCATCTTGCCAGGTGCCAAATCCGATGGACGGAATCTCGGCTCCAGTGTTGAGCTTGCATTTGGTGGGCATGTTGAAAATAATTTTTTCGGATTGTTGTCAGTGGCAGCCTGATATTTTGCGGTAAGACTCAAGAAGATATATATATTAGGGTTCGGACGTCACGGACGTCATGTTGACGACAATGTTCCTTGTGCCCAATGGCATTAGAGTAGCCCTGAGAGCGGATGACGCTTAGATAATTAACTAGGAAGGATCCAAAGGTCTGGGTGAATTAAATGGTATTGTTATTCTTATAGAATCAATTTTTTGTAACGGGGATCAGCAGGAAGTCTGCTGCTTAGGTATAGTTCACTAGATCATGTTTGACTCCCAGACAAACTGCGCCGCCAGTCTCTCCTGCCTGCCGTAGCATCCGTTTATATTCCGAGCTCCACCCACAATTTTTTCTTTCGCTTCCTCGCTAGGAGCTTTTCTTTTTTTCCGACTTGCATCTGTGACAAAGGTCCATCCTAGGTCATAGTAACTTCTCACTAACCACAGAGGTAAGCTTACCCTCGCTTTGGGTTCATCCCTTCAACCTTTGAGGATAAAATTCCTGGTATCACTGTCCCAACGCCCACGAAGGATTTTTTTTTTTTTTTTTTGAAAAACCTCTACAATTACACTGATATGCTTTTTTACCTTCCGATATTCACTCTAAATGGCTTGGAACCTCGCTGACTCGGGTCTCTTCAGGAAACTCGAACAATTGATGCTGGTCTGCATCATGACTGCTTCTATCCCAAAGTAAAAGGTACGCTTTTTTTTTCTTTGCTCAACTCGCATCCATCTACCCCCCTTTGTATGATGACTCCAAAGACATGTTAAGGCATTCCTCAAACTTAAATCACCATGTGGAATCTGTCATTCTATCAAGTTTCAGCCTTGTCTGACAAAGCGCTCGTTCTCTCACTGCTTCCGCTGGCTTCTCTTGTCGTGAACCATTACTGACAAGCTGCTGGTTTAGGTAAATCTTGCAATCTCGCTCCTCTCCTGCCCTCTTGCCTTGCATGAAGATATCTTGAACGAACGGGCGGACAGATCGTGTCTCCCATCCTACATCCAAAACATACAGAGCGTACAAACTCTGTGGGTGTATCGACGGGAGATTACTTGTTGAGAACTCGTCACCTGAGCCTTTGCCCCTTGTCACATATTATCCGCATCGCAGATGAAAGTGTGATCGTGTAGCTGACAAGGAACTGTTAGGTAATTCTTGCTCTCGTCTTGTCCCTCAACCCCACAACCATGGTCCAATCTATTATGATGAATGTGTTATTCACACTGTTTGACCTGGGTACTCTGTATCTGGGAATGAACATTTACACAAAAATCTGATTTAATGAGGTGAGTGAACCATTTGCCTCTCCCGAACACACCATGCTAATGAGACTCAATAGCCTGACTTAGTTGCCATGTTTTGACTTCATGACTTGAACATGCATCGTGCTTGAATGCCATTGCTAACTCGATGTGATACAAAACATAGGACCCGGATCCCCATTGTAGATATGAACCAAGTCCCGATATTGTGAGTCTCCCATCTGTTTCTATCCCCTCTACCCCCTCGCCTGATGAACCCATATATTCGCTGTGTTCTTTCTGAACTACATCTTGAAGATAAAAAATATATTCACCTTGGAGAACTGATCCTATGTTACTCTTGCCATATCACATCACCGAGTTCGTTTGATGTTCCGCTGCTAATACCGATAGCAGGTCCCGCAGGTGATTTTTAGCATCAATGAAACACTACTATTGTTTTGATTTCTGTCGTCCCACTAGCTATCCATAGATCTGCCGTAGTTTCCAGTCTTCTACTCCACAAACTGGCCATGCCTCTTATGCCACCCCTCTATACTGTCCCCCGAGTCATTGTAGAGCTCATGCACACTCTTCTTCCCCTCGGGCCACCGCATCCACGCCGGCTTCGACCCGCCCATGACACACACCATCTCCTCCGGGACGGGCAGCTCGGTATCAATGGCCGTGGCAAAGGGGTGGATCAGTTCGGGCCAGTGGTGATCCCACAGCCACAGCATAGTGCTGCAGTTGGAGCAGAAGTTCCGCTCAGAGGAGCAGCGCTCCTCGTTTGGAGTGCCGCGGTCTTTGATGCCGTTGTATTTCCTGGGTCTGTTTAGTTCTTGTGCCTCGGCGGCAGGGAAGGAAAGGATAGAAGGTGCCGTACTTGATGAGGTCTTTGCCCGTGATGATCTTCAGGCTGTCGGCGATGCCGCCTAGGTTCACACTGCCGCTGTATCCGCCTACTTTGCGGCAGATGCTGCATGCGCAGAGCTGGTAGGGCACTGGGGTTTGGGACTGGAGGGTGAAGGTTACGCCGCCGCATTGGCAGCTGCCGTCGAGTTTCCTGACCGGCTTGATTAGAATGGGTGATAGAAGGGATAAATAATGCTTACATTGGCATAGCTTAAGATTGGCTTGGAAAAATGGAGGTAGGAAAGAAAGTAGGAGTTGGAGGTTTGACAGTGGAAGGAGCCGGGAGGTCAGGGACTACGTATATATACTTCGACTGGATACACTATTCCAGCAAAGCAAACACGCCACAATTACTTCCGGATGATATCCCTAGACTTCCACATCCTATGAACAGGCCGAAATGCACGTCCCGTCAAGCACCAATACATCATCGCTCGAACTTGTGAATCTTGGTTGGCTGACGTCGTGTTTGTCTCGTTTGCTCTGTTTGCCTCTCTTCTTTCCGACCCTTCGCGACTCTCTTCTTGTGCTGCTGGACGGACCTCCAAGCAACCGATTTCCATTCGAAATGAGCTTCGGCGCTCCCGGAGGCGGAGCGACCAATATCAAGCCCACTCCGTGAGTCTTTTCAGTCGCATAATTCTCGAGTGATGCTAATTCGCATCCGGTACAGGCCCGAGCGCGGTAGCTTTCCTCTTGACCACGACGGTAAGGGAGTCCTCTCAATCCGAATGAGGCCGATATGAACCAGAATCGAGCAGCGCTAAGAGTATGTCCCAATAGGAGAATGCAAGCACATCATCGCGGGCTACCTGAAATGCATCAAGTCCAACAAAGGCACCAATGACGAGGCGTGTCGCAAATTGGCTAAGGATTACCTTGCCTGCCGCATGGACAAGTATGTGGACTTTTCCCTTTGGGGCTGAATGGCAATTCGCTGACCTGGATTGCGACGGACAGAAACTTGATGGCCCCGGATGATTTCAAGAATCTCGGTCTGGTGTTTGACAAGCAGAATGGGACCGAGTCGACAGGGAAAAAGGACTGAGATTTGTACAATAGTAAACGACAAGCTCTAGGCGTTCTACATAACTATACATTATATTTCAAATCTAAGATCAATTGAAGTGAAGGTATTCAATGTACTGGATTCCCTTAGCTACAGGTTAAGTTAACTCTATGCGGGGAGTCTCTCCGCCCGACTCAACTTCGCACCTCCAACCCTTTATCTTAACCAGATAGTATGCCCTCATGTCGTCCATCGCCCGGCCACCAGACCCGTGCTTGGTGGCCATCATCCTGATTGTGCGCTCGCGCACTGGTCCCCGTCTGGTCTTCCACTACCCCCCGAACCCGCTGAGCGAGAATCGCCTGAAAACCACCACCAAGGGCGGCCGGCGCGCGCGCCACAAACAGGGAGCCAAGAACACCGACTCCAGCTCGAGTGACGAGAGCGGCTTCAGCTCCGACGAGGATGAGGAGGAGAGAGAAAGCCATCTGGGTGGGAGCTCCGTGTTGGGCGGGCGGCGGGCGAGCAACTTCGGTCTGGACGACCACGCGTCCGCCACGGTGTCGCCCGCGGGCGTGGAACCGCAGCGCCCCGGATCACTAGGGTCCGGTAGGGGCTCTTCTATGCGGAAACGCGCCAGTGCAAACTCCGACCAGGAAGATGATCCGGGGGCGGTATCTGACCGACCAGATGATGGACCTGGGGGCTCGTCGCGCCGACTCTGGGAGTCTCTTTTGGGGCTCCCAGGGAACGTGTGGGAGAAACTTCTCAGTCCGTCTCGGTCATGGCATAAGCGGCGATTCGAGGTCGGAATCAATGACCTGGCCCTGATGGGATGGCCGGTCTTCGTGCGCGAGGATGGTACCTGGCGGAAACAGAAACGGAAGAAGAAAAAGAAGCCCTCCGCTGAATGGGATGGCGGCGAACTGGGTCATAATGAGGATTCCGAGGGGGCCCCCGGCGTAGAGAAGGGCATTGGATCCCCTGCTTTGGGAGCCACTGCGGCCCCCAGCGCGGCTGCATCCTCAGAGGCCAAGCGCACCTCATCTGCCAGCAAGACTGGGAAGCCATCAGAGGGCACTGTCGACCCAGAGGACAAAGACTCCATGACAATGTTCAATGTGGTGTTTGTCATGGATCCTCCGTTGCTGGAGTATTCCATGCGCGTCAAGGAAATCTACGAAAACATCATCAAGAAATTTGCCAAAGCTTTGAAGTGGGAGCAGGCTCGCACTGATTATGTGTGGAAGGAATCCCAGCACATCCTACAAGTGAGGCGAAAAGCCCGGGAAACAAGTAAGCCTCTGTCTTGGAGTTGGTATTACATGAGCGAGCTGACGGTCCTCGTAGAAACATCTGTCAACAGTCTCTATTATGATCTCATCGCTCAGTCTTCGCTGGCGAGGGCTATCTACACCGTCTATAGCAGTATCTCAGCCTCAAAGATTGCGTCTGTCTCCCTGAGCCCCGATGTCTCCATCTCGCTACAGATCCCGCCTCTGACTTCCACGCCATATCTCGCGGGCCCGACAGACCAAGCCTATCCGGGGCTATGGCTGACCACCGCAGACAACGTGACACCCGTTGATGACCCAGGTGCGGCGGATGGGAACAGTGCACCGCACCAGGTCCTGGCCAAGCACTTTGCTCTGCTCTTCTTGGACAGCGAAGCGGCCATTATCAAAGATGTCGAAACTTCCGGCGGTGCAATGGCTCCTGCACTGGCCCACTACATCCGTTGCTCCAAGCCCACCAAGTCATTTGCCCAAATCTCCGCATCGTCGGGGATTTCGCTCACCACTATTCAGATGCTGGCCAGTCACCTTGTCTACTGGCGACGTGCTCGTGCCATCCCTCCTATCCATCAGCGAGACACATACATCGTATCCCCGAATTGCGACTTGAGCAAGCTCGAGGCCGCCACGGTCGCCTACCAAGCGGCCTTTCCGACACTTCCCACCCTACCAAAGATGCTGGCTATGCTCAGCGGAACCCCCCGGCCCTACAGTACCCTCATTCCCAGCAAAGACCACAAAGACGCCTACTTTGCCATTCTCGCCTGGCTCCTCCGCGGCGGATGGGTGACACAGCTGCGAACCTTTGCCTGGATCAAGGTCTCCCCCGAGATCAAACGAGCAGTCGAGAGCGCCCTCCGCAAAGAAGAAGTGGACCGATACCTCGCCAAAGGCAGCGCAAACTCGCTCTCCACAACGGACGGCCAAAATGACTCTGATGATGACGATGACGCCAACTCCTCCTCTTCTTCCTCTCTCGCAAGCCACGGCAGCGGAGACAACACGCCCATGCCCGGCCGATACGATGCGCGCGCCCGGCTCCGCACGTCGCACAAACTGTTGGATCGATCAACCGCGCTCCGCCTGTCCTCCTTGATCTTATCCCCGCATCGCGCATCCCCGCTCGAGTCTCGCTGGCTCGACGAAATTGTGTCCAGATTCCCCGACCGGGCCGGCGGCCCCGGGGAGGGACTCATGAGCATCAGCCCGGAACTCGCACCGAAGGATCTTCAGACTTTACTGCGGACGTATTGGCCCATCTTTCTCAAGTACTTGAATGGGTATGATGCTCTGGAGAAGATCCCTGTGCGCGAGAATCTGAAGCGCAAGCTTGTGTGGCAGGTCCTCTTGCGTTTGGGGCTGAGTGGCACGTCCGGGCCTGGTGAGCTTGACGCGAGGGAGCAGGTGCTTGTCAGTGTTCGACACTGGTAGGTTGGGATGTTTTGCGAACTTAATATGGGATGTCATATACAACCGGGTATTTGGGTGTCTTATGGGTTTCCTGTGTATAGCCACGGCGTTGGTTCCAATTTATTCAATCTATTCTTCGCATCTTATACATCTAGTAACACCTGAGGCATTACTCGGACACCCTCCACTGTCGCCAAGGTAATAAACGTTCCAACCGTGGTAATGGGATTACATCCACTACTGTCCTTCCGATGGATTCCGTTGCCCTCAGCCCTAACCAGCACTACCGAACCTTGAACTGTGTGTATGCGCATGTATTCTCCTAGAAACATCCCCAAAACTTAATTGTAGACAGGGAATGAAATGCAAAATACCCCAAAGCGAGCGGGATATATTCAAGCCCAATACCAAGCCAATGCATGTGCAGGACTCTCCGTCACATTCTTGTCGCACAAATATTATGATGTTTAGGCTGCCTGGTTCTTCGGCGGTATTACCGATACATACCTCCCCTCCCGTTGCCAGGTACCCGAGGATTTCATCACCGGTTGGTTTCTCCGAAAACGCAACGGTCCCCACGGGTGGCTTGTGAAGATTAGATGCAGCAGTGTTTCAGGCCAACACTAAGAGGGATAGCCGGCAGGGGGTGAGAGGTGCCGTCTCTGAAGAATAATCAACGGTATAGATATTAGGTATCGACTTGACTTGACTTTCTGTGTAGAGGATGTAGGTTCAAGCATATTCTCACCCGTACGGGCCGTCCGGTAGGCTGTTAGGTAAGAAAATCGGACACGCACAAATACCAATTTCCGCCCGCTGCGAGCCAGTGAGCATTAGTGGTATATTAGTTGCTCTACTGGCCCGGGGCAAGTCCCCAGTACAATACATCTGACAGTTGACAGCTCAACAGCCCTACCTGCCTGACTATTGGAGGCTCAATTGCGCTGCAGCAGCTATTGGCCCTCCCGGATCGTCCGATGCAGAATGATGCCCGATGAGACAGAGCTTCAACCGAGGCTGGCGGGAAAGCACAGGGTCGTCTTTGCGAGACAAGTAACGGCCCTATGTAACAGTGCACTATTTCCAGAATATGCCCCCAACGGGGTCTAGTCTGGGCTGGAAATTGGCGCAAGGATGACTGCGGGCAAACAGGGAATGCTCTGACAATCCAAGAGTAGGAGTAATAGTAGTAGTGAAAACAATCCGAGGATGTATTCCCATTGACTAGCTATTAATACTGGGGCTTGTATTGATGGTTATTCCATGGCCCAGCGGGGGGGACTGTATAGGCCCTATTGTAGGCTCGTCCCACACGGGCTTCCGGCACTGATTCCACACATCCCGTTAGTTACTCCATAGCAGAAAAAAAAAAAACTCGCTTCATTTCTTTTTCTCTTTTTCGATTGTGAAAACCAAAAGTGCCCAATCCTCAGACCCTAAGTACGTCCTTGTTTGCGGATTCCCAGCTGGCATTTCTTCCAGGGTGAGTGAGTGGATGACCACAATAATAATAATTTTGTCCTGAACTTTCTCACTCTTCCCTCTTTCTCGGTCTCTCCCTCTCTCTCTTCCTCTCTTCACCAACCAACTTCCCTCTCTTTCCCTCCCTCTCTTTCCTCCCCTCCAGCTTTCGGTCTTCCCACCACCCCCACTGTGCTGTGGGCTGTTTCTTGCTCTCATTCCTCCCTGCCACACGATCCTGTGCTGAACTCCCTCCCTCCCAGCCCGCGTTCCGCTCGCCCACTCGCCGTGAGCGTTTTTTGGCCCAGTCGATCGCGCTTGATTTTCCGTCAATCCTCCGACACCTCCCAGGTCAGCGTTGCCTCAGTGTCCTTTCCTGACACTTCTCAATCGTCCTTGACCGTGGAGAGTGCCTTGCGACCCGACCCTCACGTCCGAAGCAACTCTTGACCCTCGCTCCGGCACCACGTGAAAGTCGCGCTCATCTACCCAGGCGACTTCCGACAAGGGATCAAATTTCGCGTCAGGAGCACGGCTGCAACTCAATAACACCGAGTGTTGCCTCGAACACTTGGCTGCTGCCCCCTCCACCCCGTCCGACGATCAAGAGCCGGGCTGTTGTGATTGTCCCAGCGAACGAGCGCGGAATTACACAAGGGGAGAGTTCCTGTGCATCCGACTTGCAACAAGCGAGTCGATTGTACGAGCCCGTCACTCCTTCACCCCCGAGGTTTCGTTCCCGACGTGGACAGGGCAGTGCCCTTCAACCTTGGTGGAAGCAAGAAGTTATTTTGTGCTTCAACCCCTCCATCGCTTACTGAAGCCCCGTGAGGTCTGCTTTCACAGTCATCTAGACAACCGCTTGTCATCCCTGCGAACCCGAAGGTGATTATCGATGCGACTCGCGTTTTAGCCAGTCTTCCCACAAATACAACCGCGCCGAGTACAACCCTCTCGCAACGCCTCCCTACCGGGATTTCCTCTCGTCCATCCTGAAAACAGGCTCTCCTCATACACCATCCCAGAGTGGGAGTGATTTGGAAAAAAAGCAAAACGGGGAGTTGCAGCTTGGTGGGCTTGAAGAAGGGGAAGCCGATTCTTTCTTCTGCATTCCGCCAGTGTCAGAGCCATCTCGCCCCAAGTCGGCACACACTGAGGTCTTTCAGAGTCATCAAAGGAGATAGCTGTTCTTAGGCAGAACTCTCTTTGACCTCGCGGATTCACTTTTTTTTTTTTTTTTTTCGTCTCGATTAGAACCCGCAATGAGTTCGCAATCCGAGATGCCTACATTTTCGTACGCCCAAGCCGCCAAAGGCCTTGCCCCTGCACCAACCAAGGCGACAGTCGCGGAGTCGGACAAGGTCGACTCCAAATCTGAGGACCAGAGCAATACTCCCGTGACTACGGATGCTTCGTCTACAACTTCGGAACCTCAAGTACCACGAGATACCGAGAAGGAGACGCCAGATGTTGCCAACGACTCTGAGTTCACGACAGTTACCAGCAAGCAGTCTGCGGCCAAGGCCAAGGCAGCCAACTCCAGGACATCGTCTCCAAGCGCGGGCAACTCTGCAAATGGAACGCATCGGAAGAAGGACGATGCCTCGAATGTCACGAACGGCACTCCAGAAGCTGCGTCCGGCAGGAAGTCTCAATCAGATAAACAGGCAGAGAAGTCGGAGAATGGAGGAGCAGAGGGCTCCAAAGACACATCTGGGGATTCCGAGAGCAGCGCACCTCCTAAGGAACTCAAGGCTGCTCCTATTCCTACAGTGAACATCTGGCAGCAGAGGAAGGAGGCCCAAGATGCCAAGGCCAAGACCACGCCGCCCGTCTCTGCTGCAAAGACTGGTTCCACGAAGTCTGCTACCGCAGAGGATAGCCAGCAAGATTCAACCAAGGCTAACCAGAAGAAGAAATCGGATGGTGCATCGGATGGTGCCAAGGACCGGAAAAAGGCAGATAGCAAATCGCGCGACGATGGATCTGCGATGCCTCCGGTGGCAGACGCTACATTATGGCCCACCCCACAGGTCGCGCTGGGCGAAGAGAAGAAGAAGGCCCAAGAGAAGACCGATAAGTCCGAGCAGACCAACAAAAGCCCCGTGATGCGGACGCATGGCAAGGAGAAGTGGACTCCTGTCCCATACGTGCCAACTGCTGTTTTCAACACTCCTCTTCCCTCAGCTTCTGGTCGCAGAGGAGGAGGCTCCAAAGCTTCTCGAGGTGGAAGAGAAGGCGGTCGCGGTGGGTCTCATGCCGCTGGCGAGAAGTCCACCTCTGGACAAGGCGCTGCAGGGTCTGCGCCGAAGCAGACTTCTGGCGGAGAGCGAGGGAGACTCGAGTCTTCCACTGGTCGTGCAACATCCCTTCCTGCGCAATCGCGTCGATCAACGAGCACCGATGTTGTCCCGACAGGAGGCAAGGCCTCTCAGCCCGCGGATAAAAGTCGTGGAGCCCGCGGTGGAGAGGATGCAAACGCCGCAACCGGCAAGCAAGCAAATGGCGGCGAGAGCGTGGCGCGCCCCCAGCGCGAAGGCAAGCCTTTCGCACGAAACCAAGCAGGCAGCGACCGCAACGCGAGAGGCACCCACCTGGCTGTGGACTCTCAGGCTGCGGCTCGCGCCAATGAACGCCGCCTCGAGAACGGCTCCAAGTCAGCCGACTTCTACCGAGAATCCGGGTTCGACTACAACCGAGAACGTGGCGACTCACGCGCTGAGCGTGGGGGTCGTGGCTCCAACCGTGGCCGTGGCGGGTATCCAGCCTTTGGTAGCCAGAATGCTCCGTTCGCTAATGCGGCAGCCATGCCCAACAATTCCTTTGCTACACCCAAGCCCTTTGGCTTCAACGAGCGACAACGATCACAACAGGGTCTTCCCAATGGCGCACAACAACAAGGCAACCGGATGCCATTGCGATCACCGTCGCTGCCGACCACTCCAGGCATGTACGGTGTTTTCCCCTTCGATGTTAACGCCATGTACGGCTATCAACCGGCGAACCCTGGAGCAATGACTGCCATGCCCTACCAGCAGCAGTACATGGAGCCCTTCTCGCTCATGAATATGCTCTCGATGCAACTGGAGTACTACTTCTCCGTTGACAACATGTGCAAGGACATGTTCCTTCGCCGACATATGGATGGCCAGGGCTTTGTGCCATTGGGTGTGATTGCCAGCTTCAAGCGGATCAAGTCGCTAACCGAGGACTTTGAACTTCTTCGTATCGTCTCTCGCCAGCTCCGAAACGTTGAGCACCAGGTCGGTGACGATGGTGTTGATCGGTTACGCCCGAGAGAGAGGTGGGCCCAGTGGATTCTTCCTGTTGACCAGCGTGATCCCGCCGCCCAGCATGAAGGTGCGCCGCCTGCGAAGCAAATCGGAAAGACCGATGAGAACGTCCCATTCAACCACCATGTCGACGGCGCTCTCAACGGCTATGGAGGACCACGCCAATTCGTTCCCAATGGTACCGCCTCCCGAGGCCCCAAGACCTCCCTGTCTACCGCGGCCCCGGAGTTCATGCCGTCAGGGCCACCCTCCGCCCACAATGAAATTGCCAATGTAGGAACCCCCACGGATCCGTCTTTCTTTCAAGATTGCAACTCTGCCCTGTCAACCGCTCTTGATACCCTGGACGACTCATATGTTGACACTTTTGTTTCAGCGCGCGGACTAGACTTGCCCACCGACCGCCCTTCCTCGCCTCCCCCTCGGAACTACGGTAGACTCGACAGGGTATGCTCAACCTCATTTCCTGTCCCTAGGGATTGTAGCCCATGGTTGATAACTTATTATAGTTTTGATGCGCAAGACAGGCCTCAGCGACTTTCTAGTCCTATCCCTGACTTGACTGAGATGCCCTCGAAAAACAAATCACATCCGCCGTCCGAGAAGAGGCCGGACCACCAGTCTAAGAATGCTCGCAAATCTTCCGCCAAAGGGAGTCAGAAATTCCGGAAACCTCAGTCACGGAAGGCCGAGAAGAAAGCTTCTAACATGGGTCCTCCCTACCATTCCTGGGCACGATATTTGGCACGCAGTTTCGATTTGCAATTGTACAATGATTTTAGGCGTTTAGCCCTTGATGAACTTCTCACACGACACGCTGACTACGGGTTTAACGCTCTCCTGTCCTTCTACCAATCCTGTCTCCTGAGCCAGCAGTCAATCCATGAGCAAGTGGTCCAGGATATGGCTCACCTGGCCCGAAGTGACGGCACTGGCCGGATTGCGGAGCCTATGCTGTCGACTGTGCTTGTGGCCATCAACAGTGACCGAATGACTCCAGGGAATCGCAGCCTGACTGGCTACTACTTCAATGTCCAGTTTGGCTACGGGGACTGGCAAGTGTGATTATGTTGAGCTCTTTTCCCCCCTCCTTTTCCATTCGAACTTGTGTTTTTTTTTCGTCTCTACAACAGGGTTCTCTCTTCCGTTTTGTCTACCAATCATGAATCAGCATCAATCTGCTCCAGAGTTCTTTGTGCATGCATCTTTGCCGACTTTTCTTCTTTTCCGTTCTTCTAGAGTGCTCAGGGGGTTATTTTATTGCAACCAGACGGGTCGGGTTACCGTGCAGCCTCGGAGTTGTCATCTCCCATTTGATGCCGTTTTTCTTTTCTCTTCTTTTCTCTTTGAGTTCTTTTTTGTTTTCTCCACTTTGCTTCTCTGTCATGAGAGGTTTTACAAAAACATTCCGGAGTCTGGGCATAATTCACTGGCAGTGTTTTCCCCTCCCCTTTCCTGTTCCATGCCTGTCTCTTCTTCGGTGGGCCGGGCCAACAAAATTGCTTTCCTTCTTGATCATAGAGCCACTTGTTTACTTTTATCTTTTTCTTTGGTGCTTCTTTTCTTCTGTTTCTCTCCACAGCCGCGTTGATGATGATCCCGGTCTTTTTGCTCATTCTGGGATCCTTAGCGAGTCATCATCATCATCGGTATGAGATTGCCGGCTACCCCGAGCAAAGCAAATGGTCAGATTCAAAACAAAAGTCTTGTATGAGGTCAACCATGTTTCTATGTCCATTGATCGTCGTGATGAAGAAAAAAGAAATTCCATCTGTTATGTCATTGTTCTGGGCTTGTCTGTACTACATTGTGTGCTTCCACTCGTATACCATCTGTACGCACTATGATTATCCCGAGTTTTTGGCAGAAGTCATGTAGAATGTATTATTCATTTCACCTCGTTATAAATATACTTCCCGTTCGGCACAAGACCTTTTTTTGTTGATGCCTCAGGCAGCAACACCTCGGCGTCGTCAATCATCCGACACTGAGCCACTCCAATCGTCCAGACAGCTTTGCCGCCTCCCTTCTCCCCCGGTATTCGGCTGTTCTCTTTCTCTCCTCCCTACCTCTCCTTGAGTACCTTCTCCCATCCCTCTCCTCATTCCAAGCAATATGGAGAGTGCATCCCGACAGGCCCCGAGGCTATTACGGGCCACCCGTGTCTCCAGCTTGCCTCATCAGCACCGCCTGCCGCGATCCAGCACATGCAGTGCAGCTGCTCTTACCCGAACCCAACGAAGAACCGTGTCAAATTCTCCACGGAATCTCGCCCCCGAGTCGCTCTTCAGCAACTTCGCGGCCGCTGGCGCGACTGGCGGCCAGCAACCAGGCGGGCCCACCACGTACTTCACAAGCCGAACCTCGCTCCCCGCTAACACCGTCATCCGATTTGTTCCTCAGCAGACAGCATGGATTGTCGAGCGCATGGGAAAATTCCACCGGATTTTGGAGCCCGGTCTGGCGATCCTGGTTCCGTTCCTTGACCGGATCGCCTATGTGAAGAGCTTGAAGGAGTCGGCCATTGAGATCCCCAGCCAGAATGCAATTACGGCGGACAATGTGACGCTCGAGTTGGATGGAGTGCTGTATACTCGTGTCTTTGATGCGTACAAAGCGAGGTAAGTGTCTCCACGGGATGTTTTCGAGTTCAGTGCTAACCTGTCCGTGATGGATTGCAGCTACGGTGTCGAAGATGCGGAATACGCCATCTCCCAGTTGGCGCAGACGACCATGCGATCGGAGATCGGCCAGTTGACTCTCGACCACGTCTTGAAGGAGCGCGCAACCCTCAACACCAACATCACACAGGCGATCAACGAGGCTGCCCAGGACTGGGGCGTTGTCTGCCTGCGCTACGAGATTCGGGATATCCACGCCCCGGAAGGAGTTGTCGCGGCCATGCACCGTCAAGTGACTGCTGAGCGGTCGAAGCGCGCCGAGATTCTGGACTCTGAGGGTCAGCGCCAGAGCGCAATCAACATTGCCGAGGGTCGCAAGCAGTCAGTGATCTTGGCCTCGGAGGCCCTGCGTGCAGAGCAGATCAACCGGGCCTCTGGTGAGGCTGAGGCGATTCAGCTCAAGGCCCGGGCCACCGCTCTGGGCATTGAGGCTGTCGCTCGGTCGATCGAGGAGGGCAGGGAGAATGCCCACAGTGCCGTGAGCCTGAGTGTCGCCGAGAAGTACGTTGATGCCTTCTCCAACCTGGCGCGCGAGGGCACTGCCGTTGTGGTGCCGGGCAACGTCGGCGACTTGGGCGGCATGATTGCCAACGCCATGGCTGTCTATGGCAAGGTCAGTGAGACCCAGGCCAAGAACATGGCCGCCAAGGCCCTCGGAGTCCAGGAGCCTGGACACCAGACCCACACGAGCCGGAAATCGGACGAGTTTGAGGATCCCGACAGCGAAGCCACGCTGGATGAGGAGCCTCGGTCACGGGACGGTGTCGCGCAAAGTGTGCTGGAAGGATTCGAGACAGCCAGCCAACACAAGCGGTGATTGTCTGCAAAAAGGAGACCCAAAAACGAAAAAGAGAAAATCCCCCATGAATTCGATGAAACCCCCTTTTCTCGACTGTATTGTACCGCTCTCTTCTTCCCTCTGGCGTACGGGAATCTTCCACTGTACACTTTTTACTTTCTTTCATTCTTTTTTTCTATTCTCTCCATCTCCTGCTTGTACTGCTACCAGCATTCTCCGGAGACCTAAACCAAGCTTCTCTATACGTTGCCAGTATTACAATAGTTCATAATGTAGTCTAGTTCACTGGGAAGTGTAAACGCGGGAGCTCGGACCGCCAATGGAGATCGCGACTTTTCTGGAACGGGCGCGCTCTTTCACCCTTCCTCATCACCCCCAACGCCTGCGCTGCGGTCGCGACTCTCGTTCAGCCGTTGTGTGCCTAGAGGACCCTGGGATTCTTCTCTTCTCCTTTCTCGCTCCTCGATCAGTGTGGTCGGCGCTCCCCTCCTCTCTCCCTCCGATGTCCGACAGCAGATACGCAACCCCAGCTCTCATCGCACCCACACGCAGCCCGACTCTCTCTGTTGCGTCGACCCTTGCTCCCCTCGGTCAGCCCCGAAAGCGCTGCACTGCATCGATCATAAACCGAAACCAGAGGACGTCGCCGATCACCGATACGATTGAGCGAGCAGCGGCGACTGCCCTCGCGCTGCGCGATGCATATCATTAAGCCAGTTTGGCTTACACACGGAGGTATGGAGCTCGATTGTGCTCGCTTCCCTTGCTGGGGTGACGAGTGGGACACTGTTTGACTAGCCACCTTTACCGGGGTTGGTCGCAACCAGAAGGTCGTGGTTCTGGATGGGTTTGGGCTAACGGCGCTTTGCCTCTCTGGCTTAGGTGAACGCAAGGATTTCGAAGTTTACAGTTGCGATGTTTCGCCCGATGGGAAGAGACTGGTTACAGCAGCAGGAGGTGAGCACGAATCCTTATCTCTGCGTTGGCATAGTGGCTATCGAGTCAATTCGACTGTGAATACTAACATTGTTTTCCTTTCGTTGCGGTTTAGATGGCTACGTACGCATCTGGTCCACCGAGGCCATCTACAATACGGGCAATGCGGACTTCGCCAGCAAGCCGAAGCAACTTGCGTCTATGAGCAACCACTCCGGCACCATTCACACGGTGCGCTTCTCGCCGAATGGGAAATATCTCGCATCGGGGGCGGATGATAAGATCGTCTGCGTCTACATGCTGGACTCTAATCCACCAACACACTCGACATTCGGTAGGTTTCAAAAACGATGCAGATAAATCAAGCCCAAGCGCTGATAGGATATACAGGCTCAGATGAAGCACCCCCGGTCGAGAACTGGCGCACGATTAGACGATTGATTGGCCACGACAATGACGTTCAGGATCTGGGATGGTCGTACGACTCATCAATACTGGTGTCTGTTGGACTTGACTCAAAGGTGGTGGTGTGGTCCGGACATACGTTTGAGAAGCTCAAGACGATATCAGTCCACCAGAGCCACGTCAAGGGTATCACCTTTGATCCTGCAAATAAGTACTTTGCCACGGCAAGCGACGACCGCACAGTCCGCATCTTTCGATTCACCTCGCCTGCGCCCAACTCGACCGCGCACGACCAGATGAACAACTTTGTTCTGGAGCACACCATTTCCACTCCGTTCTCCAATTCTCCTCTCACTGCCTACTTCCGGCGATGCTCGTGGTCGCCTGATGGGATGCACATCGCTGCTGCGAACGCAGTCAATGGGCCTGTCAGTTCGGTCGCCATTATCAATCGCGGTTCCTGGGACGGCGATATCAACCTCATCGGCCATGAAGCGCCGGTTGAAGTCTGCTCGTTCTCTCCGCGGCTTTATCTCACTGAGCCACCCAAGAAAAGCCAGGTCGACAGTCACGGTCATTCGACACAGCCTCATATCACAGTCATTGCATGTGCCGGTGGGGACAAGTCGTTGAGTATTTGGATTACAAGCAATGCTCGACCGATGGTAGTAGCACAGGAACTGGCCGCCAAGTCTCTCTCTGATCTGGCCTGGAGCCCGGATGGGTCGTGTCTCTTCGCCACTGCACTGGATGGCACAATTCTGGCCGTCCGCTTCGAAGACGGCGAGCTGGGATATGCCACAGAGTTTGAAGAAAATGAAAGGTCCCTGTCCAAATTTGGAACAAACCGGAAAGGAGCTGGTATCACGGAAACGACGGATGGGTTACTCCTAGAGGAGAAGAGCAAGGCTGGCGAGATCAAGGGCGTGGAGGGTCGAATGGGAGCGCTGATGGGTGACGGCCCTGCCGCGGCAGAACCTAAGGTCAACGGAGGAGTGTCGAACGGTGGAACTCCTGCTCGAGGCCCTTCGCCTGCACCCGATGCTGCGAAGACGCAGCCGAACGGTGCAGCATCGACCCCTGCCACTGAATCTGAGAAACCGAAACCCGATCCCCACCAGGCCAAGCTGGAGAAACTCAAACAACGTCCGACATTCACCAAAGAAGGCAAGAAGCGCATTGCACCCCTGTTGGTCTCAAGCTCGGGGGCTGGCGAGTCATCACTGCCGCAGGCTCGTCTAATGGCCTCAGTTGCCAGTCAGGTCAAAGCCGACGCTCCGACTTCTCTCGTCGATCTTTCGAAGCCCTTTGATGGTCTTCCCAAGGGCGGTTTGACTGCATTGCTTCTTGGCAACAAGCGTAAGCTGGCTCAAATTGAAGGCGAGGAAGGAGAAAATCAAGTAGAGAAGCGTATCGCTTTGACCAGCCAGAACGGTGCGGCTCCGATCCTCGCCAACACTCCCGATGGCCTCCTTCCCGCCCAGCCACAACCTGGCGCGACAGGGCAGCAGCCAACTCCAGAATTTATTCGCCCCGCCGTGACGAATCCGTGCATGTCCGTTAGCCAGCTTCGGCTGGCGGTCCCCAAGATTCGCAGCCATATCCTACGTGCACTCGACGCTAACGGCAAGCCGACTGAACCGCCTGGCCCCGCTGGGGACACGAGTAGCAAGACAAGAGTTGACGTGGTGTTCGAAGCTCGGAACCCCTCGCCAGCAAGTTTGACTGGCCGAGCAGTGGACCGAGAGCCGGTGCGTCTTACGCTTTCCCGTGGGGAGCAGCCCCTGTGGCAGGATTTTCTGCCCCGAACCGTGCTTCTTGTGACCGGGAATCAAACTTTTTGGGCAGCTGCATGCGAGGACGGATCAATTTATCTCTGGACCCCCGCTGGCCGTCGCCTGGTGAGTGCCTTGGTCTTGGAAGCACAGCCTGTGATGCTGGAGAGCAACGGTCCGTGGATTCTGTGCATCTCCGCAGTGGGAATGTGCTATGTCTGGAACGTGAAACATCTATCATCCCCGCATCCGCCGGTGTCCCTGCAGCCCGTCCTGGATGCTGCCATACACACACTCGGCGCCCATCCCACCGCCGCGCCGGCTGTGACCGATGCGCGCATCAACTCCGAGGGCCGCATCGTCGTATCCTTGTCTAACGGCGAGGGCTACTCCTACTCCCCGTCCATGTACTCGTGGCAGCGAATCTCCGAAACATGGTGGGCCGCCGGCAGCCAGTACTGGAACACAACAGACACTCCGGTCAGCAACCTGAAGTCCACGGACGCTTCGCAAGATACCAAAGACGCCAAGGCGGCCGTCTCGGCCGGCATCATCCCCTTCCTGGAGCGCAACACCACGAACGAAACCCTGCTCCGCGGCCGGGCATACTTCCTCCAGCGACTCATCAAGGTCTTGCTCTCGCGCGAAGGTTACGAGACCTTCGAATCGAGTGTCTCCATTGCACATCTTGAGAACCGCCTCGCTGCGGCCCTGTCTCTGGGCGCTAAGGAGGAGTTCCGGTTATACCTATCGATGTATGCGAAGCGCATTGGTGCCGAGGGACTGAAGTTGAAAGTGGAGGAGCTCTTAAAGGGTCTAATGGGGGGCCTGTTCGAGGACGAAGATCCAAACGCCGTTGTCTCCAAGCTGCAAGCTAATGAGCGCGAGGGCCGCAGTTGGCGCGAGGGATCAGAGGATTTGTGCGGCTGGCCGAGGGAGGTGTTGTTGAAGGAAGTCATCCTTGCACTTGGTATGTTTCTTGCTTGTGCTGTTTATCTTTTGAAGTTTTGTTTCATTTCTTACTGACTGACTTCTTTTTTCTAGGAAAACACCGCGACCTCCAGCGTGTGACTGTCCCCTATGCTAAGCTACTAGACCTAGTCGACACCACAGAGCAGGGTGATGCCATGGACCTTTGATTCGCTTTTTTCCCTTTTTGTCTTGGTCGGCGTTCTCATATCTGGACTTTTGGGAGGTAATCCGGATACTCGATACATATTCTCTGCATTGCTTATTTTTGCCCTCTTACTGGAAACGGGAAGGAGACGTGATATGATTCTCTTTTTTTCGGTTCGTGGTATTTGTAGTATAGGTTGTTGGTTGGCTCCAAATCTGCCCGATATTCTTGCCGCGCCGAACCGCAGCTCCGCACTAATCTTCCCCACCCCCGCACAAGAGGATAGAATCATCGGCGCAAATATCGGTCGAACTATACTATACTAAGACACAACTCGACAAATATGCTACGGAACAGAAAACTCCAGGCTTGCCGCCGACTACAAAAGCTTCCACCGAAGTAGTTCTCCGCCTCACAGCCATTAAGGTCGTCCAGGGGACTAACACCTTACCTATCAGCCGCAAACATGTCTAAAGAGCACTGCCTCTATTACACCACCCCGTGTGAAACCTTCCCAGGCAGCCTGCCACTTGGCAACGGCCGTCTCGCGGCCAATGTCCTCTCCTCTGCCTCACACGAGACCTTCGTCCTCAATGAAGTTACTTTCTGGTCTGGCGCGCCACACACTGCAGGATCTGGTCTTGCTCGAGTCGCTGATCCAAAGGCCGAGTTGCGGCAGACACAGCGCTGTTTGCTAGCAGGCGACTACGCGGAAGGGAAGAGAAGGTCGGAGAAATATCTCGAGAGCACAAAGCAGAATTTTGGTACCAACTTGGTCGTGGGGAGGCTCAACGTTGTGAATGGCGGCGTTGATAACCAAGGCGTGAGCGGCTTTGAGAGAGAGCTGCGATTCGAGGAGGCTCTGGCGGAGGTGCGGTATGATCAAAATGGATATCTGGTGAGGAGGAGGAGCTTCATGAGCTATCCTCATCAGGTGCTTGTGGTGAGCTTCGAGAGCGACCATCCAGACGGCATCAATCTCGAGGTCAGTTTTCAGGGCGACAATAAAACATTTGCGGCTTGGAGCAAGGATGGGAGGATCGAATTCGATGCACAGGCCCTCGAGACCGTGCACAGTGACGGAATCTGTGGCGTCAAGGGTCACGGTGTTGTTGGTGTCCACTCCGATAGCCAAGAAGTCGAGAGCAAAGAGGGCAAGATTATTGTACAGGGAAAGAAGAGAGCCACGGTTTTGCTCGCCTTCACAACGAACTACCAACAAAGCGGCGATGGTTGGAGAGAGCAAGCGTCTCGGCAGATCGAGGAGGCCGCGAGACTGTCTGTTGTGGATCTCCTCGCAGCACACCTAGCGGACTATCAGCCCCTCTACAATCGGATGAGCATCACCCTCGGTTCCAGTTCAGGCTTGGAGACTGCGAGTCTGCCTACGGACCAGCGCCGGCAGAAATTCGAGCCCTCCAACTACGCAGACGTCGGCATGTTCGCGCTCTACTTCCATTACGCACGCTACCTCACCATCGCTGGTACACGCGCCACCTCTCCTTTACCGATGCACTTGCAGGGTCTGTGGAACGATGAAACGGCATGCCAGATGGGGTGGAGCTGCGACTACCATATTGATATCAACACCCAGATGAACTTCTATCCCGTGCTCCCCAGCGCGCTGTCCGATCTCATGCAACCCCTCATCTCCTATCTCAACCAACTCGTCGCTGCTGGCAAAGATGCCGCCCGCACCTGCTATGGCTGCGATGGCTGGGTTGCCCATGTCTTCAGTAACGTTTGGGGATTCGCGGATCCTGGCTGGGAGATATCGTACGGCCTCAACGTGACGGGTGGGCTGTGGATGGCGACCCACCTCATAGAGATGTACGAATATACCCTGGACGAGACACTCCTGGCAGAAACTGTCTACCCGGTGTTGAAAGGTGCGGCAGAGTTCTTCCTGGAGTACATGATCGAGGACCCGGAAACGGGTTGGCTTCTCACGGGTCCGGCTATCAGCCCCGAGAACAGCTTCTTTGTGGTCGGCAAAGATGGTAACAAGGAAGAGCATTCAGTCTGCCTCTCTCCCACCATGGATGTCGAGCTTCTGCGCGACCTCTTCCACTTCTGTGTGCACGCTACGAAGCGCCTCAGCGCAGACTCCGCTTTCGCTCAGCGGGTTCAGGCTGCGCAGGCAAAGCTGCCACCGTTCCAGATCGGCAAGCACGGGCAGCTACAAGAGTGGCTGCACGACTTCGAAGAGGCGCAGCCGTATCACCGCCATCTCTCGCACGCCATGGGGCTCTGCCGGTCGGCGCAGATATCTCAACGGCACACCCCACGCCTGGCCGAAGCTGTTAGCGTGACACTCGAGCGGAGGCAGGGTCGCGACGATCTCGAGGACATCGAGTTCACAGCGGCCCTATTTGGCCTAAACTACGCGCGCCTGGGTGAGGCGGAGAAGGCAAATGCGCAGATCGTCCACCTGGTTGGTGAGCTAAGCTTTGACAACCTGCTCAGCTACAGCAAGCCTGGCGTGGCGGGCGCGGAGAAGGACATCTTCGTAGTGGATGGGAATTTTGGGGGTGCGGCGGTTATTGCGGAGATGCTGGCGCGCTCACTGATGCCAGACTTAGGGGGGCCGGTGGAGGTTGACTTGCTTCCGGCACTGCCCAAGACCTGGTCGGAAGGGACGGTGAAAGGCATGCGGCTTAGAGGTAATCTGGAGCTTGACATGGAGTGGTCTGATGGGGAGCTGGACAGGGCGAGTTTCAAGGCATTCTCGCATGGGTCTATGAAGGTATACTACCGTGGGCGGTCCCTCAGGATACCATATGAGGCGGACGGTGTTATTGAGTTTGGCTCTAATCTGCAGGTTAATTAGATAAACATCGGGTCCGTGTTCCCCTTGTCTGGTAGATTCAATATCTGTAGCTACTAAAAGTAGTTTATTATAATCTTTGTTGTATCCTTTCTCTCGAGCCTTTCCGTCGACATTCCTTCCACTCGCCTCTGTGATGTATTTTTATACCTCTCTAGGAAATATATAATTCATCATTACATAGCTCTTCCATCTCTGTGACCTTTCAAGAAGTTATGTCTCCAGGACACTTTCCATTCCTTGTTAATTTTCGCGTAATGAATCCCATTCGTAAACCCGGTATACTTTTGATGGATATCAGCTTCTATTGATACTACCTTGAGCTGGGAAAATCATTGTTAGGGCAAACCATTCACGTGGGCGGTGAATCACAGCGGGCAGAAAACTCAGCTCCAAAGCTGGTAACCCTTTTGCCATACATCATCGATTCCACTCTTCACTCCTTTATCTCTCCTCAATTGACCTTGCCCACCTCCCTGTGTGGGCGCCATCATCACGTCTCTCCCATCCGCCCCCTTCTTCTTCCTTCGCATCGTCGATCGATCTGCAGCTGGTCCTGCTTTTGCCGCGCGCCATCCCTGCCGCCTCCGCCTTTCCTCTTACCCCCACCTCCCACTTCCCTCCTGCCGGTTCTACTCCAGCAAAAAGAAGAAAATGCCTCCCAAGAAGGCCCAAGTCCAAGAAAAGGTCCTCCTGGGCCGTCCTGGAAACAGCTTGAAGAGTGGTATCGTATGTGAGCTTGGATCCCCACTATTTTTTTCCTTTCTTTTTTTCACAGCACAGTCCACTTTTTAATTCCACACAAACTATTTAAAGCTCCTCCTGTCCCCCTTTCCATCCTTCCCTCTTCCCTTGTTTTTTCTCCAACAATGGTCTGACCATGACTCCAGGTTGGTCTTGCCAACGTCGGCAAGTCGACACTCTTCCAAGCCATCACCAAGTCCTCCCTGGGTAACCCGGCCAACTTCCCTTATGCCACCATCGACCCAGAAGAGGCCCGTGTCATCGTTCCCGATGAGCGGTTCGACTGGCTCTGCCAGCAATATAAGCCCAAGTCCCAGGTTCCTGCCAACTTGACCGTATACGATATCGCCGGTCTGACCCGTGGCGCCTCCACGGGTGCGGGTTTGGGCAACGCCTTCTTGTCGCACATTCGTGCCGTCGACGCCATCTTCCAGGTGGTTCGCTGCTTCGACGATGCCGAGATTATCCACGTTGAGGGTGACGTCAACCCCACTCGGGATCTGACCATCATCAGCGAAGAGCTCCGTATCAAGGATATCGAGTTTGTCGAGAAGGCCCTCGATAACTTGAACAAGCAGACGCGCCGTGGCGGCCAGTCGCTTGAGATGAAGAAGCTGAAGGAGGAGGAGGCCACCGTTGCCAAGGTCCTGCAGTACCTCCAGGATGGTAACGACATCCGGAAGGGTAACTGGGGTCCCAAGGAGGTACGTTTCTTATCATCTTTTTTTTTTTTTTTTTCTGCTGCATGCAGTCCTTCTTTCATGATGAATAAGAGCTTTGCTCGAATTATAACCCAGCTCTTCGAATGCCCTCATTTAAAAACTCACGCGAGGGCATATTGAGATCACGTCCACAACTGAAATACTCTTGTTTCTGCCATTTTTACAACCTCGCATTTTTGCTTGATCGGTCTTACTGACGAAAATGCTATTCAGGTCGAGGTCATCAACCCTCTGTTCCTCCTCACGGCCAAGCCGGTTGTCTACCTAGTCAACCTGAGCGAGAAGGACTACATCCGCCAGAAGAACAAGTACCTCCCCAAGGTCAAGGAGTGGATTGACACCAACTCCCCCGGCGACCCGCTGCTGCCCGTCTCGGCGCAGTTCGAGGAACGCCTGACTCTGCTTGGTGACGAAGCTGCCGCCGAGGAGGAGTGCAAGAAGCTGGGCACCAAATCCGGACTTCCTCGGATCATCACCACCATGCGCACTTCTTTGAACCTGGCCAGCTTTTTCACCACCGGCGCGGATGAGGTCCGGCAATGGACCATCCGCAAGGGCATCAAGGCGCCCGCTGCCGCCGGTGTCATCCACACTGATTTCGAGAAGACCTTCATCCAGGCCATCGTGTACAACTACTCTGTCCTGAAGGAGCTTGGCGACGAAGCGGCCGTCAAGGCGGCTGGTAAGGTCATGACCAAGGGCAAGGAGTATGTTGTCGAGGATGGAGATATCATGCTCATCAAGGCTGGTGCTGCCAAGCACTAGATGGTAGATCTACAATCAAAATATGCACCGTCTGTCCAAGTCTATGAAACATGTAATTTATTCTGTACCTGTAGCTGCCTGCAATAGTAAACTGTGGCCCACAGTTCTCTGGCTGTTCAAGACCCTTGCACGTGACCCGAGCTCCCCGCGCATCCCACTTCCACCAGCTCCAGCTCTCTTGACTCCAACTCCAACACACACCATGTTTAAGAAAGAGTGAGTCCCTGACCTCCTCCCTTAAATCCTGCTGCCATGGATATCCACTTCCATACCCGCAAAAACCCCATGGCCTGTCTAGCCATGTCCTTCCACACACGAGACACAGCTTTTCTCAGCAGAAACAAAGCGAGAAACACACCTATTCACCAAGACAAGACCCCCAAGACCACAAAAAATAGCTAATGTGACATCCTCCAGGATCCCCCCGAGCAACCGCTCAAAGGTCAAGTCCTCCGTGGCGCGCGGCCTACGCCAACGGCTCCTGGAAACATACCCAGGATTCGAGCCGTACATTGAAGAAATTCTCCCGAAAAAGGCCTCGCTGGAGGTCGTGAAACTGTACGTCTTTTTCCAAACCCTTCTCCTACTTTAAACAAAAAAAACAAATCTAACAACCCAACCCAAAACAGACCAGAGCGCGCAACCCTCTACACGATAGACTCGAAACCCCTCTTCTTTCAGCCCTTCGACGGCCCGCCCATCCCACACCTCAAACTCGTGCATCAATTCCCCTCCGCGATCCCGACGGTGCAGATCGACCGCGGCGCCATCCGCTTCGTGCTCTCGGGCGCTACGCTCATGGCTCCCGGGCTTACGTCCCCTGGTGGGAGACTGCCTGATGCAGAGCATGCCATTGAGGCGGGGCAGGTTGTTGGCGTGAAGGCTGAGGGGAAGGAGGAGGTCTGCCTGGTTGGCGTGTTGAAGGCTGGCACGGAGGAGATCAAGAGTAAAGGGAAGGGAATTGTTATGGATGAGGGGCATTATTTGGGAGATGGGCTTTGGAATATCCATTTGGATTGATTGGATGGACAATGAGAAATATGTTTTATGCTTGGTTTTTTTACCTAGGTAGGTCTTATGGGTTGTGCATATACCATCGGAGTGATGATGATGAATGAATTGGGATGGATGAGCCGCTTGCTGAGAAAGATATTCGCCAAGAAACACGAATTATATACAAAGAATATGACCAAAAGAAAAGAACTCCTGGAAAGATTCAGATGCGCCTGATTTCATCCGACTCGATGAGCGGCGGGATATGGGTATTCATCCCCCACGTCGCCGTCCTGCCCACTAGGCAGTCCCGAGGCCGACGAGGCCGGCGAGAGGGAAGACGACCACGAGGGCGTCCTAACTGGAAGACTCAGTCCCAAACCCTTGACACTAGCCGCGGAGCCAGTGCGGGATCCATTCAAAGTAGGGCGGGAGGCAGTCGAGCGCAAGCCGACGCGGGAGATAGCACGCTGGAGCATTTCACCTGAGGAATCAAGAGCAATTAAGAACCGAGCCAGCTCGGCGCAGAGCTCCCAGTCGTTCTTTTGCGAGGCGAGCCCGATCAGGCGGACGACGTATTCTTCAATTCGGCTGTCGTGGGCGTGTTCTTCTTCGTCTTCGAAGGCTTGTAGAACTAGCAAGTATCCGACGGCCGTCTTGAGCGAGTCGAGGCGAAGGGCTTGTTCGAAGAGGTCCTTCGGTGGGGGGAGGTAGCTGAATAGCGTGCGCCAGGACCGGAGTTCTGTTTTCCGGGTGCATTGGACAACGATGTCGAGGTAGTCCTTTGGCGGGAGAGATGCTTGCAGGAATCCGATGACGGTGGGAAGTAATGGTCCTTCTCTTACGACAGATTCGCCGGTCTTGTTTGCTTGGTTCTCGTTGTCAACTTCGTCGTCGAGAACATGGTGTAGCAAGATCTCCAAGCCGTGGGCGAAATATGACAGGTGTGAGAAGTGGCGGCAGAGGGACAGCGCCGCAGGTGTGCCGAGGTTCATCAAACCGTACTGGAGGAAGTATGGGAGGAAAAGACTTGTCTGAGATAAAGAGTAAGCATTTTGGGATCATGGCACCCAGTAAAAGGACGTACTCGGATGGCAAATTTCAGAACGGTGAAGGACATATCCCGTCTCTGCATCATTTCGGACTCGATGCCCAGAACAATGCCTTTGCTTAGCAGTACGGACAGAGGGTAAAAGTCCAGAGGAATATTGAGAGGCGCCGGCACCGTCTCTTCTGTCAGGACATCCTGGACATCATTCCATGTCAAGAGGTCCTTGCCGCGGAACATCCAGAGAGAATCTCGAAGAGATAGACTACCATGTGATTGTTCCAGCGCCATCTCCGCTGAGGGACTACCCGGTAGTGATTCGTCCACTGTGGGTGAAAAGTTGAACGAAAGCTGGTCGCGCATGAGAATATAATACTCCACATCATGTGAGACGATGCGCATGTCGTACTTCAGCTCGCCTTTTTCTGACACTGTCGGCTGCAACAGAACCAGATTCCCATCGACGAGGAGAAGGACAGATGCGACCTTTACATCTTGAGATGGATCGCCATTACCTGTGAACTTGTTAGGTGCTTCGTGAATTGCATGACGCTAAGGAAAACTTACGCATTTGTTCTTCGGGCAAGACCCAACTGATAGCCCGAACCCGCGTTGGTGCTCGCACAATTCCATTGAAGGCAATTTGTCCAACAGGAACAAGAGTGATCTGCGGCTGCATCGAGTTGATGACATAGTGGTATAGAATGTTATCGTAGGTATAGACAAGGAGGGAATCTTCCCCCGAGGGCCCAATGAACACCACCGGCGACGGAAGGTACTCAATATGCATGACCGAGTTGTTGCTGAGGGAAGCTTCCCGTGAATAAAGGCGTATCTATGCTTTCCATCAGCCCTGACCACAATCCACGGACACCAAAAAACAAACCTCATATGATCCGTCGCTCTCAACGGCAGCGATCAAGATATGCCCGTACCAGCACATCCCACCACGAACCGCGAACGAATTCTCCGCTTTGGCGTCCTCAAAAACCTTCCACCGGCCACTGTTCACGCTGTAATGTGCAAGCCCTCTTCGACCAGCTATTGCCACATACCGTCCATCCTGAGACACAACACAGGACCGAATAGGCCACTGTGAGTGAAGATAAGCCGGCGGATATTGAGCATGATGCCACAGCGAATCCTTGCCAGAGATGGTCATCAGGTCGGGAAGGTCGTGTCCGCGGTAAAGAATAAATTCAGTGCCCGTTTGCAGCAATCCACGTGCAAGATTGGCGGACGAGAAGCAGCCAGTCAATGCACTGCGAGCTGTCTCCAGGATCCAAAGACGCCGGTCATTCTGTCCAGACAGAATGATATCGGAGCCTCCACCAATCCAGCAACCGTTTGAAACGCCCGTGAGCCAGTCCTCTGAATTTGCTTTGGCCAAAGACAAATCAACAGAGAAGCTGTTCCCTCCGGGCTTGCCAAACACACTCCACGTCGTCCAGCCGCGCTCGTAGCCTGCAAATAGACAGTATCCATCGGGCGAATAATTCATGAATGTCAAGGCGCCAGTAGTATTTGGCGTCGCTGGCAGGTGTAGCTTGTGAGAGAGTGGAACATTGCCCATGTAATCTTTGGCAGTGTAAACCAAAATCTCACCATTCATGCAATTCACTGTCAACAGCGAAAAGCGCGCATTCACCGCCACTTTAACAGCCTCCTCACCAGCTTCCTTTGGGTCATGGAAACAGTGGCCATGGAACAGTTTGTTGGGCGCCTCAGAGTCAGGCTGCGCCCCGGAGGCTCGCTGCACGGCATACGCCTGGCCGGTATTCGTGATCCATATCAGAAGATTCATCGCACGGTCATAAACCATGTCGACAATGGAAACCTTCTTGGGAACATTGAGGATGCGACTCAGCAGCTCCGAGGTCGTCTGTGTTCCACCCGCCTCGGGAGTCCACCGGATGCATTGAATAGCCGACGGCTTCACGGTAGCGACCACGAGTTCCTGGTCCAGCGCGAGCGCCTTGACGATCCCAGACTCGATTTTGATTGCCATGCGGAACCGAATGCTAATATCCCCGACGATATTGGCTTCTTCGACGGCTGAGAACCGTGATAGTTGTTGGCGCCGGGGCTGCGTGTTTTGGTCAAAGTTCTGCTGATAGACTCGCGTTGAGGGGTCCGATGCCACTGAGTAGGTCAGGAGGTATCCTTCAACGGTTTGGATGACAAGGATCGTTGAATCCGGGTGCATGAGGAGTGCCACGTTGGAGCCGTATGTCTTTAGTGAGAACGAAGACCGAGCTATCGCCGCCGCAACGGCGGTGGGCTGTGGAGGTCGTCAGCAGCGAACCTGGCTGAAAGTGAGAACAGTATAAACATACCCTTGTTTGCCATACAGCAATGGATGTTTCCGTCATGGTGGCGAACATATGCCCCGAGCGCGAAACGCAGAGGCCTTTGATAGCCTCATCTTCCCACTTGGGGCCATCCGTCGCAGACGAGCTTACAGGTTCGGGCTGGGGTTCGGGCTGGGGTTTATGATCGTCGCTGATGAGGGCTCCGCGATCTCCATTGGAATCAGTGTTGTCTAGGGAGCTCCGCGGTTCCGAGGGAGGGTTGTGGCGAGGTTGCGGTGCTCCATCAGACGAGACAGAAGCGATGGCCGGGCCATTGATGGCATAGACCCGGGGGACTCCATTGGGCCAGTACATGGCTCAGGTCGCGGGAGGTCACTGGAGAGAATGGGCAGGCAGTGGATCACATCGAGGCATTTCCAATGGTAATTCGCATTAATGTGGTTGTTGGTTGCTGTAGAAAGACAAGCTGGCCAACGGAGGATAGATGGCGCATCACGTGCTGACTGAACTGCTCCCCGCATTGATTGTCGCCAGCTTTTCTTTTTCCTTTCTCTTGTTATCCCTTCACTTCCCTGATATATCCTTCTCTTCTGGGATTCCGCTGCTATGGTCAGTATCTCTAGATCTGTCTTGCATATCCACACTAACAATACCAGTCTCCCACAGAAAGCAAGAAGCGCCTGGCCCTGGCCATTATCGACTTCCTGGGCTCCAGCCTGAAGGACGGCACCCTGACTGCCGACGATGCCGAGTCGATTGAGATCGCCCAGTCCTGTATCGCCGACACCTTCAAGGTGGACCCGACCGACTCGGCCGCCGTGAACGACGCCGTGGGCGGCCAGTCCCTGGCCAACATCTACAGCGTCTACGAGAAGCTGCGGAGCAAGTCCTCGCCTCAATCCGCCGACAGCGGGGCACAGTCATCTGAAGCCGCCGGCCAGCCCAAGCCTGGTGCGCCGACTACCGAATCCGACAAACTCAAGTCCGAGGGTAATGGCGCCATGGCCCGCAAGGAATACAGCCAGGCTATTGAGCTCTACACCAAGGCGCTGGAGATTGCCCCCGCAAACCCGATCTACCTCTCCAACCGGGCCGCGGCATTCTCGGCCGCGGGTCAGCACGAGAAGGCTGCGGACGACGCTGAGCTGGCCACTGCGGTGGATCCAAAGTACTCTAAGGCGTGGAGCAGGCTGGGTCTCGCCCGCTTCGACATGGGCGATTACAATGCCGCCAAGGAGGCCTATGAGAAGGGCATTGAGGCCGAGGGCAATGGTGGCAGCGAGGCCATGAAGCGTGGCCTTGAGACCTCCAAGCGCAAGATCGAGGAGGCTGGCCGTGCTACGGAGCCTCCCGCCGAGGATCTGGATACTGCTCCCGGTGCGTCCCGTGGTGCAGGTGGTATGCCTGATCTGTCGTCGCTGGCTAGCATGTTTGGTGGAGGTGCTGGTGGTGGCGGCGGTGGCATGCCCGACCTGGGTTCCATGATGAACAACCCTATGTTCTCCAGCATGGCTCAGAACCTCATGAGCAATCCCGACATGCTCAACAACTTGATGAGCAACCCCCGTCTCAGACAGATGGCGGAGAGCTTTGGTCAGGGAGGCGGCATGCCGGATATGTCCAGTCTGATGAGCGACCCGAGCGTTGCTGAGATGTAAGTTGAAGCTGATACCCCTCAAGAACCTTGGCTAATGTCCTTTTTCAGGGCTCGCAACATGATGGGGGGTGGTGGTGGCGCCGGACGAGGAGAAGGTGGCCAGTAAGCGGAATGACGGAGTGACGGGAAACGAAAATATATGAATGATTTACTGTCATTGTTATAAAGTCGAGTTTTGAGCAGCGTTCTTTAGAAAGAATTGATTCGCTATGACCTTGAATTTCCCAATTTCGGTCGTCTTCATGTTAACATTAGCAACACGAATGGCTTGATAGCAGCTAGCTGATGATTTACTCCAGGCTCAGACGGAAATGGATATAATAAAAAGAAATCTCCTTTCATGTATTTATTTACACAACTCGAGCACGCTCCCAGTCAGCCAAACGGCGATATGATCACAGCCCAAATGCAATCCAACAGACGAGGGGAGAGTGGATATGAAAGCAACACAGAAACGCCAGCGAAACACCACACAAGTCAAGAAATGCCATCAAATCAGCTCAATGCGCAACGGCCGTCCAGGTCTATGTAATAATGGTAAGGGTTTTTTTCATTGGGGGGCCTGTCCATAACAATTTGAGAAGAGGGTGTGAATAGACAGAAATGGGACGGAACCAAGCAGTAATACAGAAAGGAGAAAGGTTAATGGACCGGCGAATGTTCGAGGGTTGCGGTCACTGAAATACAAAGTCGACGCCAGTTCCGCCTGGCTTGATATGATGATATAAAACAGCCATATTGTACAATTGAGGTGACGAGAGTCGAGGTGTAAAGCGGAGGGAGGTAGAGACGAGGCCCGTGAGAGGATATATCGATGTAAACAGAAGAGTCATTGCATGGCGAAATGGGCCAACCGACTTAGATGTAGTCGCGAGCGGCCTTCTGCAGCTCAATCAAGCGCCAGCCGCGGGTTTCGGGGTTGTTGACTTCTTCAGGGATCCGAGTCATGCCGATGGCATAAGTGACCAGTTGCACTTTGTCCTCCATACCTGCGGCAAGTTCGCCGCTCTTGACGTTGCGGTAGACATGAACTTCCTGCGTCCGGCAGGTGACAACGAACACAGGGATCTCGCCAGGTTCCAGCAGGCGAGCATGCGAAACATCAACACCACGGATGTCCAGAATGCGGCCATCCGACTTCAAACCGGCGGTGGTGTACTGTTGTGCAAGAGCTGCGTAGACGTGGTACTGCGCATCAGAGAGCCAGAGCTTGAGCGTCTCAACATCACCCTTGACATAGGCATCGAGAACCTCCGGGAGCATATATTCGCGCATCTCGCGGATGAACTCCTCCATCTGGAAGTTCGGGTCGATCTCGCGGAATTTCTTAATGACCATGGCCGTCTCGTTCTCTGCGAAAAACCCAGCAACCCGGTCGGAGATGCTGCGCGCAGTACTGATAAGTGGGTTCTCCGACTCGTTGTAAACCTCCTTCATGGAGAAGAGTCTCTGCATCACCGGGTTGGAATCGCGGAAGTCACGCCACGACTCCTTCCAGGCAGCATCTTTGTGGAGGGTGACGTTGGTTCCGGCCCTAGTACCACTCAGTTAGAGATTAAAATTCCAAGGTATCATGACTGAAACTTACTCGGGATCTTCCTCCATGGGCACCGACCGCCGCTTGCCAGCCTTGGCCTCCATTTCCTCACGGCGCTTCCGCTGCTTGCGACGCTCTTCCTTCTCAACCCATCCACCATAGCGGGAGCTGCTCCCATCGTCAATCGTCTCCTTCACGTTCTTATAGGCTTCAGTCTGTCGAACGGGTCTCGTGGCCCGCTCGATTCCCGAACCGGTGGCGGTGACACCCTTCCGGACGCCCTTGACCACGGGGGTATTCCATGTCCAGGCAGCACTCTTGCCAATTACCTGGCCAGTACTTTTCAGAGCGGCGGAGGTGCGCGTTTGGGCGGCACCTGAGGCGGCTTCGTAGGCCGCGCGTGCACGCTTAACGTTCTCGTTCTCGCTGAACTCGTGCGCCGAAGAAGCCAGCGCCTTGGTGGACTCGTTCCACTCCTTGGACGCCTTGAACTCGGTTTGGAGAGTCTCCCGGAACACTTGCCAAGGGGTCTTGTCTCCGTGGGGTGGCGGCGGAGGAGCGTCTTCCTTCTTCTCCTCGCCCTTCTCTTCCTTGGACTGCTCGCCTTCTGATTTGTCCTCGGACTTTCCGTCCTCGTCCTTCTTTTCTTCTTTTTGCTGCTCCTGGCCTGGCTGCTGCTGCTTCTGTTGCCAGAGAGCGGTTGCGACGTGGAAAGAACGGGTCAAAGGGAGAGCGGCAAATGGTGAGATAAGCTGGGTCGCGGAGAGGGGAGGAGAGGGGAGGGTGGTTCGTCGACTCGAGGAGAAGGCCAGAGTCTGCGCTGAGACTGTCGAATACGCCGAGGCTCGAGAAGCTGCTCGTAGGGCCGGGGCCCGAGATCGCAATGTCGCCGCCCGCGCGGTGGCAGACATTCTTGTCGGAAGCATGCTCCAAGAGACCGAGAAGAGAGAGAAATAATAAAACGAGGGAATAAAGGGTGGGACACGGGAGTTGTGTCAAGAGAGGATGAAATGCGGGAAGGAAAGAGAGAAGGCGAAGTCGCAGAGGAAAAAGTTGCGGGTGCCAAGACCCGCGAAAAACTCCCCCGGCTCAACTCACTATCCTTCCACGGAGACGACTACTTCCTTCCATCACAATCCACCATGAGCTCCTCTTTCTCTATGGGTGCCTTGACCAAGGCATTGCCGTCTCTGTGTCGGCAATGTCACCCCCGAGCGTCGTCCCTACGCACAATTCGACCCTTTTCGTCCTCACCTCGAAGGTCCGCAGACCCCGAGCAGGCGTCCTCAGAGCCCAAGACCAATACCACCACTACCCCGACGTCAACCCGCGACTCGTCGTCGTCGCTGGATATCTTGACTCGGATCGCACAAGGGAACATTACTTCATCTGCGCGTGGACGCCCTGGCAACTTCCGAAGGGCCCAGAGCATGGAAGACGAGATGCTCACCAACCCCTACCCCGACCGCGCACCTCCCCACCACCTGCACGTCTTCACACACAAACACAACACGATCCTCACCTTGACACGGCCAAATGGCAACCCCATGATGTCGATGGGCAGTGGCCAGATTGGATTCCGTAAAGGCGGCCGCTCTGGCTTCGACCCGGCGTACCAATTATGCTCGCATGTGCTCGCCCAGATTCAAGAACGAGGATATCTCTTGGAGATCCAGCGACTCGAGATTGTCTACCGGGGGTTTGGAAAGGGACGGGATGCCTTCAACAAGGTCATTCTGGGGAATGAGGGACGGAAGATTCGCGGGCTGGTCAGCCGAGTGACGGACTCGACGCGTATCAAGTTTGGTGGTACTCGCAGCCGACGGGTGCGTAGACTGGGTTGATCTGGACTTTCAATCCTGGATACCTGTCTGCCGCTTTGCGGTCCTTGATTCATTTATTTTGTACACTAGCAATAACCGATCTATGCACCTGTATGATTGTGCCGGTTCCCTCCACACGTAGTGAGTGAATACTTCCCAAAGCGGTATAGCGCCTTCAGCTGGCCATCGATCACGTTCTCGATCGTCTCCCTGTTGCCTTCAATCATCCTGATTACCTACATAGGTAGGTGGTTACTTATCCATTGGGCTTCAGCTACCTCCTGTGTTGTGTCGCGGTTCTACTCTTCTCATCCCCCTCTGACCGCATCCTGGACCCGGCGATTGCATGCGCCAGAGTTGCCCGCCCCCGCGACTCGTCTTGTGCGAGACGAACGGCTTGATGAGGACCAGAGTTCTTTCGCTGGGCCGTCCAAAACCGTTTGGATGCACCCTCTAAACCCTTTCCTGCGTGCTTTCTTCCGAAGCACTGTTCCGGGCCAGTGTACTCCCGTCGAGAACCATGTAAGTGCTGCTCCCAGACGGATGAACCGGAGACCCTGATTAACCACTTGGTGTCCTACAGGTCTTGCTCGTCCCCACGACAGAATGCCTGGCCGGATCACGCGACCGAGAATCCACGCTTCTCTACTCAGACCTCGTCTCGTCGGAGGAGTTTCTAGGGAGCCATGTGCTGCGCATCCCGATGCCCCTTGGCCCTCCAAAAGGGAAAGAAGAGACAAATGTGCGCGATAACAGGAGCAAGGCGAAGCAGCTGACGACCTTCAATGGGAGAACGGTCATCATCAAAGAGAATTCGGTCTACAGCAATAAAGGTGAGAGGGAGGCAACCATAGCTGCAAGCTTGGTGATGACGTGCGCTGACCGACCCATCTCTCCCCAGGCTTCAAGTCCTTGACCCAGGCGCTACTGCTGTCCGACGCCCTATATTACACACCGACGAATGAATCGCGACCATGGCTCATTTACTATATCTCCCGCCCATTGATCGGCTCCTACGATCCCATGAGGATCATCCCCGCGACTGTACCAGGGACCGAAACGAAGAAGACCGGGGTGACGGCTGCTGGCAAAAAGGACGGCGAGCCAAATGGGTCACCTGCGAAACAAGAGATCAAGTCCTTCCATGAGTTGCTCTCGAACTTCCCTATGATTGCAAGGCAAATGCAACCGGGACTGGAAAGACTGTTTCGCGAGTTTGGTGTAGAGTTAGGCAAACCGCTGCCCCAACCACCGTCCCATTCACGATCGCCCTCCGCGTCTGGCAGTGAAAGTGAAAACAAGTTATCGCGCACGGAATCCTTGACAGACGAAAGATCCTCTATCCGTAGCAGGTCATCCCGCGGCCGGGGCCGCGGCCGACGACCGTCCCAGCCAGACGAATACTATATGGATGATGAAGACCTCATGCGTCGGAGCTTGGAAACTGCTGTCACGGCAGCAATTGATCTCTTTCGCCTGGTTGACAAACAGCAATTGTCATTTCTGGGTGCAACCACAGATCTGACGGGACCTTTGGTTGAGAGCCTGATTGAACGCTACGTCGCAGAACAAGTCCATGAACCTTTACTCTTTCCCCGGCTATGTGCCTTCCGACAACCTGAAGACACGGAACTGGACACCCGCATCCGACAAATGGAGAGCATCGATGTCTCTCAAGTTGGCATGACCATGGAAGGAGGGCGGGAGGGAAAGAGAGAGCTAATTCGACGACTGGGACGAGGAGTGGAAGCATTCCGGAAAATGAACGAGGCAAAGTGCCCTCACGATATGCTCAACACGCTCCTGGAAACGGTCAAGGTCATCTCTTTCCCCGGCAGCTATAACCGGATGGACGGAGCCACGTCTGAGAAGAGTTCTTCTCCCGTTACGATTAACGCCGATGTTCTGGTCTCTCTCCTGCTAGTGGTTGTCATCCGGTCTCAAATTCGGCACTTGCAAGCGCGTTTGTTGTATATGCAGCATTTTATCTACATCGACGACGTGGACAGTGGTGAAATGGGCTATGCCTTGAGCACGTTCGAGGCGGTTTTGATGTACCTTGTAACCGATTCGGCAGGTCTGCGTCGTGCCAGTGCTCGAAACAGACGCCTGTGGCAGGCCACCAAAGCAGGCAGGGTTTCAGACATGAAGAGCATTTTGGAACCGGATGAAGATCACCAATCTGCAGACGAGGCTGCTCCTCAGGAGCCCGAGCGGAAATCTGTTCTCTTCCAGACGGATGATTGCGATGACCAAGACGAATTGCCTTTGGAGTCGTCATCCGTGTACAGCCAACCAGCCATTACAAATGGCGATCTCCTACAAGAAGATGGCTCATCTGAAGCACCGCCCTTGTCACATGTGTTCCCGTTCCAGACTTGGAGGGCTGGGTCGCCTTTCAAGGATTATCGCCGGCCTGTGAAAAAGGTATCGATGGACGTTCGTAGTTTATCGGAGTCCTCTGCTGTATCTTTCATATCTCGCTCAACAACGTTTGGGTCTGTGACAAGTGGGATTGAAGGTGACAACTCCCTCGACACCTTGACAAAGACTCAGGATCCTGCTGGAGATTCAATTCCTATGATGGCGGTGGAGAGCCGCCAGACGGAGGCGTTGAAGTATCTTCTCACTCTGGAGGAGTACTATCCGTTGGAAGACATCCTCGACGATACCAACGCAGATGGAACAACACTCCTCAATGCGGCCGTCCAACTAGCTCACACGGAGATCGTCGATATTCTTCTGGATTTTCTTTTCACTAAGGCAGATGAGAGTCTCGTTGCTTTCTACCTTACCAAGTCAGACGTCCATGGCCGCACAGCTGGTCACTATCTCTTCAGTACTCCTTCTCTTTTGCCTAGATTGGGTGGCCTTTTACCTTGGCGACAGCGTGACAAGCATGGACAGACGCCACTCTTTGCTCTCTGTCGGTCATACGACCATCCGGAGTACAAGAACATGGTCAAAGTCGCATTGACAGCGGCCCAACGAGCCCAAGGCGATGGCAAACCTCTTCAGCTTGACGATCATGTGGACTCCAAGGGTAACACTCTTTTGCACATTGTTGGCGACCCGGAGATCACCAACCGAATTTTACAACAGAGCGACTGTGATCCAAACGCCACCAATGACAAGAGGTTCACACCTTTAATGATGGCGAGCAAGTACGGACGAATTGACCAAGTTCGGATTTTGTTCATGGACCCACGGGTCGACGTACATATCAAGGAGGCCCGCGGACTGACAGCAGTGGAACTAGCAAAAGACGATGAAGTACGAAACCGGGTAGACGATTTGATCCTTCTCTCCCATCCTCCACCGACATATACAGACTCCTCTGGCCGTGTGACCATGGTCGTGCGGTCATTCTTTGTGGAGGATGCGACAGTACGCTTCATCCTTAAGTCTGGGGCGCCATTCCCGTCATCTGAATCAGTGGTGTCTCGGCCGGGATCCACGACGTACACCGTCACGACTTGCCGTCGCAGCTTTTCCGACTTTGAGAATCTAGCCAGGTGGCTGGCAGTGGAGCACCCGGCATCCTACATGCCTTCACTATCAGACTTCCGCAACCCATTCCAAATACACTCGAAGCCGTCGCGATCTGTGCTTCATGATCTTCAGGACAAACTTGACCGTTTCCTCAAAACGCTTTTGACCCATCCCACCTTCTCGACGCATGAAATGCTCTGGGAATTCTTTCTGGTTCCGGAACTGCAGCCTGGGATGATGGCAGATCGATCTCAGCGCAAGGCCATGGTGCTCACCGAGACGATCGCCGACGACTATGAGCCCATGACCATCGAAGGGATGCGAGACACAGAGCAATTTATCTCCCACGCCCAGGACATGGTCCGCAGCGTCCACGCCACCTCGCGCAGTCTGATCCGCCGAGGCCATGCGCTGCAAAACGCCGCCTCTGACCTAGCAGATGCCGTGGGCCTCTGCTCGTCCGTTCTCTACACCTTCGAAGAACCAGCCAGTGCACTCCCCTCCTCCCACACGGACGCCTTCAACCGCTACGCCACCTACCTCTCCACCTCGAGCTCCGACTCCTCGCCTCTCCTCCAGTATCTATCCGCGCTGACCTCTATCGACAACACCACCGCAGCAATCCTCACCTCCCTCGGCCGCCCGCTTTCCTTAATGGCCACGCTCAACGCTACAAAGCGTAACATCACCCGCTCGCGCACATCTTTGAATTCGTCGTCTCTGCCCCGCAAATTCAACCTCAACCTCCCGGGCTTCGAAGAGTCTCGCCAGAAATCCGTGCGGGACCTTGAGAAGAAGATCCTCGATGGCGAAGACCAGGCCTTGCGCGTCTCCAAGGAAATCTCATGGAATAAGGACGTCGTGGTCAGTGAGCTAGCAGGGTGGACGTCGTGGCGAGAGAAGGTGGGCCGCGATGCCATCCGGACCTATGTCCAGGATACGCTCGTCCGCGAAAAGGAGCGAGGTAAGCGCCTAGAGCGCTGTCTAAGGAGTGTAAGGGAGACGAAAAGGGCGAATGGGACATAGATGGCGTATTGTGTGATATGATAGATCTGGCTGTGATCTTAATGATTCTGTGTACATGTATCTCATGGCGGTTTGGAGTATTTTGTTGCTTGCTTGTGTGAATACGACTTGGTTACTTGAACCTTCTCGTCTTAAGTATTGTCCTTTGTTCCATGTAGGGTCTTGAGGGCATGCAGAGTGTAGATGTAGAGCCCACTCATCTCACAGGTTAGGGCTACGGTGTATGTGGCTAAGCATATATAGACTGGATCGTCGCATGGACGAATGAATGAATTTACTTGATCCATAGAGCTTTTGTGTTAAACAAATGGGTATTCGTCCTCTTCCGACGCCTGAGAAATAGCGATGCTAAACGTCAACACCAACAACCGTCCACCCTTCTGTCTCCCATCTACACCAACCCTGGTCTTCGGCCAAAGAACCATCTATTCATACAAAGAAACCGTCCAAACAAAACCAGTCAACTGCCAAAAGACTGCGACAGAGGCGAAGCAGGATAGACGACGGTAGACCGCCGCGATGACTGTCCCGAGCTGGGACGAGAAGAAGAATCATTCGCGCTCCGAGTATCCCTCGCCGATTCACCTGATCCTCCCCCTCGAGAGCCCTCTCCATGGACTCTGTGCGAATTCTCTGGCTCTTCGAACATCCAAGCGACGGACCGCAGCGACCACGGGCTACCTGGTCCCATTGAGGCCTCAGATCCGCGCGAGAGGGCCTGCGAGCTGCGCACGCTGGCAGATGGACGTGTTCTCTGCTCTGTTGAGTGCGAGGTACGAGAGCTGCCGGGCTCGCGGCTGAGGGCCGTGGGGGTCATGTCTTCGGCCGTTCCGGTGGTCGTGCTCCACAGCTGCGACGAGCGTTCAGTCGGAGGCACCGCGGACGACTGCGAGAGCCGCGAGACTGGGCTGGATGGCTGCTGCTGCACTGAGAGATTCTGCGAGGAGTGCGTATACCGGTCAGGTGTGGACGTGCTAGGCCGGGCTGTGCCCTCGGTAGACATGTGTGTCGAGGAAGTCTCGTTCTTGCTCAGACCAGTCGCCGAAGCATCGAGACTTGTGCGATAGAGACGGGTCATCGAGCTGCGGCGGTCTGTCTCGTCGACGACGAAACTGAGAGACGGCGAGCGGCTCCGACTGAACATAATAGACGCGCGCTCGGACTGCTGTTCTTCTTCTATCATGAGGAAGTCATCAAGCACCTGGGCCGTATCCTCTGTCAACGTGAAAGTCGATGGGCCGAGAGCATTACGACTCAACTCTTCCTTTTCGCGCTGGCGGCGCTCTCGTCGCGCGCGGCGGACGTACCACATCACTAGGAAGATGATGGCTGACAGAGTGACCACGGTCATGATGGTCGCTGCGGCGATGGAGCTCTTGCGATAGTTCTTTTGAGTGGTCGGCGGCTTGCTGCCCTTGGGGAAGGCCATTTCGGATGGGATCACGATGGCGGCGGGTGTGGATGAGTCCCAGAAGCGTTTGGAGGTTTCGATTATGCTGGCATTGGTGGATGGCATAGCTTGCAGGTTGGACTGCGTGGCAAGGATCACGGAGCGCACGGGCAAGAATAGATGGCCATCCGTGGGAAGAAATATAGAATGGAAGCCGAAGGGAAAGAGAATGGGCACTGTCGAATGGAAATGGCAGTCGCTATGGTGTGTGGGTTGCCCGAACAACTTCGTATATACTTCGGAAGTTCCGTGAGCAAGTAGAGAGTTGTTATAGACAATTGATCATTTATAACGATTATCAATGTAGATGTTTATTGACAATGTTGTTCAGATCTGATGCGGTGTACGGAGCAGGGCGGCCATGCTCAACAGGGAGTCAGAACCACTGCAACTCCAGTATAGTAAATATAACTAGCACATCGACAACCGGAGGACATGTCGGCCAACACCATGACAGATTCTCACCTGGACAGATTTTCTCACTGTACGACTGTCCACCCATTGACTCGGTATAGATCGCGTCTTCCCCACATGACCCAGATCGATCGACCTACGTCATCGGCGATCGGAGCAAGGATATATATATGACGTGAGACTTGTACTTCTAACATCCCCTCTTTACAACCAACAAATTGAATAAATATGCCTCTCGTCGTCCCCGGTATCAACTCTGCCCCTGACGCCAAGTCCGACTGGGCGAATAAGCTCATGGGCAAGAAACTGAGTGACTCGACTAGCGATGTCAACGTACGTTTGTTCTCTGTGCTGTTGGAACAAGGCTATATACTGAATCGCGATAGACGTTTGCGAAGAAGGACCTGCCGGAGTCGCACCGAGTGCTAAAGCCGGGTGATATGAAGACGATGGACCATCAGCCGACGAGGTATGTTCTCCCCTTTGGTACAGAGACCATGTCTAATAATTATAGACTCAATATCCATGTCGATGAGGATGGGAATGTTCACGACGTGAATTATGGTTGATACCCGTATGCACATAGTGTGAAATGCAACAGATCTATGCTTTCTAACTATCTATCATCGCCTAATTTGACTCTGCCTTCCACCGCAGCAGAGTCAGAGAGTGCTTCGGGAACACATACGGGCCCTTTCCATCCCACGTCGACTCCTGGACACTCACCTCCTCCGTGCCCTTCATGTTCGTAGCCATAACATCCCGCGCCGTGACCGTAAAGACAGTAGCCCCGCCCACAATGCCTTCAACCACACTCTCAAAGCTCTTCTCTTCATGAATGTTCACAACCGCCAGATTGGCATACCCATCCTCCCCCAGCGTCGCACTAACATCCAACCAGGGCGTATCGCGCGCCCCGCGCAACCAAGCTGGCGAGGTCTCACCCTCATACACACCGCACGACACATGCGCCGCCACCGTCCAGCCGCGCATATACTTCGAAAACAGATACAGCGGCCACCAGGTCGTCTGCTTCGTGATCCCTTCCTTGGTGGTCATAAGCGGGGAGATGACATTAACGCTCTGCGCGATGCACGCCATGGCGACGTCGCGGCTCTTGCGCACAAAGACGTTCAGCCAGATGGCCACGGCCAGCGCGTCAGAGAGCGTGTAGCTCTCCTCCGCGCCCTGGCTGCCCTCGGCGCGAATGGGGTCCCACACGTTCCATTCGTCGAAGCAGATCGTTGGCCGGAGCTGGGTGGGCGGGACGCCATTCTCGATGCGCGCGAGGTCGATCAGTCCAGAGGTGATTTCAATGGCGCGCTCGGCCGCCAGTGGCGCTGTGGCGTTGGGGAGGTGATCGTTCGAGCAGGTGTACAGGTGGATGCTGTGCATGTCGATTAAGGGCACGGCGCTGGTAGAGAGCGCGGAGTGCGCGGGCAGAAGACAGTGCTTGAGCGTGTAGTAGTCCCATGAGGCGGTGCCGTCTTGACCGCAGAGAATTAGGATGAGGCTTGGGTCGAGCAGTTTGAGAGCTGCGTGGACGGTCAGTGATTATTCTTATACCCGAAGAGAGAAAACATAGATACCCTTTGCCCACTGTATCGCCTTATGCGCGTAGGCTTCTTTGGTCATCTGCTCGACTTGCCATGGCCCCCATGTCTCATTGCCCAGGGCCCAGTATTTGACCTGCACGGGTTAGTTAGTGCTGGTAGCCAAACGGATTGAGAGATACGCACATTGTATGGTTCCTGGCGGCCGTTCTTCCGCCGCAGGTTGGCATAGTAAGTGTTGCCGGTGCCATTGCAGTACTCGACCCAGGCAAGTGCTGGCCGTGTTCAATTAGCTACTATCACGACTTGGTTACAAGAAGATAAGAGATGAAGAGAATAACGAACCCTCATCCAAAGTGCCCGTCCCAAAGTTGAAGCAGAGGTAAGGCTCCGTACCCAGCACCTCACACCACTTCATAAACTCATCCGTGCCGAACTGATTCGTTTCCGTTCCGAGCCAAGCCAGCTCGGGTCTATTTTTCCTGTCAGTCCCACCGTCTCGTAGAGCCTCGGTTAATTAAGTAGTAGCTAGCATACCTAGAGGGTCGTTGGTCTTTAGGGCCTACGCCATCGAGCCAGTGGTACGTGGCGCAGAAGTTGCCGCCGGGGTAGCGCACGACAGGGATGTTTAGATCCTTCAGCGCCTCGAGGACGTCTTTGCGGAATCCGTTCGAATCGGAGAGCGGATTTCCCGGGTCGTAGATCCCGCCGTAGATGCATCGGCCCATGTGCCTAGTCATCATTATATTAGATTTGGATTTGGGAGTATGATAGTTTGCGCGCTCACTCGGTAAAGCCGGCATATATGTTAGGGTTGATCTTGGAGATGCGCCGGGTCGGATGAACCGAAATGACAGGCGTCTCATGCTCGGCTTGCTTGGTGAAGGTTGTCATTGTGAGTGAAAGGCGCGCGCCCTAAGGTAGTAGTAAGGGATGTCGCGAGCTGTGCTTGTCCTTTTCTCTCTCTTAATTGCTCGGGCTTTAAGTAGATAGCTACTGGATGATCGGACCGAAGAATGAAAACAATTATCCTTCCCACTCACCCTCAAACCAACTATCCCCTCCAAGCCCCCTCAGCTGATCGCCTGGGCATGCTCTATCGGCTCTCTAACCGGCAATTCTCCTGCGGGGTCTCGGCCCAGACTTTATTCCTCCACGGCCGCAAGTGTCGGGATAACGAGATGTACAAACGGAAGCGAGGCTGCTTCTGGGCTAGTCCTGGGCAGGAAGCAGTGCCATTGCAGGAGTTACCGAGGAAGTGCGAATTATCCGTCAATCAGGAGCCGCCCCCGGGCCCCGCTGGTGTCGACAGCTGGAAGCTTTGACACTCAAACCCGGCAATGTTTTAACTATTCTCGAGCTCGGTCCGAGTCATTAGGTGTGGTGCCGGATACGCAATACGATGGTCCAGTATGGCGTGGCTTATTCGAGGATTTTTTCCTCCGATCAGAGCCGTAACTAGATGCGTCGCCTCTGCGCGAGTATTTGTACCCGATGATCGCCCACCTGCCCCCGGGGTATGTGGAGTTTGTTCCCCGGATTCTTTTCATTGTTCTCCATAATCGCGAAAGAATACCTGTCGCCATGCATCTGTCTCCGTCATGGTACCAGGTATGGGATACTTGCTCTTTTGAATGGTTGCCACAAACTGATCAATGGTTTAGTTCCTGGTCGGCGTCTTCGCCTCACTCGGATCATTCCTCTACGGATGTAGGTTCTCTCGTAGGGTCTTGCGTGTCGAGTGCATAATCTAACTCATCCAAGATGATCTGGGTGTTATTGCAGAGGTGATCATCTCCAAGTCTTTTGTCTCGAGATTCAATCATCCGGATTCCACGCAAACGTAAGCAATTTACAAGACCCAGACCCTCCGAATCGAGGCTCATTAGCAAAATAGTGGAGTGGTCGTTGCGATGTTCACCGCTGGCGCCTTCTTCGGTGCCGGATTCGCAGGTATCACTGGTGACTACCTGGGACGACGAAAGACCATCTCGCTGGGCTGTGTGATATTTTGTCTGGGAGGTGGTCTGCAGACCGGTGCGCGCAACATCGCGTTCCTTTACAGTGGACGATTTCTGGCTGGACTAGGGTATGTACTTTTTGTTGGGTCTCACAAAAGGGCTCAGCTCACTGACCGCCAATAATAGTGTCGGTTTCCTGACGATGATGATCCCGCTGTACCAGGCGGAGATCTGCCACCCGAAAATCCGTGGCCGGGTGACGGCGCTGCAACAGTTCATGCTAGGAGTTGGCGCGCTCTGCGCCTCGTGGATCTCGTATGGCACATATGTTAATTTTTCGGGAGACAACGACGCGCAGTGGCAATTGCCGCTGGGTATCCAGCTCGTTCCGGCGGTCTTCCTTGGGTTGTTGATCATGTTCTTCCCTGAGGTACGTGTCGGGCTTTTTCCCTCTTGAGTTCTTGGCTGATGCGAAATCCAGTCGCCCCGTTGGCTCATTGACCACAACCGCCCTGATGAGGGTTTGCGTACCCTGGCTAAACTCCATGCCAACGGCAACGAGAATGACCCCTGGGTCCAGGCTGAGTATGCTCAGATCCAGGAGAGCATCACCTATGAGCATGAGCACGAGGCCAAGTCCTATGTCGAGCTGTTCAAGAGCCGATCGTCGTTCCGACGTCTGTTTCTCTGCATGGCACTTCAAGCTTCCGTGCAGATGACCGGTGTATCTGCTATCCAGTAAGGGACTTTTTTCTTGACACAACAATATCCGATCTGACATCCAATAGATACTACTCAGTGACGATCTATGCACAGATCGGAATCAATAGCCAAGACTCACTGAAGTATCAGGCAATCAACAGTATCATTGCCCTGATCGCTCAGTTCTGCTGCATGATGTTCATTGATCGCTTCGGTCGACGCTGGTCCCTGATCGGCGGCAACCTGGGCAACTGCGCTACCTTCATCGCCGCGACCGTCCTGCTAGCCAAATTCCCTCCCACGACCCAGAACACCGGCGCGCACTGGGGGTTCATCATCATGACCTGGCTATACAACTTCTCCTTCTCAGCGACCTGCGGTCCCCTGTCCTGGATCATCCCCGCTGAGGTATTCGATACGCGCACCCGTTCCAAGGGCGTCTCGATCGCGACAATGACCTCGTTCGCCTTCAACACCATGATTGGGCAGGTCACCCCGATTGCGATGAGCCACATCCAGTACCGCTTTTATTTCCTGTTCGTCGTCTGCAATTTCACGAACGCCTTGTTCTTCTATGCCCTGCTGCCGGAGACAAAGAAGGTGCCGCTGGAGGAGATGAACTATATGTTCTCCCATGCGCCGTGGATCGTGCCGGGGATTCGCAAGGAGGATTACTTGCCTCATGACTTGGAGCGTAAGGTCGAGGAGCAAGAGGTGAAGCAGGACACGGCCCATTATGAGTAGACCGGGGCAGGAGGAGAGGTCAAAATTGATGACTGGAAGATTGGGAGGGATCTTGCAATGGCCGGTTCTTTTTGTAGAATTACCCTGCGGAAGGTGATAGGAGAAGATAAATTTTGGTAAAAAATCATTTTATTCTGAATCCGAATCGGATCCATATGCTGCTAGTCCAAGAGAGACAGGAGCGGGTTTTGCTGGCTGTCTAACTTCGGGCTGTTTCCTAGCTGTGTCTGCCTCGGCTGTTACGCCTGAGGACTGCTTTTCAGCCTTTGCAGCTGAAGCCGTATTTTGTGCCTCTTTTGACCGAGCGGAAGTAGGTTCTGATGTCCCGGTAGCCTGGGAACCACCCTGGCTCTGTTTTTGAGCTTCTTGGCCCTTGGAATCAGTCCCTGCACTCCCCGCTGCCGATGACTTCCGCCTCTTCCCCGGGATCAAGAGATCTTTCTTGTCCCTCCGTCTCTTACGGCCGGGAATAGTCCATTCGTCTTCCTCCGCCGGTGTAATCTCCGAGGAAGTCGGTCCCAGCATGGCCTTCTCGGCTTCTTCTCGTTGACGTCGGAAGAGCTCGAGCTGGTCGGCCGTGTCCTTTTTGACGGCGGCTTCCTGTGCGCG